GAGAAAGATTCTTCGCCACCTTTTCAAGGCAAAACTATGTAACTCGAGCACGACATTTTAGATAGCGTAATATTAAATTGTTCGCCAAATTTTCGAAGCGAAACTACATGTGCGTTGAGCGCGGCATTTTTTAGATCGCATAAAATTTCATTTTCAATTAAAGATTCGAGACGAAGCCATATAATCAAAGTATACGAAAGAATTGTCAGCCGTGTAGATGTGCGTGATATTTTATTACCACGAAAGCGTTGTGGTTCAAGGTGCAGAACGATCATTATGTCTATATTTGGAATGGCTAGTTATGATTAAAATACAAGTTTACTACCCAAATTCGTGCACGTCTCTTGTGTAGGTATACAGGGTTAATAGATTATAAATAAAACGGTACTGCGGAAAATTGGCAAATGGTGCAAAGTGAATAAACAAAAGTTCAATTATTAAACTGATTTGGGTAGTCAACCATCTCTCAAAATTTAACTTCAATGAGCAGTCATACACTGATATAAAAACAGAATCGTCGATCGTTTTGGGCATTTTGCATAAAAAGTTTACGCTTAATCAATTTAACATTCCTGAAGAGGTCAACCTACAGGAGTTTATTCTAGATAAATAATTACATATCGAAGGTATCATATCAAAAACACGTATGAACCATTTTTTGTAAAAAAACGTTTTATTGGACGTATAAACTTATTTTGGTTATTTGCAAATCATATCAGAACGGCCCCCCAAGTCTAAACGGTACACTGGTTTGTACGCCATAAGATATTGACATGAATTATGTTGATGAAAATGTTCAAAGCAGTTCGGAGGACAAAATGACATTGCAGGAAGTAAGGGAACAACGTCAAATTAATAGAAAAAGGAGGAAGAACTAGCTATGTGATGGTTTTGTCCGTCTGTTCCTCGTCTAATTCGAGAACGATCGTTTTGGGCATTTGCAAAAAAATTTACGCTTAAAGTCAATTCAACTTCCTGAAGAGGTCGACCTACAGGAGTTTATTCTAGATAATTAATTACATTATGGTGATATGGTTTGAGATTTTATTGTGTATTTGTTACATGCATCACCTCGATATTTTACATCACAAAAAAATGTAAAAAAAGTGCAGTTGGACGGATATTATTTTCATTAATATGTGTATTCCAGCACTCCAATTTACATGGGTATTTATTTAAGAGTGATCAAACCAAAGATTCATGTTTTGATTTTGAGATTATAAGGAGAAATAAAGTGCATACCAACTTTCCGCATGCTAAGAGTCATTGAAAGTTTATTCATTACTGAGCTAGCCGTGGTATTATTTCATTATTAAAAAATTAATTGCAAACAATAAGATTTTGCCGTTACAAAGAAACTCAGCACGACACTTTCAACGTACTCTGCTTCAACGATCACTCGTTGCAAACAAATGCAGCAGAAAAAGCTAAAAGGTTGTCAGAAGTTGTGAAAGTTGCAAAAAATATCGGTAAATTTACATTTTAAAGAAAACTTGTAACAATGTAAATTAATACTGTTTACCTACCAATCAAAGTACATATGTGCAAAGTGTCAGAAGTTAAAAGAAGAGATTATGACAACACTGAATATATCAGCTCCTGGTATCCCACCAAGTTTTTTGGCTCCGTCCTTATATCTACTTTGTACCAATATAAAATCTGTTTCCTAAAAAGGTTTCCTGGGCCGAGTGCGAAGTGCTAGAGCGTATTTCGGCCAGCAGGGCAACATCGGTCTTTTTCTTTTGGTTTTCACATTGTGATAACCCACCCTGATGGTTAGGCAACACACATTTACATCCGAAACAAAAATATAATATGCTCTGTATATAACCAACGACCGTTTTGCGCAGATGCCGAATACTAGGGGATTTTGGTAACGAAGCTAGGGGAGAATATGGAGAAGATGGCGACGAGGTCGACGGAAGACACACGCTTTCCCGGTTTTTTAAATTATTCTTGATTATTTTGGTGGTGGTGTTTTGAAGATGTATGTACTAGATATTTAATCATTGAATTTCTTGCCACAATGTGATATTTACATTTTGTTGATTTTGCATAAACTACGATATCTGAATCACGGCGTACTCCATGCCTTTGTTTGAGTGAGTACCGTTAGATGAATCATGTTTGTGTAATACTGTACAGATGATTATGCCATTATTTTGTTTAATTAAGTAATTTACTTCTGTTATTCATGAGGAGTTGATTATCGGTGTGATGTTGCTCTGTTCGATTGACCCGTAACAATTCCGTGAGGGAAGCACCTAATACAGTTTGATTGTTCGCTGTATCTGTTACTTTCTGTTTCGTGGCTCGCTACAGTTCTTGTGCGTTAGCTATACGAAGGGGGGCTCTTTTATTTGATGTTTTGATGTTTGTGTGTGCGAGTGGGTATTTCTGTCTCCGTGGAGTAGGTACCTAATGCAGTTAGATCGTTCGCTGTATCTGTTGCTTACTCGTCTCGTGCGGATTGTAGTTCTTAACATCTTAGCAATACGAGTGGGGGCCCTCTCATTTACATTTCCTCTATTTAAAATATGTTCTGTTTGAGCGATAATCGATTTTCACATGAATACTTGCTATTTGGCCAATGGCATTCTCACATGTACTTTTCGTGTTAAATTAAATTATGTTAACTGAAGGATGGAGTAGAGCCACACCATTTACATGTTTCCTATGTACATGCAATTTGTTTATTTGACGAGTTGTATTTGTTATTTCTATTTATCGTACAGGTATTTTGATGTTTTTTTGCACTGAATTGATTTATCATGTTTTCCACTGCATTTATGATGTCTTGTGTATTTTGTTTTTATGAACTTGTTTAATTGCATTTGATTTGATTATCTGATTTTTATCATACCATTTGAGATGTCTTATTTATGTGTATTTTCTCTTGCATTTTATTGCTGTAGGTGATTTATTTTATGTATTTGTATGGCCTATGCCAGGGTTTTAGTCCCGTAGAAGGTTTCCCTGGCATGGTCTTGTGTGTGCGTTAATATATTTATTTGATCTTGTCATTTCTTACGCACAAAAGTTCTGTCTTTTATTTAATTCCCTTCCCGATTATGTCTCACGTCCCAACACATAAAAGAACCGATTACACAACGTAGGAGTCCATTCGTACCATCCCATATCGAGCCGACTGTCATCCAAATTCAAAAGTACCGCGAGACTACCATCGTTTCGACTTGAAAGGTAGGTGGCTCTGCTTGTAGTTTTTGCCAGAGTTGCCAACCGTAAGTATAGGGTAAGTCAACGTTTTCCGTGTCGGCTTGATAGACCCCCCTAGGAACATTACAACATCATACATATTTTAGAGCATTTCTGACAAATTGTCTCATTAAAGAGAAACCAGGGGTAGGGGGAAGCACATTTTCATAGGGGATCGAGACGGTAGTTTGGCTTGTAACTTGGAGCCTACACCATCGCAGATTTAGTTTTTAATTTAAGTTTCTTGAATTTTGATAGATTTGAATTTTAGACTGTTATTTTGTCTGAATTTTCTCGTATTTCGAATTTTCGTAATTTTCCATCTTAAAATATTTTTAATTTTTAGAATTTGTTATAGTTACTCCGATTTTTGTATTTGATCTCTTGATGTATGTATTTTTAGCGCATTTTTGAAAAAAATACGCTATTATATTCGTTAACGCTGGCTGGCTGGCTGGCTGTCCGGCTGAGATCTCAGCAATTACAATAGTTAGACCTCAAATTTTCACCAAAAGCTTTCTGCTATAGTGTAGATGTGAGGGGTCTAGTCTATTTTGAGTTAGATTACTCATGAGATAGATAATTTTAAACTTCGCTAATAAAATACTGATCGGTATTACCAAAAATGCGCTTTCATCATGCATATTCTGATTTACAACTTGTTTATTTTACGTTTTTAATCAATGTAAACGATCTACTAAAACACATACCTGTTAGTAAATTCACATTTTGAATTATTATCTACATTTTTATCTATACGTCACTTCCGTCGACTGTCTGTTGTCATGCGCACGCCATGTAACTGTTCATGTGTTGCTCTGTTAGTTATTAATTAAATATTATTTAATACTGACTTTTAATAATATTAGGAAAACCTTACCCACTGCCAACAATACCTACGTCATTTCCAATTCTATATGCAGACGAACCTAATCTTATGACAGAAAGTGTAGATCGTGATAATTAACACAATAGAATTTTTACTCGAAATTACCACCGAATGGATAAATAGAAATAAGAATAGCTCAAAAACTCAGAAATTACGTTTTCATGGGAAAAATGAATTTCTGTAATGAAGAATCATGGCAGTGTACAGTTTTTGGGAGTATACATAGACCACACAATTACTTGGGAGCAACATATATCATATATTTCAAAGAAGACTTCGAAGAAGATGTTTTTAATAAGGAAAATGTATACATTGTCGTCCCCAGTAGTTTTTGAATACTCATAGCCTTATTGTTTCTTATATGACTTATAGAATCATCGTCTGAGGATTTTGCACTAAAACGAAACACATTTTCAAACTTCAGCGGCGTGTTGTCAGACTTATTACAGGTGTACAGTACAAAAATGATGTGAGACAAAAGTTCAAAGAAAATAACTATTGAAATTTCCGTTTTTGTATATTTTCTATGCACTAATTTTTGTTAAAAGTGATTCAAACAACCATAACACATGTAGCAAAAATGTAATGTAATTAAATACCATACCTCGTTTACGTGAAAGTAAAAGCGCAATTAATTTTTATGGCCCTAATATGTAATGTATAATGGCAGCCAAACTGTTTCAAGTCTGCCATAATAAATGGCTTTAAATTGACACAATTATCATTATTTCTATCTTATTTGATCACACACTTAACAAGTAAACACTGGTCCATTAACTGCCTCTGTATTTGTGATTACATTATACCTTTGTAGCTCTCGAAAACGAGATGTCTTTTTTTTAAATGAAAATGTCAAACTAATTACAATCTACAAATTAAAACATATGCAACAAACCTTTTTTGCAGATCGAGGACCAGGTGGCCGACCACGCCCTCGTCCGCTACCCCTTGGCTTTCTCGGCTTAATACCCAAAGTCGTTCGAACCGAGGGTCCTCTACAGCTTCGCTTCGGTCTACTCGACTCGACGACTTCCACCACCGGCTCCTCCTTCACTTCTTCCTTGATGTCTTTAAACTCCTCCCTCACCTCCAACGGTACCTTTCTCGGCCTACCTCGTTTGCGAGGCGTAGGCAGTGGAACACCTGCAACCCGTAAAATGAAACCTCACTCCAAAACGCATTAAAAAACCTACTAATCGGTACCGGCAACGAAGGTTTCGGCGCCGTACCCGCTCCGGATGTCGAGTCAAGCCGAATCTCAAACACTGGTATTTCGGATAATGGATCACCGGTATCCTCCTGTTTTATCTCGATATTTTCTTTCTTCACCTCGGGCAGATTCGGCACTAAGCTAATCGACATATCCGATGAAAACTCAGTCTTGAACAGTTTCGGTTCCGACTCCATCGCTTCGGATGACGGACGTTTGGCGGGCAAAATTTGCGCAACTCCATGATCCTTGGAAAGCTTGACTTTTATTTTATTAACGCGCTCACTTTCCTTTCGATTTTTTGGAATCTTAAGCACTATTCGCTCTTGCTTAATCTGTTCTTCAAAGTCGATGAGTTCAAAGGATTGCGCCTGATCGGTTTTCGGTATCGGTTTTATTGTGATTTTCGGACTTAGGCTACTTTCGGCGGGCCGTACGACCGGTTTAATGTTTAATTTGAAGGTGTGCGAGGGGCCTTCGTCCATTCGCTCGTACGCCTCTTGCGGTTTCACGATCGGTTTGATCGTAATACGCGGACTCGACGACGACTCTTGATACTCCTCGCGCTTAGCAATCGATTTTCGCAACATCCTGTGTGACGATCTGTCCTCCGTTTCGTCTTTGGGAATTGGCTTAATTGTCACTTTTGCGCCATGCTGATCTTCGACGGAAATTTGAATATCGTCGGGAGGTTTTATGGGTTTTATAGTTATTTTCGGACTGTGCCTTTCTTCGGGCGCATTCTCGAAATCGACACCTTTCGGAATCGGTTTAATAATCAACTTGGAATTATAATCGTCAGGTTTTGGGATCGGTTTTATCGTTATTTTCGGACTGTGCCGTTCTTCAATTTCCATATCTGATGAATACCTGGACTTAAACTTCGAATAGACTTCGTCACCTTCCTCCACTGGTTTCATGATCGGCTTGATCGTGATTTTTGGGTTCGGCCTTTGCTCTTCCATTTCTTCCGTCGAATGAGGAATTGGTTTTATCGTTAATCTGGAAATCTGCAATTCATCAGGCTTTCGAATGGGTTTTATGGTTATCTTTGGACTATGCCGATCCTCTGTCTCGTTTCCGTCATATTTGGACATAGATTTTATCGTGAGCTTGTTAGCTTTCTCTTGTTCTGCCGCCATAAGCTCCGCTTGTTTCATAGCTTGCCTTCTAGTCATTTTAGTATTGTACCTTTCTGGAACGTAGTGCGATTCACTTGATGACTTTAGTAGCGATTTCAAAGTTATTTTTAGACTCTCCCTTTCTGCATCCTCGGGTTTAAGAATTGCGGGTTTGGGACTACACATACCAAGACTGTCCGATGGTTTAACTATTGGTTTTATAGTTATTTTTGGACTATGCATTTTTTCAATTTTTTCAACTACAATATCCGATATTAAGTTAGAGCATTTTGGTAAATCCTCAACTACACCTGAACTTTGTTCCACTTCGACCTGTAATAAAATAACTAATCATAGCAGTAATCCAAAAGGAACCAGCGGAAGAACAACATAAATGTGGACAATGTTTTATTTTAATATCTTCTTCGATTGTTTTTATTATATTCATTGTGATCGCAGATCCAGATAATGCAAATACGGCACATCCACACAGAAGTCAAGAGAACAAAACAAAATGTGAGAATGAATATTGCAAAATAGTAATGAAAAAGCACGCAGTTACGAACTCCCTGCAGTTAAGTACAAGGAAGAAATGAAATTATTGACACACGAAGAATCAAATTGACAAATTGTAAACAATAAATCTTATGTGATGTACCCCGTTAAGTTACGTAAAGGCCCGTATTCATATAGAGAACGAATTCGGACGAATGGGTTCATTCAAATTCTCCCAAATTCGTTCGACGTTAATATTTCTGCCCACATACATCCAAACAACTGCTTTCTCAAGCACTTGTTTATTTTGGCGAGTGTATACGCAGTATATAGTATACTCCGTTCAATAGTTATTGTCCCGGTAGTAGGCCATGTTAGGGTAATGAAATCTTGGATGAAAAAAATAACTGGATTGCTTTATGAAGCCAACATTAACAGCGCCATCACAAGGCAGTTCTGCGTTTTGTGAAACGAAATTTGACCCACGTCAATTTTACGAGATTTAATTTTAATTGTTTTATAGTGGTTTTATGTAATTTTGTGTTAGTTTTGTATAATTAATTAAAAATGGAACGCTGAAGTTGTTTTGTATAAAATTATACTACACGTTATCCTGGAGATTGGTGAGATGCTGCAATAAACATGTACTGTTGTTGTCACTATTAAAAAATTTATTATATAAATTAATTCGTCAGATATAAAGTTAAACAGTTATCGTATAAATATTTTGTGTGGATATACTTGTCCTTGCAAATTGACTTTAGAATATTATATAAAGTTTTTCCCTTATCAACACCAAAATTTTCACGCGCGTCCCTTAGTAAGTCAGCCAAAGTAAAGTGTTCATTTCACTAGGGATAATTCCAAATTCTGTCGTTGCAAATCTTCCCGAAATGAAAAATTTTTATATACTCCAGAAGGTTCAAATTCAAAAGTGTACCGCCCGAAAAACAAATGAATGGTTTTTTTCTGATACCGAAAATAGTACAAAGCCCAAAGTAGGCCTTGCGGTTTAGTATCTGATTTTATAACTTTTGGCATATATTCAACCAGTGGGAGGTACATTAGTAAAGACATCTAAGCGGTGCAAATGCCGCCATGCGCAAAAATATTAAATGCGCGCGTCGAGGTTGAAAAATGTTATCAAAACGTACCCATGAAATTGAATTTTTATTATGAAAATGATTCCATGTATATGCATCACAATTCATGACCATTTTTGCAAATCTCTTAATAACTTATTTTAGACAAAAATAAGCAAAATGTAAGACGTAGTATAAACCATCCCATAAGCGCATGTGAGTGAAACAAGGTAAGGGATACCTACCTCTACCCATCTCTCTCACAAAATTTCGCCACGGCCCCTGGCAACGGCTGATTACGGGCGGTGCCGTTCCAGTGACAAAGTATGTGGTTCAATGTATTCAACAGATACGTTTCCATGACGCTGATATAACATATTATGTCTAGTGGGAAAAAAAAGTGGAAGCACCTTAGTTAGACCATGGTACAATAAGCGAAGCACTGACAACATTGTACGTTTAACTTCAAGTAGTCAAATTAGGCACTCCTGTACTTTTTAATTTTATTAAACATTAAAACAAAATTCCATTGCTACCTGCCAGGACAATGGGCGCGTCCACCAGACGAAGCGCTTCATAAGCGCTACCTAAAGGCCAGAATACTCGCGCGAGGTGCTGTCTGATAGCACTGTCAAGATGTAAATACCAATCTATTGTCCGACTTACAGTGATATGTACACCTCAAAAGTGCTATCAGACAGCAGCTCGCGCGGAAAACCTTGGTAGAGTATTCCCGCCTTTAGGTAGCGCTCATGAAGCGTTTCGTCTGGTGAACGCATCCATTAACTATTGAACAGAGTTATAATTGCGAATTACTGTGGGCCGTACACCTAGAAAATATACTGAACGAACTCATCGCGAATTTTCTTTGAAGTGCCGCCTGGTGAGCGAAATCTAGAGAATGCTATAACATATTCGTTCGCTCGAGATTGGTTGTACGTACACATTAGCAGAACGAAACCATTCGGCCGAATTCGTTGGCTATATGAATACACGCCTCAACGTGTTGCAACTGTACAGCGCCTGTTATAATTTTTAGAAATCAAGTCACAGATTTGGAAAAAGTTGAATTACACGTTATAAATTTGATTAATTGTCAACTATGTATGTATGTAGTCATTTAATTAATAAACAAAACGTGAAAATGAGTGTATCAGTATCATAGAAATTATTATAATGGCGACGAGGATGGGATATAATATTTTCTATTATTACTGAAAACTAAAACACTTTCACATTTCGTTTATTAATTATGAATAAATACTATTGTGTAAACTACGTCATGCGGACGTTTTCTTTGTGATTCGCTCCTATAGTAATGATCGGTCATCCTGTGTAATGTGAATTTTTGTGTGTGATTGCTATTTGAGACTAGCAGTCCCGGCGAACTTCGTTCCGCCTTTGGGAAATCTCATTTTTTCCCGTACCCCATTCCCGTTTTTCATCGTTCCCGTGGTAACTTCAGGAAGTGCTTTTGAAGTACACCTTGACGCCTTCAAAGAAAACTACGTTCTAAATGTCGAGTATCTTTTCGACTGTAAATCGTAAAATCGCATTTTTTCCCGTTCTCATGGGAATTTTTGAAAGTGATTTGCTAACTTAGAAACTTTCGCGGGCATACGTCCAACCATTCCCCAAAGTGTCATCGCAATGGATGAACGGTTTAGGTGGGCATAAAAGATAGACAGACAGACATTTCATTCATTTTTATTTATAGAGTGAGACTAAAATATGGAACAAATTCATTTAAAAATCAGGTGTTAGGGTTAAAAAAATGCTCGCACACGTTTACCATAATTTTTTCTTGGGCAATTTTTGCACTAAAAATAAATATACAGGTTGCGTCAAAAAGTAGATTACCAACCAAAGTTGATTTTTTTTATAGCTATTTATGTAACAAGTTGCAAATTGACTGTCTTTGGCGCACTAGACGTGTATTTGTCCAATGAGCGCTGCGAGTTGGACAAACACGTCGTGTGCGCCAAAGACAAAATTTGCAACGTGTTGCATACAAGGTTTTTTTTGTAATTTCGTCAAGAAATTGATAAAATGTGAATTATTATCATGGGAAAAGACCTTTATTTTAAGATTGAATACCCATGTATTATCGCAATACCTAATGCGTTGCTATGGATAAACAAACTGTCATCTTTGTTTGAAGCGTCTTTTATGTTTAAATCGCGTTTGGAAACTTTTGCTAGCAAAATGAACCATTCCGATGAAAATGTGAGTATTTCATCCGACGTTGAAGCGGCTGCAAAAGAAGCTAGATCGTATTTACTTCCTCCAAACTCACGTCCAGCATATGCACGCTTTGAGGTGTGGGTTACGCAGCGACAATTGAGTAGCATTAACGAGAAGGTACCTATTAGCGTATTTTCGTTAATAATCGTTTTCCTATAATCGATTACGTTGAATTGTAAGTTAAAGAAAAAATAAAATTTTAGTAGTTCAGGCAATTATTGAGAGTCATGTAGTTATAGTTTGGGACTAATGTACCAGTGCGCCAATTTAGATTGTGCGCCAATGTGTCAAAATGTGACACTTGTAGCTAAATGACTGCTGTTTTAAAACTGAAAACGCCAACTAAATTTCAGTATTTGATAACGAAATTACAAAAAATCTATTTTCGAATTATTTTTATTATGCGTAGAATATGACATAGGAATCGAACATTGTTCCATTTAAAAAAATCAACTTCGGTACCAAAATCTACTTTTTGACGCACCCTGTATATATTCTTTTTAAAGCAAAAAATGCATAAAAAAGATAATAATAGACGTGTACGAGCATTTTTTAACCCAATACCTGATTTTTTATTTTTTATTTTAAATTTTCCATATTTTAGCAGCTCACTGTATAGATAATAAATACTTATTTTTAAATTTGCGAATATACCAAAAGCTTAATAAAACATGTAAAAACAGTTTTGTATGCATCTTTTAATTCTGAACAACTTTAAACTCTACAGTTTTTTCTGTAAAATGTACAGCAGAGCGGGATTTTGCATAAAACTAATTTCCCATGTTAAATCTCAATGTTCCTACTTACTGTGCACCACCCTGTATATATAGAGATAATGCCGTTACAGTGTGCACATTTCAAACATTTAAAAGTATTGTATAACTTTTCCCTGCATAACTTTGCTTGGTAGTTCATTATATAATCACTAGGGGTGGGCTGATATATCGATATTTTCCTAATATCCTAATATATGACGATATGGCAAAACCTCGACGATCGATATATCGACATATTGAATATCGATATATCGAATATCGACATATCGAATATCGATATATCGAATATCGATATATGAAATATCGTTCGTCAATATCGACATTGAAATATCGAATAGCGATGTGTAGAACTTCGAAAAATGCTGATGTTGCATAATCCTTGCCTTGCTTTACCCAAGTGTTTAACGCCTGTGATGTGGGGTGTCTAATTAACTAATTTAACCATCCACGATATCGACACAATATAGCAGTGTATTGTTCTTGTTTATCTGCTTAATAATTATTAATTATGAACCATAGAAATAAATAAAATAAGAAACTAAAACTAAGAATTGTAATAAAAAACGAATATTCATTTTTTATAATTATTTTAATTCCTTTTTTAATTAATGTAATGTTAAATTAAGTAAATATTTAAAAATTTCACGGCACCCTTATAAAGTGCTTGCACCCACTAAGCAGATAAACAAGGACAATACACTGCTATATTGTGTCCATATCGTGAATGGTTAAATTAGTTAATTAGAAACCCAACATCACAAGCGTTAAACACTTGGGTTAAGCAAAGCAAGGGTTTGATTTGACCACAGACGCAATGTTTGTAATGTTTTTTTTAACTTGTTTCATATGTAAAGAATAACTGCAAAAATGAAAATGCGGCAAAACGTATATCGGTATTCGATATTTATTATGCAACATCAGCATATCGAAGTTCTACACATCGCTAAGAAGTTCGTTATCGGTGCGTAAAAACTAATTAAGCTTACAGGTAAGCAGATAGCAGATATGCGTGGAATGTAAACACAGGTGTTGGGATCATTCAAACACGCGCAGTAATTTTGATAAAAAAAAGCAGAGGCGGAAAGTGTAGAAGGGAAAAAATGTTTTAAATAGAAGAGCCGGACGTTAAATGAATCTTTTTTTGGGCGTTTGGGGTTTTCCAGTGCGCATAGCAATCACGAACTTATAAATTGAGATGGACAGCTAATGCTAAATTAACAAATGACACCTACAAGAGGGCCGCCATGATGTCCACTCACGCGCGAAATTCAAATCAACTAATAAACAAGCATTAACCATATATATAAGAGAAGTATATGGATAAACGAGTGGACACGCCTATCGCCAACGTTAGTGGATGGAAATATACTTCTGTCATTAGTTGGGAACTAGGCGCTAATGCGCTTGCCTGTTATTATGTAGTGTTATTTACCAAGCATTTACTCCAGTTTGACATAACGGATTGAGGTTAAATTGTTTGTTTTGTTTATGAGTTATTGAACTTTTGTTTAATTTTAATAGTAAAGAAGCCTTTCGTAGTTATATAAATCAGTATACGTAAGTGATACACATTAATTGTAATGGAATACCTAATGTTTGGCAATTTTAGTGTGTTCATTACTTAGAAATAAAGAAATGCAGGTACTTGTGGGAAAGTGGATTTTTCGGTTTCATGGCACAAGTAAGTTACAATGCAATTATCTGCAATCAATTCATTTATGCCATACTTGTTATTAGATTCCCAAGTGAAAAAAGCAACAAGAATCGGTGACTGCAAGCATGTGAACTATCGGAATTCGATGATGTAAAAACAAGGTTGTGTTCTCGTCATTTTAACCGCTATGACTGCATTGATTTGGATGCACGCAAGCATGATGGGGGCACGAAGTTATATGGGGGTCCCTTAACACCTAAAAGATTTCCAACTCGACAATGTTAATTTTATTTTAAAATCAGTAAATGTCTTTAATTTAATTGTGTTTCTTTGAACATTGGTAATGTATCACTTTATATTATAGCTGATTCGAACTTATCCAATTTCATTATTTCAATTGCAATTTAAGTTTCTAAATCGTTACAAAGTTTGCCTTCGAAGTGTGTAACTGTAAACAAACTCCGCTGAGGAAGCTCGAAAGTTCTCCGTGAAAATGCTACAGTTTCCAAGCAGAACGATACGGAGTACTTTGAACCAGAACGCACTGGGGGGCACGTGAGCGCTGATTTGAGTTGGCAGTGAAATCATTCAAGTAGGCCATTGACTGCAGGTCCCGAATCCTTGTGTGCCGAAAACAATGTTGAGGGCACAAAAAAGGGAAGATTCAAATTGTCGTCGTCCCTCTCGGTGAAGATGCAAGTAGGGGAATCGAAGCGATATAGTCAACAGGTAAGAAACGTTTCGGCGGCGATTGGTCTTGGGAGGGTGGGCCTCGGCCAGCTAGTATACTTATCTAAAGACATCACAGGATCAGACAATAGTGATAGGAGTCGGCAGGTGGAATGGGGCCAATGTGGTGAATATGAACTTGCATGAAGCGAATAGAAGTCTGGGTGAAGTTTCCGAATGGTGCGTGGTTGTGTTTACATATGGTAATTGCACACAATAATGGTTTAATAAAATTTTAACCCTATTTTCGAGTTATAGGTTATGAAATTTGAAATTGGCGCTACTTAAAAGTAGGCGGAGAGAAGTAAATATTTACTTGGGGAGTTTGCGCATAAATACAGAGTTCAGGACTAAGGAATAGGGCAGCTCTCTTTTATGGCGAACAATTTGCACATTGCAATCATAGGCGGTTATCCATATACTTCTCTTATATATATGGCATTAACCCAACATTAACCTCACGTTTTCTAAATAAATTACTGTGACACATGTCATTTTCCAAGGCTGCAATAGTCTCAAAACTTGAGCACTAGGAAAATTCCCCTAGAAAATAACTAAAACGTGCACATCAAGGCGGCGACCATGCTAGGACCATTTCTACCTCTATGCAACTGATCGGCAGTCCATCTTAATTTACAAGTTCGTGATAGCAATACATATACTACAATTAATCAAAATTATAATGTCCAACTCAACTTTTCCAAGTCTGTGACTTGATTTTTAAACGTTATAACAATACAGAATGAACAAACAACAATGTCTAATATTACAATTACAAATGGACATGAAGTTTATTCTGCGCGTGCGCGTACGCTAATGTCTGTTCTATCCAGCTAGCAATATTTTCCTCGCGACCATGCAAAAAAGAACTGGACTACAATAAAATAAAACATTCAATATTATTTTAAAATTCTCTACGGAGAAAGTTGGTTTTACCTTCTGTGCATCAAATATTCGACTTTTCACATATGCGTCCAATTTTCGTTAAACGCCACCTGATTTTTTACTGATTTATCACGGCGATGCAGTTCATGTGTCAATTTTAAGATCAATCTATATCAGCAAATCAAATTTAAATGCTTATGATTGCCATTGTCCCCCTCTCCTTTCCGCGTTGTACAAATATAAATCACAATAAACAATTGTGAAAGGCGTTTTAAATTGAAATAAAATAAATAAAAACTTACCTTCAAAATTGACAACTTAATGACATTAAATTCTTCAATAGAAATAAAAAACAAAACACACAAAAAATGTCAGAGAATTGCGCAAATACTACCGTGTTATGACAATAAAAAATATGTAAGTGAATATAGAACGATCAGCAGACTGCATAAAACAGAAACAAAAGAAAGAAAACATTGTACAAAATCAAACAAACGTTACAAACCTTATTCTCGTCAGATGAGCACGCTGAAGTGACCTCTTGCTTATCGACTACTGCTGCTTCTTCCGTCATTACCGCGTCATAAGTTGATGAAACTCCTGTATCACTAGCATTAGTCTCGGAAACAAACTCTGTACTGGTTATTCTATTGGATTCGGGTGAATCAGCATCCTCTTTGGCAGTCTGCAAAAATTCAGTTGTTGTCGAAGGAAGCTCAACTTTCACGGAAGTATCAGATTGAGCTGCCTCCACAGTTGAATCCTCGGGATTATAAATTTTTAATATGGAATGTACATTTTCACTTGTCAGAGTTTTCAACGATTCGACATCACTTTGACTCGGCTCCTCAATTTCGGTTATATCTTCTGTGCTCATAGCTCCTTCGACTTCTACTGTTAACGGTTGTCTTAATTCAATCGTCGGATCGCCGTCCATATTGCTTCCCGGGTCATCCAAGTTGTCCTTCTCACCCATAAATGGCGCTGAAGGTTCCGACAAATCAGATAGAGATACCGGCTCCTCTAAACCTAACATTGGAATTTCCCCCTCTTCCCCGCCCATTTCGCTCATAATTGAGGCTATTGCGATACTCTGCTCGCTCATACTTTCGTCAGGAGCAAGCTCCATATATCTCGTTCCACAGCTGCCTTGTTGGAGGAAATCGTCCTGCTCCTTCTCCGATACCATTTCAATCTGTATGCTTTTGCATGCCAGATCAAGCTCCGAGGTGTCCTCCGTGATGTACTGGGTTGCGGCTTGCATTTCCGATTCATCAATACCAAGCGGCAAATCTTCTTGATTGATATACTCCGATGCTGAATCACTAGTTCCTGCGTATTCGACCGAAGTTGAAATCGGTTCGGTTTCGTTCATTTGACCCAGCATTTCATCAGTGATTCCCAAGGAATCCGTTTGCGCAAACGTAGGAGATTCTGTTCCTTCGGCATCCAGGACCTGATTCATGAACGGTGTCATGTCTATGTCAGAAATCTCCATCTGTTTCTGAGATTCTGGCATTTCCGGACTAGCTGCTTCATCTACACCAGATGAAATTTCTGGAAGAACACTCTCAATCAAATCAGCGCAGTCCAACTGAGTTGCTTCTAATCCAGCTGGACTTTGAGATTCAGTTGCCCCAAATTCTTCTTTTTCAACTTCCTCGATACACTGTTCTGATTTTTCATCTTCGGCTTGGAGGAGTGTTGGTGGAACAACATCCTCTTGCGTTACCACTGCAGCCTTTTCCTCCTCTTCTGTTTCGGCTAAACGTTCCTCTCCAACTTGTTGAAGAATTCCAAAATCTGTACTCTCGTCTTGGGACAATTTGGTTGGTTGATCCAAAGAGATAACTTCTGGCTCCCTCACATCTTCCGAAGTTTCGGCATTGTTTGAACTTGGCAGTATCTCTTCTTGATTTACAAAGTACACCTGCTTCGCATCTTCCGAGATTTCTGCACTGAAATCCAAATTGGTCCCTTCATTTAAAGTTTTAGACCCATCAATATCTTCACTTTCTTCCAATTTGGTATCTAACTCTGGAAGCATATTTCCGTCTTCTACATAGTTGACACTTTCTAACAGGCCTTCACTATCATTTGTCATTTCTGAAAGTGTTTGGTGATCACAATCTTCTGCGATGTTTACGTTTTTGCCTCCCTCTGCGTTTTCCATTGGCTCTGGAACCGTTTGGGCTTCATCTATTTCTGCATTGGTTTCGTTTTCTAACTTATCTTCGCGTACCTCAGCATATACACTTTCCAATGCCTGTGAAACCATTTGGACGTCAACTTCTACACTGTTTATATCTTCAATCTTGTCCTCGCCTTCTTGTGCACAATCATTCTCCATTGCCTCCGAAACCATTTGGATATCACCAACTACGTCAATGTTGATATTAGTCCCCTTATCTGCGCCTTCGTCGACATTTACATTCTCCATTGGCTCTGGAACCATTTGAATGTCACCAAATTCATCCGTGTTGATATTTCCTCCGCTGACATTTTCATTCTCCATTGCCTCTACTGGAACGTCTCCAACGTGATAAGTTTTGATATCTTCCATCATATCTGTGTTTCGTTCGATATTTTCAGTCTCCATTGCCTCCGAAACTATTTGAACACCACCAACTTCATCTGTGTTGACATTTTCTATTTGATCTGATTCTGCTTTGACATTTTCCGAGACATTTTCATATCCCTCTGGAACCATTTGAACACCACCAACTCCCGCATTATTTACATTTTCCGACTTATCTTCGTCTCCTTCGACATGGGAATTTTCCATTGCTTCGGAAACCATTTCGATGCCCCCTTCATTTTCCAAAGTGTCTCTGCCTTCTCCACTATAATTTTCAGTATCTTCGGAAATTATTGCAACATTCGTATCTTCTGCATTGTTTTCATTTTGCAAGGTGTCTTCACCTAAAACATTACATAACCCTTGAAATTAACTCGTACGCCACATTGACATTTACTATATTTTGTCACATTTATTCAACATTTACCATTAGTTGCCGCTAAAATTGTCTTGTTTTGCCCCCCCCTTAACCCCCCCCCCCCCAATAAAAAGTGGGAATTGGCCCAAGAAGTATGAGTATAAATTGCACAATATTGTGCACTGTCCGAGTACAGTTCTGTATGTAATCCGAGCGCCACGGAAACACTCCACGGATTTGTTCTGAGAATGACTCCAGGATTCCATTTTCCATAAATACGCAATCATGTTTTACGTTACCCACCATGGGTGGTACGTGGTAGTATCATGTTTTGTAAGTACTGTAGTTTTAAAATAAATAAAAATTACAAGATCAATCTCAACATGATTTGAAGAGAATCAGTGTCCTACCTGACTGGAAGTCTTCATAGGAAATAAAACAATTGATGTACAAATCTTGTCAAAGTCAATTTCAACAGCATCGTTGAAAAAAAACTAGTTCAATAAATCCCCAAAATTGGTTGCATAATTCTAAACCATTTTTTCGTATCTATTTCGGTCTGCCCTGCGTGGGATCATGATTTTCGCAAAAAAAATCGTTGACTTTTCTAGCAGAAGCGTGATAGACTGAGTGTAAGTTTGCGGTTTCCTTCTTACGTTGGATTGACCACGATGCTGCTCAAAACTAGTTCATACACTCGTTCATACATCTCTATCTAATTTACACCATGGATTTGAATAATGGAAATTTTGAATTTCAGTCTTTTTATTACAAAATAATAAGTAGTTAATTTGTGACACTTGTTTACTTTTTGACTTTCTTTTGTTTTTTATTATCACAGCCTACTCCGGTGTATAAACATGTACTTAATTAATTAATGGGTAGGTGCTTTTGTGAAAAATAATGAATAACCCTAGGAATAAGATAAAAACTACGGAGTTTAAGCACAGGATCCCCTTACAAAAATTGAAGAGAACATAAAAGACTATCGAATAGCGAAATAAAATATCGGTGAAAAAAATAGTTATGGCACTTTGAAGTTTGAAAAGTTTACCATTTCCTTGTGAACACCCTGTATCACTAAATCCAACTTTTTCATTATCGAAGTGTTGCCCTTGACTTAACATTATTGCTCAAATTTATTTCTTAACTTTGAAATCACGATTAATCAAAGTGAGGCTTGCTTATGGGGAAGTATTCCTAAAAAAATTAATAAGATGGTAACATTGACAAAAAATCAAAAAGTGAACAGCTTTCAATGTAGAGGTTAACAAATGGCATCCAAAGAACTACAACTATACTGGATGTTCTATTTAAAAGATCAGTTATTTATTTTCATCGTAAAAATAGGACACCCTGTACATGGCAAAATAATTTCTAAAGATGGGCAACCATCTATAATTGACATTTGCACAAAAGATTTTTTTATATTTTGTACCAGGTATGAGCTAGGCAAGACTGACCTACTACTGGAAGACCCTGTATACTTACCACCCGTTCTTTTTAATGTACTACACTACTTGTGTAAAAAGGCACATTGTTTTCAAATTGACTGAAAAATTCGATTCTAAATAACTTTGATCCATATGTTTTTTCCTCGATTTTTTCGATATTTCTAGAAATAAGCGAGGTATCTTTAAAATACGAATTGGGCCATTTTTTCGAAATTTCGAGGTTGTCAAAGTCACTTGCAAAAATGCCTCACTTATATCAAAAAACAAAAAAAGTTGCTCATAATCGAATTTCACATCACGTTTTCCTGCCGTTTTTGCAAAAAAAAATTCAGTAACATTAAAAAAAATTACCATGTAAAACAACACAACTTATTACTTTCCCTTGAAAACCAAAGTAATAAATAATAAAGTTTCATTTTTCTTATATGTATTATTGTGTTTTTTTTTCTCTCTTTGTTATATAATGGGCAACCGTAAATAAATAAATAAATAAAAGTACAAAAAAACATAACTGAATGTAAAGCTCAAGTATAAATAAATAATAAATTTCTAGTTTTTTTTGATATTTTTAAAAGTAAATGAACCCGTGAACCATTTGTTGACATTGTCCTTTTAGGTACTATTTGACATAGGTAGGTCCAAACGACTAAGGGAAATAAAAGTAAAAACCGTTTCTCAAAATTCCTACAAATAAAAAAGTTTTTATTATCGGGACATTGTTTGCAAACTGTGCTATCACAGTCCAAACCTGAAATTTTGTTTTATATTTGGAATAGAATAATCTGTTTTGATATCAGCTGACCTGCCGATATGTTAAATGTACAGTGTGTTACAACTAAGTATGTCAAAAAAGGGGGTAGAAGGGACTAAAATGTTTGGTGTAAGAGCTACGCCCCCAAAAGTCTCAAAATTTCCATTTCTGCTCTAATTTCCTTCTCGGAAACCATAGCAAATAAAAGGATGATTTGCTGCTTCAGGTCTCACTTCAGGTTTTTGGGTATACCTTTTGATTTAGTAAAAGATTTCCAACATTCATACCCCGAGATGGTGAACCTCTGAACGACGAGGTGTGAAAAAAGTCTGATCTTGGCGAAATTTGGTAAAAGTGTCAGATGGTTCTGTTCATACGACTGTATAAATAAGTTATTCACATTTTACCGTCGAAATTAACTGAGAACATTCGAACATATTTTCGCCTCCCCAAATAGTGTTCACGCAGGCGTAAATAGCAGTAGACCAAAGGCAGCTTTTCTGAGTATTGTATAACGAAGCGCCGAGAAACCTACAGTTTTTCTGATCACCTGAACATCCAGTGTCTAAAAACGCTTTAGTATGGGCACTTCGTTACTAAAGTAACTGTAGCTTCCAAATGTATTTATTTCTTCTAGGAGTAGGAAATAGAAGCTAAGAGTAATGTTTTAATTTGTAGAGCCGTTTTAGCCGCCGAAAAGGGAACTAGTGCTCATCTATAATTGATCAGTTTTATAATTGTTCCTATAGAGATATTGGAATTATTCCTCTGCAGCATCCAAAAGCTGTTGTCCTTTAGAAGATGATGAGAAATTAATATTTTATGATTTCAGTTCTGTTTTAGTTCAAATGTTCTATGTTGATACAAAACCAACAAGGTCGCCGTAGCGTGCAGTTCACGTAGATAACAGAAACCTTTTTGCGATTGACCCGAAATTCCACGCAACAAGGACTACCGAATTTTGAAAATTCAACCTGGACAATTACCTAAGTAAGTGTAATTAACAGTAGCGAAGTGAGTATTCGTAATAAAAAATTCTACTCAATACAGTATGTACTTTTTTTGCGGGACATATAAGAAAATAAACGATGATGATTTCTCCGAAACAAAACGCATTAAAAATCTCTCAACGCTGTCTTGTAGAGCTCAAAAAGTGGCAATGAAAAAGTGTTTTTAATTTTTTTATATCTGTTCAAATAACATAAGAAAAAAATAAAAACAAAATCGGCGAATTTCGGTTTTTCTGGCATATCTTCGGAAGTAATTGGAATTTTCTCACTGCATTATTATAACCCTTTAATTGCGCAACTTTTCCGTAATTTTACCATCGTCATATCTTCAAGGGTTTCCGAAATTCCCATGATAGACATCGTTATTTTGGACACAGTCTATAACAAATGGTAAACGATTTACAAAAATCGCATATCCAAATTAACAGCCTTTTTTTACGAAAAAGTAGTTACCTCAACCAAATTTGCTTTCAGTTAAAATTTCTGGAAAATATATAATTACGAAAATTGGGTTGCATGCGCAATCCATTCTTTGGCGCTCAACGAGGCGCTCAATTTACTTTCATAAGTAGAAACTTCTGATAAAATCTTGAAAAAATCGCTCTGCCAAGAGGAAGTTGATTGCGCTAGCGCAATTTGTTCTGTCTGAGGTGCGAGTTCAATTTGCTCTTATAAAAAGTTGAAGTTCAAATTTTAGAAAAGGTGGTCACAAATAAAAAAATTAGGGCTGCGCATGCGCATGCCACTCTTTGAAATAGCCGTTTAGTTTTCTTTTATAAGAAGTCCCTTCTGTTGAAATTTGAAAAAAATTCGCTCACAAGTGAAAATCGGTTGCGCATGCGCAAGCAATGTTTTGACGTGCGTTTTCAAATTAGCTCGTAAATGGCACATAAAAAATTCATTCCTTGTTGCAAACCTTGACACCATAATGAATCAAATAGTGAAAAAAGTATGACAATAGCTTACAATGTCACAGCGATAGGGGCAGGGGGACACAATAGCGCATTTTTAAATTCTAGAACATTCTAAGACATTCTAGAAAAATTGTACAAAATGTTAGTAGGGTACACCAAAATTCTACAGTAATTTTCCCCTCTGGTAAACCACTTCAAATTGTGTGTACACTAAAATTCTAAAAAAATTCTAATAAAATTAATATAAAAATAAAATAAATAAATTCTATTAGAATTCTACAAAGTGTATAAAATAATTCTGGGTATATGCGCTTGGGAAATAAATCTAGAAAATTCAATAAAAGTTCTAAAAACATTCTCAAAAATTCTACAAAATGCACGTAATGTACACCAAAATTCTACAGTGATTTTCCCCTCGGGGTAAACCACTTCCAATTTTTTATATACTAAAATTCTACAAAAAAATTCTATAAATCTCTAAAAATAGTGTAAAATAACAATTGTGTTAAAAATTCAAGAAAAGTTCTAGTACTGTACACCAAAATTCTACAGTGATTTGCACCACTTCAAATTTTGTATACACTCAAATTCTAAAAGAAATTCTAAAAAGTTCTAAAATTTTTTTAAATAATCATTTGGGTAAAAACCTCGGTAAAAACGTATCGAAAAAATTTTTAAAAAAATCTAAAAAAGTTCTAAAAAAATTCTAAAGGATTTAAAAAAAATTCTATAAAATACTAGTAGTGTACACCAACATTTTACACTGATATCCCCCTTGTCTACTGTAATTACCTCATCTCTCCTACGAGAAACCACACCACTTATGAACCACACCCAAAGTAAAAACTCAAGAGTAAATGAAAGCTGTTCCCCTGTCAAGTGCATTTCATTAATTTGTACATGTCAGTTACACCAAAATATTGACGAGTATATCCTTCATTGTGTGGATGATATCCACAAATATCTTTGGAAATCTTAAAATACCTATGGATGTGTACCAAATGCACTCGATATCTGCTACGAATTCCCCTAGCTTTCAGCGACTTTAGTAGACTTTGCGACATCATTATAAAGTTAAACATTTTTTTAGGACTTTTGGCATGACGTAAGTACTAGGACCGAGACTAGGACCTTAGTTTGCGAATTTGCCACTCGCTTCATATTAACCATAGTCAAGACATTTACAGCAGATTTACTACATTCATAACACATTTAGAGAGATTCACAGCAATTACTTTACGTTTACCCACACTCATACACCCCAATTTACTACTAAGTGATCAATTTCTCAATTATTACCTATAACTGCTTGGTCCTCTTGAGATAATTCCTTTACAGATGTTGCCGAGTCCACTACTCCATTTTCTTCCGCAGCTACACCGTCAACCGGCCTTACATTTTCCTCTAAGCAAGGCACCTCTACTTGGTCATCAATTCCAAGCATTCTTGAATTAACGGCTTTGGATCCTGGACCTATCGCTTCACTTGTAGTGTTTGAATTAACAACTTCAGTTTCATGTTCCGACCGATTTACGATGGCCACCTCTGCTTCCGCTTCATTTGCCTCGCGAGTATCACCAGTAGTAGCACTGGCCTCTACCGCTTCGATTATTTCATCATTGGTAGATGACAAATCTGTATCCTGAGACTGTTCAGATTGATTTACCGCTTCGTCCACATCCATTGAGCATACAGCTTCCGCTTGATTGGCATCATGCACAACTTCCACTGGTGCCGCTAACTCTATGCTACCGGTCTGCGAAGTTGTTACTTCGGTAGACTCCTGGCTTTCAATTTCTGCACTCTCTTCTAACTGGTTTGAAAGTAAAACAGCTTCATTTGGCTCAACACCTGCAGCTATTACTGCAATCTCGGAGTTTTCAGCAGAAGTAAATTCTGGTAGGTTTTGATACGCCTCTGTGGTCCCAACACTTTCTGGCGGAACATCCTCTCTAAATTCGTCCGTTAGATCTTTATTTGCTTCTCCTGCATTCGCCTCACAACCACTACTATCTGTTTTCGTACTAACAGTACTATCAACGATATAAGTATCTTCCTCGCATAATTTCAATGCGGGTTCAACCGATTCCACGAGTTCTACAGGGGGTATCTCTGCTGATATAGTTTCTTTGCTATTATCAGTCTGATCGACACTCAGGGACTGTGAGCTGGACTCGCGTGAAAAATACTCCCCGGATCCACCTAACAAATTTTCCAAATCCTGCACAATATCCTCAACGTTCTCGGTGATTTTTTCGCGAGTAATGTTCGAAATGCTCAGTTCTGCCTCTAGGAAATCGGCTTCCGAATCGCAACCTAAACTGGAGGTAGTGGTATCTAAATACTTATCTGATGTAGTGCTGCTAATCGCATCATCGCGTACTGCCTCTTCGGCATTATTTGCTTCTTTATCTGTAGACGCTAATGCCGGGGTTGCTTCATTTACGTCTTTAGCGGCAGCAGTATCCATGTCTTCCGGTTCCAGAAATTATTTAAATATCACATTTTTTAGAAAAGAACCAGCACTAAGTTTTTTAAAAAATTTTGCTCAACAACGCTTCCTTATTTTTATTTTTTTATTGGATTGGGCTCCCACTTTTGGCATTTGCACATTTTAAAAATGTTTTTGAAGAAAGATAAATCGATACGAAGTTAAATGTAAACAAATGAAATAGCAGCTTGCAGCTTGCTATTTTCTCGCAGGAAACAATTCTCTTGAGAGCTAATTTTTCTTTGTCACATTGTTCTTCATTTTTTTCTATACAGGGTGTCCAACGAAGCCTTGGATTAATTTTGTTTTTTGTAGCATCAAAAATATGCGCGAGTAGTTGGCACTTATTGTTTTAGTGATGTCGGTAGGAGTTCTATTCGTGGCAACCCGTCGAGCCGACTGCTACAGAGATTTGAAAGTGGTCATACAGTACCTACATGGACCATCAATTGCAAATAAGATATGGCCAAAGACATCGTCCAGGTGTGGGAGTTGCAGGGTAAACCGAATTTACACGCCCCGAGTACATGGTATCACGGTATTTACAGGACTTTAGTTTATTATGAAAGCATAGGGCTAATAGTAAAGGCCGATTCAGAGTTCCGTAACGGTAATAAGCGGTAAGAGGTAACGATAAGAAACAAGTTAAAAAGTAATCGTAAACGATTTACATAAAGCGCATTTCCACTTGCATTCATTTCCCATTTGTAAGATGCAACTTCTGTTAAAATCGTAAAAATCCGGCCACACATATGAAAGATAGCGTTGCACATGGGCAATCCATTGTTGACGTGCTACTTCAATTTCAGTTTATGAGAAGAATTTCATTTCAATGCTTTTCTAAATAAGAAAGTTGAAACTGCGCATGCGCAAACCTAAATTTTGAAACTAATGTTAGATTTTCCTTTGTTCCAAGCGCCTAAATATCAAATTTCACTTAAATGCTTCCATAGATAAAAAGGTTGGCACTGCGCATGTGCAAAATAAAATTTTGAAACTGGCGCTAGATTTTCCTTTATTCCAAGCACCTATGTATCAAATTTCATTTAAATACTTTTATAATTAAAAAAGTTTGCAATTCGGTTTATAAATGGTCGAGATGCGAAAAGGGCACTGTGAATTTTGAATCGATTCGACTCAACTTTTGGCATTGGTATTATATATTCCTTCCTTGGTACAAGACTCGACACCATAACGAACCAAATAGCGAAAAAAGTAGAACAATAGCTCTTAAGATAAAGAACTAGTAGCGTCGCAAAACGAGAGGACGGACGGACAAAGTGGCCACAATAGCGCATTTTTTTTTATTTTTGTGGAAATGCGCTAATAAGAAAAATAAACATTTAAATTATAATGGTGACATTCAGAGTTTTTCCGTAAGATGCAAGACGTAAGTAGTAAACCTCTTAGAAATGGATTACCTATTTCATTTCATACCTTATCTCTTACGGAATCATGTTTTGTTTATTAGGATGAGAAGGTATATTCGACCGTTAAACCTTTGTGTTGAAGGTGTATTAACACTAGAAGCGCTATGATTATGATGTCACTATCCATATTCGTTTATCTACGACGTCTATGAAAAGCAAAATAACCTTTGGTACTACAATCTCAAACGTCAGTTTGACAACATATGACGCAAACGGTCTTCTCTTACCTCTTACGGATTTACGTTACCGCTTATTTCTTATTTCGTACCTCGTACCGCTACGGAACTCTGAATCGGCCTTAAGGCTCTATAAAGATAGGTAAGCAAACCGCCATTTTGGTGAAGATTTCATAGATCTTGACATCTCATCCCATAGAAGTATGTGTAAAAAGTTAGTTCATTTTTCATTTCGTTTTCATTTTCAGGTGCATCATTACGTACGAAGACATCTATACGCGGTGCACACGGGTTTGTTTTCCACAAACTTTTCAAATCGTTTGCAAGCGACCCCCCGTTGTTTTCCTTGAGCTTTTCTTTTGAGAACCCACTTTCCCTTTCATTCTTGGGCAAGATGACTTTACATGACCATCTTTCCCCACAAGAATAACACCTCATATTTTTCTTGAAAAATGTCCTTTTTCCATTATCCTTAGTAACTAAGGTAGTTTGGTCATTTACCGATTCATTTCTTAAAGTACGTCTAGCACTTTCTTCAAGTAAGATTTAACTTCATCTGATTTCATGTTTTCCAAGCCATGGGTAATTGGAGTGATCAGCGCTTCATATTCTAAATTAACGCCATTCAGCATCACAAAAGCTATCCATTTATCTTCAATGATTTCTCCAATATGAGCCAGTTGCTGAATTGTTGATAAAATATGACTCAGATATTCTTCCACCGATCTTGTTTAGGTAATGTCAAACAATTTTCTTGTTAATTGAAACACTCGACTCATACTTTTTCCTTCATAAAACTGATTGAAGATTATTCCATGCCTCTTTTGCATTTGTTGCATTACATACGTGGATATAGCAACAATGTCTAATAGTGAGACATATTTTTGCAAGTGCCCTGTTGTCCTTATCCTTATCAATCGTTTCCAATGTATCACTAACTTGGTTCCGCAATCCCTCAAGCATTAGACACATTTTCATTTAAAATTTCCAAGAACCATAATTGGATTGCCCTCTAATTTTTCAAAGCTGGTACGGAAGTAGAAACCGTTACAGCATTTGTTGCGGTCGTCATTATATTGCACTATTATCGCATTCAAAGACTAACCCCAATATAACTTCACAATATTATTACTTGCTGGGCCCATAATCTGTTGAAGATTCGTGGATATAAACTGTGAAGTATTTAAATTAAAAGAAGAGTAGGGGCATAGTTAAAACGTATAAAGTACCTATTAACTTTTTGGAGTTGCGTATCAACGAAGTGCGTCCTTTTTTAAAGGGAGAAGTATTAAAGATGTTCCCATCCCGGCATATAAAAATGAATTATTAATTTTTGGGCTTGTTAGATTCCTATCACAGTTTCATAAAGACGTGGTCGAAAACTTGGAACAAAACCCGGTAACGGTGCTTTTAACTGGATAAGGAAGCGTTCACTCTAATCATAGAGATCGGGAGCAGTAGCAAAAATTTCCAGCTGGAAGCGAGAGATGATTTGGGGGTAAGCCTAATTCGTTTTTGCGAAGCTCTTAAACAAAATTTGCGTACGGTTTTTTTTTTCTCCGACTTCTTGAATTCAGAACAATTATTTTTATTTTTGTGTTCCCATCGCCGTTTGGTGTATAGGTAGTTACGAAAACATTTTCCCTTTAAGCGTTGAGTTTTCACTCAACGCTTTAAGAGACTGCGTTTAAAAAATACACAAAAGAGGGCGCGGGACTAAAATTCATACTTGGAAACTTAAAAACTAGCGCACCAGCACCAGTCATAATTCCATTTGAATAAATTTGCCGGGAACCTAAATTCTTAGCACCTGGCTATTTGACGGCAATTCACTTCAATCGAAGGAACGAATTTCAACCCTTCTAGAAGTTGCAAAAAAATACCGATCGAAGTACGTAGGTACAGGTGGTTGGTTACAGACTAATTTTCCTTCGACGTCACAGGCGTCTATGGGCATAATACTGAAGCATTGAACTCATTGAGTTAGAAAACTAATTCTAACTCAATGATTGAACTATATACTCTGTAACTGGAACGGCATCGTCCGTAATAAGCCGTTGCCAGGGGCCGTGGCGAATTTTTGTGAGAGAGAGAGATGGGTAGAGGTAGGTATCCCTTACCTTGTTCCACTCATGTGGGCTTATGGGATGGTTTATACTACGTCTTACATTTTGCTTATTTTTGTCTAAAATAAGTTATTAAGAGATTTGCAAGAATGGTCGTGAATTATGTTGCATATACGTGCAATCATTTTTATAATAAAAATTCAAATATTCAATTTCATGGGTACGTTTTGATAACATTTTTCAACCTCGACGCGCCCATTTAATATTTTTGCGCATGACGGCATTTGCATCGCTCAGATTTCTTTACTAATGTATACCTCACACTCATTTATACTGTCCTTATGAATGATAATTCTTCTTTCCCACTGTTTAATACTAATTCAATGATTCCACTCGCTAGAGAGGATCATATGAAGAAAAGCGTTAAAGCCACCAAAACATATAAAGCCGTTTTGACTTACTAATTTGAATATGCTTTATTATTTAATTTTTTACTCAACATTATTACCTATTGATACTGCTCACTAATGGGGCGAAAAATACCTTTAAGGATTGATTTTTTTATTTATTACCGATTCCTTCGGCCTACAATGAACGTACATTAGGAGGCGTCAAAGTGTAAAGATAAAATATAAAAGCATAGGTACACATATCACACAGGTATATCACAAAAGTTAGAGTAGAAAATATCACGGTTTGCATTTTCTACATCCATATCCATCCACATATGCTTTAATGGTGTAGAAGCAGTTACAGTTGAAAAACTTTTTTATTTCCATACGAAATATTCCGAAGGATTTGCAGGTCTTGAGTTTTTTTGGGGTCATGTTATAAAAGTGAGTTCCGGAAAATATGGGAGACCTTTTGTAGAAGGTGTAATTCTGACCAAATATAACTCGGCGTACGTTTCATCTTGGAAGAAACTTGGGTTACATAAGTAGCGCAATTAACCCTCTGGTCCAATTACCGTGGTTAGATGCGCCAGAAACCTTTCGCTGCTCATCAACGAAATTTGCACTTATGCACTACTCAAGCCGCTAACTGTGGATGTTCCAATGGGTATTTGTCCTGAATTCTTCTATACTGTCGATGGCACCACCAACACTACAACTTGTGTTTTTTTTTATAGTTACGTTGGATGTGTCAAGGTATAGTTCCGAAAACAAAGGATCCATCGGGCTGCGCTGCGGTGACCACTACGAGTAAATTGAATTTTTGCTCTTAAAGTAACCATGATTCTTTAAACTCATTTTATTCTGAAAAAAAGTGCTTTTTTAGATTTACTTTTACCTCGACGCCAATTGTAATATATTAGGTACCTCCTTGCTAATATATTATGTAAAGGGTACGTTACAAACGAACACAACCAATGTTTATAACTTTATTTTACGTTAATAAGTAAATGGAATGCGTCGAGCCACCATGAATGACATTAATTGACATTATACTTGTAACTTCAAGAATCAAGTATGTGAGTGTGTGAGTGAGAAATGGCGCAGTTTACCACATTATTAAGTATATATTTTAAGATATTCCATTAACAAATCGATATTGGCTCTTATAAAAGCATCGGCAAGCATTTATCTTTATCTTTCTAAGGCCCCAACCTCCCAGTTTATGTACTTATCTGTATTTTTAACCAAATACGAGTGATCGGTCCTGCATATGCAATACAAAACAACGTGCCAGACAAGGATGAGAATACCTACGTTATGCTGGTTGCCTAAAATCATTGCGGCACGCGATTTTGGCGCTCGATGCCGTTCCAGTTACAGAGTACCTATATAGTTCAATGTACTGAAGTATCTTTTTCCCAGCCTGAAATACTACGGCAGTTAATATTTTCCAACATTACATCAAAATCAGACATGGATGGCCTCACGTTCGGTTGATATTGAAGGTGCAACTTTGTTTTTGAATTGTACTTAATTAATAAAAATCACTGTTTAACCAAGATTTATTTGCAGTATTTTCAACAATATACAGTACTAACTAGTATCACAATTTTTGAAATTCAAAACAGACTGTTATAGATCTAAATAAGCAGAGTTTGAAATCCAATTCATATGAGACCGCAGTTTTGTATATGTTACATAGATGCCTGAATCTCCAGAAGTAATTTCACTGGTTATCCCGATTAAATACCATCTATCGTCTGATAACGCAAAGAGGCCACTACCAACGATGGGTGTCATACTGGTATCTACAAATGAATAAAATAAATTCGCAAGATTAGTACCACTGACTTCATCAGTAATGACCATCATCAACTGATAGTACAATGGTGACATGGTACCTATCTGCAGTGATGCAGTTGAGGTACTGTTTGCAAACCCAAAGTACCTTTTAATTTAATGCAGTGTTTATCATAGGTCAAAAATGCGCGGACATTTTTGGACTTTAGAAAGTATTCGCATACGTCATGGTCTACATAGAGGGCTTCCAGGAGTTTCATCGCCGGATTTAATCCCGGTGGCCATACCCCAATCTTCAACACGAGACTATTTTCCTGTAACAGACATTTTTAATCAAAAAGTAATTGTCTACATTATAGTAATATCCACTTCTAACACCGCATCGGTAATTGCATTATCCCAATCCAAACATGCTAGCGGGTACTTTTTTAGTTTCTTGCCATCACCTAATTTGACAATAGCAATGTTATCGATATATCGTCCGACGAAACCGTTGTACTTTTTGGGCTTCACCACTTCGTTCCCAAAAATCTGGAAGAGGTGCTATAAAATAAAATTTTGCATGATTTGTATTTGGGTACCTGTCTCATTTCGATAGAATTGTTGGTCTGATGCGATGCCCATTGTTTGTATTTATGGCCTATAGTTAAAAACAATTTTTCTTTTCTAAATTCGAGTGTAGTGTCATCGTAAAAGCAACTTGCGGCTGTAATTTGCTAAAATCATTACATATATTTGGAAATATAAGGCAAACTTTGATGATTGATGTGTGCAGGTACTGGAGGACGATTTCTGACCTCCAGATTATCCTATTATCACTCCATGATACCTATATGATTTTGATAAAAGGGAAGTAATTTTCATATTGTGATACGTTGGACAAATTTGGGGCATATGAATGTCTAATGATAAGCTTTCCAAGAGCATATACTTACATGAAAGTACGAGACCTTCGGATATTAAAGTTCCGGAACAAATCAGTTTGGGTTCTCCTCCCGCTTTCGATTGATAAATATTGATTGTCCATGGAAAAACTTCCTCTCGCGAAGATTTAATCCTTCCGCATTCTAACAACGCATACTAATTTTAAGGTGTAAATCAAACGTACATGCGCGTTTACCTTTTGTTGACGACGATAATACGAGCAAATTTAAACAAATATAGCACCAGATAAACACAAACATCTCTAACAATTTAAGATGCGCTTGTCAATGAAGTTAAAATGTGTAAAGATTAAAACTTACTAACACCGTAACTGGTTTGGTTTTGTAGGTCTATTTATTAACTGGTTTTTCCAAGGAAAGTGAAGTCAATCTACCTAATTTGATATTTATGAAAGAAAACGGTCATTGGCGGTCAATAAATTATGGCAGGGGACTAATACTATAAGAAATAAAAAATAGGAGTAATCAGGGACAATTCTTATGAAGTGTAGGTACCTACACTGTAATATAAAATATGATTTAATTTTGGAACGCAATACAACATAATTAAGCATTCTTGAAGTACCACACCTTAGCTAGTGCAATGGCATTATTAATGTATCTATTTAATGAATTAAAAAATTTTTCCTTGAGGCTGGAAACGCACCGGATGCAACATTTTGTTTCGCAACATACCGCAACTTTGCGAGCGACGCGCTTCCTTCAAAATCAACCGCAACACGGGCTTGAAACGTTGCGAAACAAAAAGGTGATGTTGCAATAATTTGCCTACAACATTCGGTGCGGAAAGACAATTCTGTTAATTTTCTTCTTTTTTTCGTGAAGTGAAGTGAACAAATAGTTATACATTATGGGCAAAAAAGCAGAGTCAATCCTATGATGTTCCTCTTTGCGTTTATTGGGTCAACTCAACACCTATGGCCTTTTTCTCCATCTACCATTTTACCTTTTAGAGGAATAACCATATTATATTAATAATCGAAAATGTACATTCAAACACACGTCTGTCTGTTTCAAAGAAACGCATATTGCACTGACTTCACGCGCAACAATATATATCGCAACGTTGCGAAACAAACTGTTGCAGCCGGTGCGTTTCCGGTCTTAGGAGAGTTGTTCTAACATCGTGAATTTCCTTCTAATAGATATGAATTATTTATCTAGAATGGGTATCCGTATCGATGGTGTTGTTGCGAATATTCGCATCCGCATCCGCAATTGCGGAACTTCCGATATTGGACATTCGCATCCTCAGCCGCATTCGCAGTTGACATTGTGGATGTTCAAGTTCATGCATCAGACGCAGATGTAGCGGCAGCGCAGGGCGCGTCGCGACAATCAGTTAAAATATGTGAGTGGGGCCGGCGAGTGACGCACGCTTGTTTCTTGTAAGGTCAGGCCGTAACTCAATGATAGCGTGTCATATATAACCATAACTTGATTCATATTTCATAATACTCAGCCATATAAACTTAAGAAAATTCCGCGTTCACATCCGCTTCCGCGGATGTCAAAATATCTGCATCCGCAACATCCTTGGTACCGAACGTCGTCTACATTTTTGTTTTAAGAACAAAAAAATGGATGGTTTACTATTTTGCCCAACATTCTGGGCAGAGTAGGTGCGCGTGTACTTTTGCACCACTTTCCTTTGTGAGAATAGGATATCGACAACCCTTGGAAAAAGTACTAAAATTTTAGTCTTGAAAAAGGTTAGTGGGTGTAATTGTAAAAAAATACGCAGTTAAAAATAATGGCATTGAGGTTTGGAAGCATATTCGCAATATAACAATAGTTATTTATATAACAAGAGCGCGAAGTTTAATTTCGCGCATTGAGACTGAAGGTATTTTGACGAGGCGAAGCCGAGTTAAAATATCAGTCAAATGCGCGAAATAACTTCGCGCTAGCGTTATATGCAATATTTTTTCTACAACTGAACCGATTGTTAATTAAATTTGCTGTTTAAGTTCAACTTTGTCACGTGCGCGAAATACTTTTTTTTCACTGTTGACGATTTTGCGCACGTTGTCAAGAGCAACGTTACTTATTAATTAACCGTTTAAAAATCTAGTACTTCGCGTTTCGAAATCCGTCAGAAAATGACAGGTTTTTTTGACAGTTGTAGAAAAAATTATTTATTCTTACGCGATCATATTTTGCACATTCCTTTGTGACGTTTTGGTAAAATGGTAAAAAAAGCAAAATGTTGTAGTCCGCTTTTTAGGTGAATTTTTGACAGAAAAAATTCCCTTGCGTGATGGTTTTGTCCGTCCGTCTGTTTCTCTCGTCTAACTTGAGAACGGAAAGAGCCAGCGGTGTCAAACCTGCTCCAAATGAGTTCTACTGTGCACGCAGGTATAATTTGCCGTTTTCATGGCGGGCCATAGCAAAACTATTATTTGAAAATAAGTACAATGGATTTAGGTATCATTTTTAATTAGGCATTACCTTTAAATTTGCATCCAAATACCTGTAATTAGTAAAAATAAGTAAAAAGGTAAGTAAGTAACGATGGTTTTATTCAATTATGATATGAACCATGGAATACACGACAAAATTCCATACCCAATGCCACATTACATAATTAGTCAACTCATTACGCAAATTAGACCCGCTCTTGTTTTGCACGCAGACCAATGGCGTATCAAACAGTGCCAAGTCAATAAGTAATATTACGTATGGATGGTTATTTAGGAATTTAGAAATTTTAATCACTGATCATACCTACCTCTACGCGCTAGAATGTGCATAAGCGTATTTTTATTGAATAAGTACCTACTTTGGGCCTTTGGGGCGTTCACTATAAGTGTACTTGTAACTACCTACTTACATGTATAGACTGTTAATATGTAAAGTACTATACGATCAAAAAAGAGTTACTGTCGAGTCACCTTTAAAATTTTTGTTTACAAGGGAAATCATACTTAACTTGAATTTCCAACGGCGACTCCACGTCAATTCTTTTTTGTTCGCCCGTTATGTTCTAAAAGCGTTGACTCAAAACACAGAAAGAAATAGGTAGGTATTTCTTGTTAATGATTAGTAGGCATTTATGATATATTTGATACATATAAGGAGTGAGGGGGTGCCACTGAGTTTTTAGTGACCCAATTTGAAGTTACGCCACTGGTTTTAACTACCTGCTAAATCCAAATCATTAATTTCGTTTTTAAATTTTAATACATGATGTTGAATGAAAACATAATTATAGCTATAAATCATAAGTGGTCATTTGCATGTTAACAAAGGAAATAATGGCAATTTCTACTTCTGAGTAATTAAGTTTCCGCCAAGGTAACATTCTGTACGAGACCAGTGGCGGATCTCCTAAAAAGGGGAACTTTTACATTGAAAGGACGGTCATAATTCATAAATGAATATTTTAGACAATTCCCATCTTTAAGCATATTTTATCTCAATATTGTATTTAAATGCTTACTTCATCCTGAAGATTTAAAATTAAGAAATATTTTGCCTGATTTTTTTATACCGACTTTATCTGAAATTTTCATAAAATTGCTTATTGATCAGTGTGACATCCGCAACATCAGTGGCGTAGTATTCACAATTGACGCCTTTAAAATTGTGCCCATTCGTAAAGTTAAAAGCGACTGTTTCGGTGAAATTATGGTCACTTTTAACTTTTAACAAGAATAAATTGTATTAGGAAGGTTTAGAGTTTCATTACTACAATCACAGATATTACGTAACGTATATCCACAGCTTACTTAGTAAGTAAGCTGTGGTATATCTGTGTTACAATATTCCATTCAACCCCATTTTGAGAAACGATAGATAAGAAGGTACAGTAAAAAAACATTTATGCAATCTTTCAAAAGTATGTCACTATATACACACCAAAACCGAAACCTCGCTACTATTTGCATTTGTGTACCGCGAGACACGAAAAAGAGCGCCATCTATACGGCCCGCTGTGGAATGACGAAAAATAGTAAGGAGTAAATTAATTACATTACAAAGGCTATTTAATATCTAAGATAGGTATGTAAATGTAATATTACTAAATTTAACATTATCATTTATCCAGAACAATAACAATAACAAAGCACGTAAAACCATTAATAAATTCAGCATTCCAAAACAATATGCTAAGGAACATTATAATTTAAGCTTCTGAACTGCGGTTGTTGTGGTTACACGAGTCATGCAAAGAATGACGCATGCTGTATATCACTTTCTCAATAAACGACATGATTCAACTAAGTGACTCACTCTGTAGCTAAGTTAACCTATACAAGTTCAAGGTTTATTTTGGTTGTTTAAATAATTACTGTGGTTTGTTATGAAAACCTGATCATAATTTATATTAAAGTACAATGCATGAAGCGTATCAAGTCTCCCAATTACTCAAATTAACTGTCCAAATTGAGTCTATAACGGCCTACGGTTAATTAAATTCATTACTACGAACAGCCTTACATTATGCCATATTTTTAGATGAAAATTTGCTTGTTGGAACACGACAAGGGCACCTGTTTATGTATAGAGTTGTCTCTACCTCTGATGACAAATACGACGTAGAATTAATGAGGTATAATAAAACCTTCAGCAAAAAGCCAATACAGCAGCTCGATGTTATTCCTGAACAACATTTGCTAGTCAGTTTAATTGGTAAAACTGAAGGCCCTAACTGTCGAATATTAACATGTTCTTGTAGATAACGTTATACAGGTTCACGACATCAATGGAAGTCAATTTCCAATTGTGCACCAAGCGACTGGCACCAAGGGTGCTAATATTTTTACAATTGATTCACAGGTTTGTCTTTCTTAAATCATTACATTTGTGTCATACTTTTTTGGTGTAGATCAAGACGTCTATGACTGGCGAGAAAAGCTTGTTCGCACGATTGTGTGTTGCAGTGAAAAGGAAGTTGCAACTTTACTACTGGAAAAATAACGAATTTTTGAAATTAATTGATGACATTTCTTTAAATGATGTTCCCCGTGCGCTTGGATGGTGTCAAGAGACTTTGTGTGTGGGGTTTCGTGGGGAGTACTCTCTTTTTGAGGTAACATCTGATGGCACTTTGATGTGTAGCAAAGCTTTATTGTAATGTGTTGCCTAACATCAAAGTAGCTGTGCCTCAAAAAATGCACATTGTCTACTTAAAACATTTTCATTGTACATTGTTGTGGAAAATGAGATGAAGTTTGGCAACATTGCTATGACATCCGTTTTGCTTCATCCAATTAAGTGGTGCCCCCTGTGCGGATTATTGCACAATAATACAAGAGGGCTCAATCTCTTTACATACAAAATAAGTTTATTGTACTTTTCTTCCCTTGTCGTTTATGCTAAGCTTTGTCTTCCATTCCTTTCTTCTTTATCTTGGTTTATTTAGTTAATAATTATTATTCATATGACAGTTATCGGGAGAAAAACAAGATCTCTTTCCAACAAGCAGCAGTAAATCCATCGATCCGTGCATAATGAAAGTATCTGATACTATTTTTGCATTGGGCCGAGAAACACAGACGGTTCTTGTTAATGTTAAAGGTGATGCCGAAAAGACGAAAGCGTTACGTTGGTCTGACATACCGATCGCGATGTCGTGGGATGAACCGTACACGATCGGAGTACTTCCTGAATCCATTGAGGTAAGGCTGGTCAGTGAATGGAGACTGTTTGTAATGTTTTGTTAGGTCCAAACTTTTGAACCGGGTGGATTGGTGCAAATCTTGGATAATTTACCGAAAGCTCGACTGGTGTCGCATTGCAAACAGGGGTTGGTTTATATTGCTTCAGTTAGTCAAGTGTGGTGTCTTCATGGCGTTGATATATCGAAACAACGTGAAATGCTTCTGAAGGATAAACAGTTTCAGTTAGCACTCACACTAACGGTAGGTTTTTTTCAGGTTGATCCTTGCGGCAGTGTTTTTTATTTCCTTTTTTATATAAGATTTTTTTGTGTCTGCAAGTATTTTTTCCCGGAATGGGTTTCTATTTGATATCTACATCTGTACATTATTAATGGTTTCTTGAAATATCTCTTAGTTTTTCTATGTGTGATCAACGTATGCCGTCTTAACACTCCCCCCCCCTCCCCCTCCATTATAAGTCAATTTAAACAAATATGCATATTTTTTCTTTTGTGATGCCTATCCAGCTCCAAATGTCTCTGTTATAACAAACAAACAAACGCACCTTTTCATTTTGCGTCACAATTAATACAATAATTGTTGTACCCTTAGATCATACATATTAACTTATATGATCTAACAAGATACGAAGAATCGTATACGATTTTCAATAGGGGAATTTTTTGCCATTCTGCTCGCATTCAGAAACCAGACATTAAATTCGGCTCATGTTCAATATCACGAATCCTTGAACTTGTGAAAATAGATTGGGAAAAATTCCCCTAAAAACTGTCCTATAATCCCCCCTATATTACGCAAAAGACCCCTCTCCCCTCGTTTAATTTGACCCCAATTATTAAACCCTTGTCATTATAGAAAGTTTCTAATGAAACGGAAGAGGATAAATGCGAAAAAATTCACCAAATTCAAACACTGTTAGCTTACGACTTGTTCGCGAATAAAGAGTTTACGAAGAGCATGAAGGAATTTCTAAAGCTCGACACGGATCCGTATGATGTAATTCGTTTGTTCCCCGATTTGCTGCCCCAACAAACTGGCGTTCCGGAAACGCAGGATGTGTCCGAAAAACTTACCGAGCGCGAATTGGAAGACGGTCTTTTAGCTCTAATTGAATACTTGACGGAAGTGCGTCATAAATTGCAGAACGAACCCAAAGTAGTAGTAGTTAAACTGAAGCGTTGAACAAACATTTCTCTATCCGTTTTTTAGCCGAACGTTAACGCCAGCGGTAATTTAAACGAGAAAGCGAACTGTAGTAAATCGACTCAGCAGCTATTGCAAATAATAGACACCACCCTACTGAAGTGTTACCTCCAAACGAATGACGCCTTGGTGGCGCCCTTACTGAGATTAAATCATTGCCATCTTGCTGAGACTGAGCGCACTTTAAAGAAGCATGGAAAATTGAACGAATTAATCATCCTTTACCAAACGAAAGGGCAACATCGACGTGCGCTCGAGCTGCTGCAACGGGAAAAAACTGTCGACAAAACCGTTACATACCTACAGCAACTCGGCGCCGACAATATGGGCCTAATATTGGAGTTTTCAGATTGGGTACTCAAAGAATCTCCGGAGGATGGGCTCAAAGTGAGTGTTTTGGTTTACAAGCAATAAATATTCGCCTTAGATCTTTACAGAGGACTTGGTGGAGGTGGAGACTTTGCCTCGGCCGCGTGTTTTGGATTGCCTATTAAGATCGCATCCGTCGTTAGTCATTCCGTATTTGGAACACGTAGTTTTAACGTGGTGCGATAAGAATCCCTTATTTCACAATGCCCTCGTGCATCAGTATCGCGAGCAAGCTATGGCTGATGATCCCATAGCACTCCGTGTACAAAAGAAATTGCTGGATTTTCTCGAAACCTCCCAGTATTATACGCCTGATACTGTTTTAATACATTTTCCTTTGGATAAGTTGCTGGAAGAAAGAGCTGTGATTTTAGGGAGGCTCGGTAAGCACGAGCAAGCGTTGTTTATTTATGTGCGTGTTTTGGGAGATGTTACACGTGCCGTTTCTTACTGTGGCAAAGTGTTTGAATCGTCCGCAAAGAATGTGGGAGAGGAGGTAGTATTCGAAGGAAATCTACCATTTTATGATTTTTCATTCTAGGTGTATGTTTCTTTAATAAAATTGATACTCGATCCTAATTCGGCACCCAACTCATTCCCCCAGACCTGCCTTTCACCGGTTACGGCTCAACCTAACTTAGAACAAGCATTACAGTTGCTCGAGGAGTTTGGTTCCAGAGTCAATCCGTTATCAGTGTTAGCTGTAATTCCTGATTCTGTGCATATTTCCAGGATATACAAGTTCCTACAAATGGCACTTCATAAGGCAGTCGAGGATCGTAGACATGTGCAATTACTGAAGGGATTACTCTACGCCGAATATTTACAATGTCTTGAGGCCAGGTTACATTTGCAAAGTCAAAGTGTACACATCACCGACTTGAATGTATGCCCAGTTTGTAAAAAGAGATTTGGTAATCAAAGGTATAGAAATGTGCAAATCTAGATTAATTTTTAATGATTTTGTTTTAGTGCATTTGTTCGTTATCCTAATGGTGAAGTTGTTCATTATTCTTGTCAAGACCGAAAATTGTGATGTCATTTTTTACCAAATATATCAACGCTTTTATCTGTCTAGCTAGATAATACCTAATTGTTATTACATATATTATACTGAATAATAGGGTGTCATTGATTTTCATTTTCATTCTCAACATTGAAATACTGAGTCCGTAGCCCTTATTTAAACTCGGTTATAATATATGAGCCAACGAGATAGACCTGTAAGTTTCCAGAATTTAACAACTGATAATTAATTATTCCAGTATTGAAACTACTCGGAAAGATGCCTCATTCAACAATATAGTATATCCCTCAATTCACAATAGCATAATTGGAGAGATTAGATTTTTCCAGGCCTTCGTAAGTAGGAATCGTCTCGCCGCGTGGATTAGGTGCTGGTATTAGGACTCGTTCTGCAAGTTTTACCTGCACAGGCCTTTCGATTACAATGAATAAATTCTTCGGTCTGCCTTAAATCGACTCATTCACATTTTTGTGCTTGCTGGTTTCAATCAATACCTGATCATAAGCGTCCGCAAAATGGAAGACGTGATCCGATATATAATAGGATTGTATCTACGTTATAAATTTACTTAAAGATAATGCTTTTATAACTTTTTGATTTATTCAGTATTCCTTTTAAACAGATCACCCTGTATCTTTCAAACTATTTTTTTGTTTAGTGAAGTTACAAACTATATGGTTGGCAGCGATTTTTTTGTTGGTAAACAAAAATCAGCTGCAATTATTTTGATTCGACGTTCGTAAATGTTTAATAACAGGAAAAATTTCCGTATATTTTTCCATTTAAGGTAAGTACAACTTTTTTAATTTATAAAAAAACAGCAGGGACGCTTGGACATTACTCATTCCAAAGAAATTTCTTTGTTATAAAATCTTGGGAAAGTCCCCTTCCTGTTAACCTCAGCGTTATTTTAATACAGCTGACCTGTTTTCTGTTATATTTTAGTACGCTCAGGGTTGTAACACAAAACAGTAGACAAATTGCTTCACAATGAATTCCGATGACAATGGTAGCGAGAATCCTGTTCCCAACGAAAGTGGCACATCGAGAGTAAGAACGCAAAGCGAATGTTCGGCGGCAAGTGACGATGGGGCTAATGCACATTCCGGAAAAAGGTAAGCAATGCTTTGGCAAGCAAACTGTAAGAAGTAGTGGTAGGCAACGAACAACATCCCAACAATTCATGGTGGCTAGTGGTTTAACGGCTGCGTCTCCTCCAAAATTTGTCTCGTTAGAAGACATAATGAAAGCGGCAAACGGAATGAAAGATATGGCTCTTGTACATCAAATAGCAGTCGATAAAGATTTTCGATTGGAACGTGCCGAACCTCCACCGAATACTGTGGAAAAAGTTGTCAGGGACACGATGCATCGGGCGTTTTGGGATATATTAAAAGAGGAATTAGCCGAAGATCCCCCCAATTACACACGGGTAACTAACCATATTTCGGGACAGTTCAGAAATTATCACCAATTTTCTAGGCGTTTACTTTGTTGGAAAATATCAAAGATGGTTTGTATGGGGTGCTGCTGTTACCTCAGCATATAAAAATTAAGCAGCAAATTCAGGAGATTTTGGATTCTGATCTTATTAAGCAACAGGCGGAAAATGGTGCTTTAGACTTTAATGCAAGTCATCCCTGTGTTTTTGCGTGTTTCATAATTTTTTACACTTTTAGCATTACGCCCAGTATGTTATATCCATAATGGAAAAGCTTTGCGCGCCGATTCGTGATGAAAAAATTAAACAACTTAAAGAAACAGTTGACGTTATTGAAATCTTTAAAGGAATTTTGGAAGTATTTGCAATGTGGATTTAATTATCTCTCATTATATTCGAATGATTTTAGACTTTAGATTTAATGGCGCTGGATATGGCAAACTTCACAATTGAAATGGTGCGACCTGACATTATAGCTCATAGTGTTGAATTAGAACGAAAAAAGTTTGCTGATTACCTTGCTGTGCAACCAGGTGAGGCCATTTAATTAGTTGTTTCTATTTGAATTGTATGAATTGAATGCAACCTGTGTACTATACTGCATAGATGGCGCTGTGCTTGAAGACAAGCACACACAGGAAAATATAAAACGGCACCAAATTATTGTAAAGTAGAATTTTTTCATAAAACTTCGCAAACCTATTATTAGATTCTCGTCCTGAATTAGAAGGATCAATCCAATATTGCCGATATATCTGCTTTCGCAATAACCCCTCCGCCTCAAGCGCACAAACCATCTTTAACAATAATTGAGACATGACACTACTTAGACAGCCAAAATATAGCAAAAACGCATCCCGTTAGACCGGAATAGTGTGACAAGTAGATCTCATCCTGTCAAACCGCATCCGTTTTAGCGGGAGCGGTAAAAACGCATAGTGTGACACCACACTTAATTAACCATATTTAGAGGCTGTCCAGAAATTATCACCAATTTTCTAGGCGTTCACCTTGCTGGAAAATATCAAAAATGGTTTGTTTGGCATACTGTTGTATGTGGATGTGCAAACCATCGTTAACAGCCGAATTGCCTGCTTAATATAAAGTGTGTCCCTCAATTGTTTAGTTGTTTGTTCCAAGACAAAAAATTTTCTTAATTGATTTTTGAGCTTTTGGGATCAGCCTTGTTTGGTTGGAAACTAAACTGTTACATACTAATTGTAGTTTTGAAAAATCATGGGTACCTTTGAAATTTTCAAAAAAGGTTTTTTAAAAATTCCAGTAAAGTGCTCTTTGGGGACAAGATACGCACAAATGTTATTAAGAAAAGTTGTTCAGAATGAAAAACTGAGTAAAAGTGCCTATTTTGATTTTTTAACTGGATTTTTTGAGAATTTAAATATCAAAGTGTTACTATGGGTTTCAAATTTGCTACATGATAGATAGATAGATAGATAGATACAGTCAAGTCCGTCTATAACGAACCCGTTTATAGCGAACTCCCGGCTATAACGAACTTTTTTGAGGATTTGTACTTTGGCCATCGAATTTGCGTCTTTTCTTATATTGCGAACCTTGGATATAGCGAACCTGTTTCTAAGACAAGTAAGGGTTCGTTATAGCCGGACTTGATTGTACTTTTATTTCCACGTTCATCATTGTATACACAAAAACAGACAAAAAATAACAATATGTTCTAAAAAAAAATAATAATAAACTAAAACAAGTAAATAAGACTAGATGAATCGCAGATAGGTACCTCATTAAACAATTACTGTTGTGTTGAGGTTACCATCACTTAAAAAAACCAAGTTAATATTAATTCCAAATGCACTACATAAATTAAACGGAGAAAAAAGAACTTAAAAATTGCAGTATAATAATGATATCAGTGGCGAGAGATTTATAGACTACTGTAACGGTGTAATGAAAGTTAAACTTTAGATAAGAAAATGATACGCCTATTAACCTATCTTCTTGTTATCATAGTAAAAATCAAGCAAGATGGAGACAAAGGCAAAGAGTTATACCTACAAAGAATACACTATTTAAAGATTAACAAAAAAGAAAGAGAAAAATAAACAAATAAATAAATGGTGTACCTATTGTAAAAAAACTGTTACTAACCACGATTTTAAATTATTTGTAAATTTCGTACATATTCTTATACTAGATATGTGGCTTGGTAATTTATTAAATAAATATGGTGCACAGTATGTATAAAAATGCTTATAGGCCGCAATGTTTGGCTTAGGAGTCCACACAAGGTTCTTAGATTTTAATCTGTTTGAGTGAACGTTATAATTGCCCTCTATGTGACCACTCCTAAGGTAGAACATTCTTAAAACACGAAACACATACATGTATCTTAATGGCAGTATTTTTAATGAAACAAATAAGGGAAATGACGAATGTAACATTGACACACCAGAAATCATTTGAATTATTTTTTTCTGAGCAACAAGTAATGGTTTTATGGACGACAAATATGTACCGCCCCACACGCATATACCGTACTGCAACTTAGAGTTTATCAGTGAGTAATAAACGTTCCTCAAGATAGGTTGCGGACAGATAAATTTTAACAAATAGAATTTTCTCATTGCCATATACATATAACGCTTTAACGCATTGATGTGAGGTTTCCAATTGCAACAGTTATCCAGGGTAATACCAAGATATTTTATAGTTTCAACTTGTTCAATTTTTACACACCTTTCGCAGTATGGCTGCTCATAAGATAAACAATTTTGACATTTAAAATAAATATTAATACTACTTTTTGAGTGACGTCTTAGAGAAAACTGTAGAAGCTTGGTTTTGGTGCTTAACACCATTTTGTTGTAATTGAACCACAACCTTAACTTATCTAAATCGGCCTGCATCGAATGTTGCAACTGTTCCGGGGCTTGTGCCGAGTAACACAGAGCAGTATCATCTGCAAAGCAAGTTAAACTTCCGCGGAGGTGCACACAGGTCATTGATGTAAATAAGGAATAAAATTGGACCAAGAACTGATCCTTGAGGAACACCAGAAACATTCCGCAATGATTTACTTACTGCTCCCTTATAGCGTACAGATTGTGTCCGATTTTGTAGATAGCTCTTAAACCATTCTAACGAAATACCCCGAATACCTACAGTCCATAATTTATGTAACAAAATATCGTGATCCACAGAATCAAACGCTTAGTGATATCAATGACAATCCTGCTAACATATTGTCGCTTATTAAGTCCATCAAAAACCATTGAACAAAAATTTAATAACGCATCTTCAGTATGTTGATCTTCCCTCTCGAAAACCATATTGATTTCCGACTACTAGTTTTAAAAAGTTTAGCAAACGTTTTTTCATGAGTTTTTCAAAAATTTTAGCAAATACAGAAAGAAATGAAATTGGCCTATAATTATTCATGTTTGTAACATCGCCCTTTTTGTGCAGTGGGATCACTAGTGCTTTTTTGAGTGGATCCGGAAATTTACCAGTTTCTACACTAGAATTAAAAAAATCAGAAATGATTGGCGAAATGATATCGCTGACATTTTTCACAGTATTCACCGATATACCATCAATTCCCGGACTTTTATTACATTTTAGGGCTTTTATGACACTTTCTACCTCCTGTCTACAAGTGGAGCTACAGAAGAAAGATTTCTCAACCGATGTAGTTGGAAATAGATGGTAGTACTCGGCACTGTTTGTAAATGACAAGTTGGAGGATTCGCGGATTTTTTCAACTACAGAAACAAAAAACCATTGAAAGCTTCTGAAGCATCTTCAGGTTCGGTGACTACAAGGCCATCAGTAGATACAATGTATTCCGTTTCGCATTTTACTTTATTATCCCCCAAAACATCGTTAAGAACGACCCACTGCTTTCTTACATCATTTTTATATTTTTCAAACAGATTAAAATAGTACACTCTTTTTTGTAATGCCATATCTTGCTTGAGTTTATTTGAATAAGATGTAAAAAAACGAGCAAGTTGTTCGTCATTATTTCTCCTGTTAAATTTTTTGTATAATAAGTTTCTAAATTTTTGTCGCTTGCAAAGGTCTACCGTCATCCAGTCTTTAATAAGTGTATGTTTTGAAGTTATTGCGTAAGTATAACATGCCCTATCTATATTCGATTTTAAAATACCTAAGAATAAGTCAAACGCTACGGACACTTCACCCTGATCATATACACAGGACCAGTCAATGACATGCAGAAAATTTCTTAGCAGTGTTTTATCAGTTTTCACCTTGTACCTAAACATTTCTTTGAAACCTCAAGCATTAATTCACATATTACAATATCATGATCACTTCTACCGGAATGAATAACATAACTTCTGTATTTGATATTATCCCTACTTCTTAAATAAATATGATCTAAACAACTATCTCCCCTAGTGGGCAAATTTATCAACTGACTAAACCCATGACTAGCCATTGTACTTTGATACTGCTCAACCTGAGGGGATGTCTTTAATATACATAAATTCATATCACCAATGATCACCAAATTCCTGTCTTTATTTACATTTAATAGGATATTTAACTCATCTAAGAACAGCGCAACGGTGTGTCTATGCGGGCGATAAAGTGCGATAACAGAAAGTGATAAACCACATTCTGTGTCAATGGTAATTTTAAGAGCATCTGCAGAAAGGACATTGGTAATAAAATTAATCCTCGCTTTAAACATAGATAAAACGTAAACAATTACACCGCCTGCTCTTTCGATTTCATTACACTTACTAAACGTAGTGTATCCGTTTATATATTTATATATTGGTCCTCTGTATATCGAAGGAAATTTAACTGGAGATACTTACCTAACATGCTACAAAATACCGTCGAGCCTCTCATCACTCATGAAATAGAGAATCAAATAAATCCAATTGACGGAAACATGAATTTGATGGAAGATTTCATACATTTTCAACAAGATGGGGCTCCTCCTCATTACTCTATGGCTGTTCGTGAATTTTTAGATGAGAAATTTCCGGGACAGTGGATAGGACGAAGAGGTCCTATAGAATGGCCAGCACGATCTCCAGATCTGACACCATTGGATTTCTTTCTTTGGGGTCATTTAAAATCGGTTGTGTACAAAACTGAACCAGCTTCCATAAATGATCTTCGCTACCGGATAGTCAGGGAGTGCCGTTCACTTTCCAGGGAAGTGTTTAAAATGTTAGAAATGAATTTGAAAACCGTTTGTGGTATTGTTTAGAACAAAACGGTGAACATTTTATTAAATAAAAGTTGTTTATTTGCGGAATTCAAATTTTAGTGTAATAAATTGTGAATGGGCAGTTTAAATGTACCAGTGTATGGTATTTCTGAAAAGCATTTTTTAAGAGCTTTCCAATGGTGTATCACAAGCAGTGGCGGCTCGTGTGTTACAAATACAGAGGTTCTGCAATTCCCGGATTCACGGAGACGCTCGTCTCATCATGTCCTCGCAGTGCCAATTCAAACATTCCACAAATTTATATGTAGTCAATCACTTTAGTGAGACAAAACCATAGAGGAAACAAAACACACCGATTTTGCCATTTCTTCCTTAATTTTTTTAAATATTTACCCAATAGACAGAATCTAGTTGTTCTCTTATATTTACTGTGCCTAGTAAAGCGTGTTATCTGTTATGTAAATAGGGTCGGCATGTTTCCTTATTTTTTGACTCAAATGTGTTAATTATCGGTGACTCCAATTTGTGTACTGTACACGATTTATTTCCGCCAAAAAGTGCGCACGGGAAAGAGAAGAGTGCATTTTTCTTATGGCTCCCACATATCGATTCGTTTCTTAAGTACATACAATTCGCGATTAAATTGCCTTTTATATACTGTTTATCACTCGAGCCTTTCTTTTTCAATGAAAATATAGGGGAAATGGACGTCCGTCTTGTTTTAATTTATTTTTTTTCGTAGGTGTTGTTTATAAACTTTTTAACATTTAATAAACTAGGAATGACATCAAATTCTAAAGGTAAGTTCATAGCTCTCCGTTCATACGTTTCCGTTTGTCCGTTAGCCAATCAGAAGACAGCAAATTTTTAAATCGTACGTCGTCCGTTTACGACGGAAAAGTTGGTTGAAGTTGAACATTTACGTTTCCGTTGGTCCGTTTTTAACAAGAGTGAGGTTATGTTTGGTATGTTAACAGCGTTCGCCTATTCGTTCTTCACGGTAATAATCAGATAGCAATGTGTTCTTACTTTCGTACCATTTTCACATACTGAAAATCACGAAGGGTACAGTACAAAATAAAATTTAGGTTATGGTTATACTTGCAAATGTACAATGTGGACGGATTGCTATGAACCTTAACAAAACGTACTATCCGTTTGACGGATCAACGCAACGGATGAACGGAGAGCTATGAACCCACCTTAATGCGAATATTAAAATAAACAAAAAAAATAGGTAGGTATAAACAAGTATAACAGTACGCGAAAACTTTAAACTTGATCCGCAAGTAACAATTCTCACCGAGAACCGAGCTGGGGCTGCATCAGATGCAGTTCAAAATCTCGTTAAAGCTACACACTAAAAACAACCTCCGCGTGTGTCGCGAGGTGAGGGGAAACCTTGAATTTGGAGCGCAGCACCTTCTCGTATCGCACTGCTAAGTTTATATAGTCTAGTGCGCGAAGACTCATCGTTTACTGTGCTGGGAAACTATGCCACCTTTTAACTTCGGCGCTTGTCGCGCTTTGTTTGATTATTATAGGTTTAACTATAAAGCTTATTTTTTTAATTATTCTGGTGGTTCTGCAGCTCTGCAGCCCTTATACACCAGCCGCCACTGACACAAGTGATACGTCACAATTCAAAATTTAGGCATGGGGGTGGCGGGGGGTATGAGGTTGAAGTTGGTTCCTTCTTTATATGACCATTTTGGTTCCCCCTCGATTCTACTGAAACGGTTTTGGCCATTTTGTGATACCTCTAATATAAAAAACGATATCGCCTTGAAAGTTTTAAAAGTGTCACCCTGTATGATAAAAGTCCACTTCAGAACCAAATATCCAAATTTCTGACAAAATGATTACATCAGGTAACTTACGTAGTGAGTGTAAGTGAACAAGGAACGAATTGAAGTTTTCACTCAGACTTCGAATATTTTGGTGTAATAAAACAAAATTATTATTATTACAATTTGAATTGAATTCAACAAAAGAGTCATTCATTTTTTAAACAATAATTCCCAAATACGAAACACATCCATAATTAATTAAAAAACCACACAAATTATTACGTGAAAATAGAAAGAAAATAGTTTTTACTAATATTACCAATCACAATTTTTCAATAACGTCCAACGAGCAAATTTTTATAGCTGGATCGCCTTGCTGTTTTCTTATAAATATATTTCCATTTCGGACCCAAAGATAGTTATAGTTTTTGTCCTTTTGTATTTGACGAGCCAATGAGAACACCTTTCTTCTTGTAGGAGAGAGACTTTCATTAATATACATCGGAGAAGATGGATGTTGAAATCCTAGATGCTCGGTTGAAAAATTTCTTTTAGTTCTTCTCTTCTGTAGCAAGTTCAGCTTATCTTCTCTACGTACAAACTTGACGATGATGGATGCAGGTTGATTGGAATCCTTTTTTTTGCCTAATCTGTGGCATACATCTATGTCTCTGCGCGTCAACGGTAGGTCCAGAGCTGCCCCATCTTTTGTTACCAGTGCATAAACGTCTTCATTTTTCTCTTCCGGTAGACCTTGTATTTCCACCGTATTAGCTCGGGTATATTGTTCCGGTTCTTGTACTCTCGTTTCGAGGTCCATTACCCGTTGTTTTAAATTAACATTTTCTTGGCGAAGACTGTCTATTATCTCCATGTTTTTGATAAGATTGTCCAAGATACTTTTTTGATCATCAATCTTACTATGTACAAAGTCAAACGCCCTACTTATCTCCTGCTCCATTCGCTTCCTGTCATCTTTAGCTTCTTCCAACATCACTATAATTTGTGATAAATCCGGGGTGACCGATTCTGTTGAGGGAACAGTCATGATACTTATACGTCTAGTTCGAGCGCAAGGTGGACATCGCCATATAAGGTTATCCTCGAGAATACATTTTATATCCTCCTTTGTCAGATCTACGCAATTTCCATGGCAGCTTTTTTTTACATTCGCAACAAGTGATTTTGATTTTACTCTGCGTTGTTGGTTCTTGACACACCGTACAATCTGACATGATAATACCGCAAAAGAAACAAGTTTTGGGTATCAAGAAAATTCCGGCACCAGAGATAACTAAACTTTCACTTTCACTTTTATTAAAATTGTAGAAACTGTTATGAATCTTATCACATTTACTAGATAGGTAAAATATTAAACACCTTAAATAATAACCGATTAGGAACACCGCGGATGAAACTTAAACGATTCGCCACAAACGTCTACTTTCTGCGAAGGCCCGTGCATTTCTGGTCATTTTTGAACAGTTTTTTTAAGTAACATTTTTTTGAATTTCCTGAAAAAATGCACTGAAAAAATACAAATAAAAAATCAAAGTAGGCTTAGAACTTTGAAATTTTGCAGGTTGTGCATATCTTGTCCCCAAAGAGTATTGGTACGCTAAAAAACTTTTTTTAAAAAGTTTTTTAACAAGAGACGACCAGCATACCATTGATAGCAGATAATACAATTAAATTTGCATAGTTAATAATCTAAAGCAACGTGTAATGCAAAATGCAGTGACCTATCTTCTCTTTTGTTCCCAATTTTATTTTTTAAAATGACAAAAAATGAAACTTCCAGATGGTTTACAACATACACGTACATGGCTATTAAAGCACTTGGCCAACCATGATGGGAATCCGAACGATCGAGATCCTACCGCTTTTGTCCGTAATCTAACCAAGCAAGTGTTCGCCGAAGCCTGTATTGAACTTTTAGAATGGAACGGTTTGAACCCCTATCCTGAGGTGAGTTGTCAGTGCAAGCAAAATAGGTTTTGACTTTTAATTAACAGACGTTTTTATTGGACGAAGGACGACTATCGGTTTTGGAGTTATCTCTGAACCGAGTGATTCTAATCGGTACCATTTTATTAGTAAGCTGCAGCAATGTGAGTTCCGACCTGCAGTCCCTCGCCTCCTTTAAAGACAATATTAAGCAACACGCTTCGATTTTACTGCAGTCTGTTAGTTCGGAAAAGTAAGTTCTTTTGAGACGACACTTTAACTGAAGCTTTCCGTGCAGAGAACTACCCGAGGCGCTTTCGAACATCGCAGTTCAGGTTGTGACGGATATTAAACAAGCGCAGGAAGCTCACGGCTTACTGGAGTTAAGCGACGAGTCAGAAAAATTATTGAAAGACCAGTTACTCGCGATTGCGAACAGTGATCATAGGATCCGGCAGTTAGTTCGTAAGTGGTTTTCAACCTTTACTTACCATAAAAAATTGCTTTTTTTAAGGGCAAAGAGTGAAGGATTTTCTCCTGCAGATCATTTTATCGTCTACTGCGGCTCTTCAGAAAGTGCCTTCCGGTTTAGCGTCTTTACAAAAGGAGTTAACTAACATCGCAGGACAGTTCCTAAGAATTGTTTCCCATAATAGCACAGTTTTTTGCATTTATTATACCGATATTGTCGCTAACGCATTGTCTATCACTGTGTAATGAATTTTTGTAACCGGTGATTGATATAATTATTGAACACATTCACATTTTGATACTAATGGTACTGTTTATAACATTTTATATTGTGGTAGGTGTAAAATTGTATTTAATTGTGATACTAATTACCAAAAAGGAGAAGCTAGCAAAACTTGTTAATTTTGGAATAAAAATTCTTTATCTTTGTAACATCACCAGCTTGTTAGCTTGTAATAAAGTTTAGAAAGGGTGTGACTCATTTGTTAGTGTAAGTACTGCTATCAAAGTTATTGATAGAATGGCGAATTGCAATCGAAACTGGTATTTGTGGGTAGTTAAATCTGAATTTCTGAAGGAAAGTATGAGTATGTCAACATTAAGTTCGAGAGCGGCATATTTTCAAAAACACCGCCAATCACAATTAGACTTGATAGCGCCAACTACGGTACGAAGGAACGCGTCGCCACTTATGCCGAAATATCGCGCAATTCTTCGGAACTCCCTGCTAAACGATACGAACACGTGGGTTAATTAAATTTTGTCCGAAAGAAACTCCTTATCGCAAACGATCAGATGTACCTACATTTTAACGCGCTATGTCATGTTTTACAATTAAATACACAAACCTAATTAATAATTTATAAAAGCGATAACATTTAAACAAGAACATAATACGCAATTACGAACAATTCTAAAAGGAAAAATAGACACTGAGGAAACAAATTCAAGAACAATAAACCAAATTTGTGCTTATTCGTAAATAATCCCCCGGCGTTCTGGCGATATAATCAGAGCATTGAATAGTGAAGCTTATTCAATGGTCAAAAGGACCCAGTATACAATTCACAGCAATCAAAACATAATAAAGACGATAATTTTTTTTTTCTGAAATGAACAATTAATGGACCGAAGCAGGAGTATCATATACAGACTGTTCCCCTAACGAATGGTACGTGGTATTGAACTTTCATTCATTCATATTGAAAGGTTGTATGTGATTTGAAAACACACTGTGCGGATCTGCTGGAACGTCTATAGCGCCGGAAAGTCGCAAAACCAGAAAGCGCAGCTCCGGAAAAAGCGGCACAGGAACTTCACATACCGGTAATGTGTCCTTTATGATAAATTGTAACGTCCGATTTGTTGGTCGATTGAATCGGCAATTTTTTTAAATTTTACTTGCCGTACGACAGTAGCAGAAAAATTCCATTGAAATTGTAATTGCTCTATGCATGCGCGAGAGTAGGACAGTGATCCCCCTTGTGGAGCGCGCGTTCCAGTATAATTATAGTTCAGTGTTAGCAGTCAATAGACTTTCCAACTATATTATTTTGTTATGTACCTAGGCATCTTAATTGTGTCGAAATACTCGTGGGCGAATATTAGTTTTCAAAGCCCCACGCAGTTCCCCATTATTTTCTGATGGATGATATTGGTAAAATGTACGGGGTTTGGTTTTCAATTTTTCACTTTGATATTGAAAAAAGTTTCTTCATAAGGCATCAAACATAGTTTTGGAGGAGGATTCCGAACTTCCAACATCAAGAATTTTGCATTCATAAGACACGCTGTACTTTGCACGCACCCTGTAGGTATGGTACATTCCCTTCCGGATACTGTTTAAAGCTTTGTTTATCTTTTGATAATGAATAAACAAAGGTTAGCACTTAGTTAACAAAAAATAATGTTCCATGTTTTGCATAAATTTCATAATAATAAAATAATAAAGTTCCTTTAGTATCGAAATTTGAAAAACCGCGCTAGTGATCCCAAGTTGACAACTTTGACAACATAACCCCATTTTTTTATGTATTGTACATAGCCTTGTTATTAATAATTATTTATCTATGAAACTACCCTGATAAATGATATCAAACATAAATTATACGAGTAAGGAGCGCCTGAAAAACATTTTCCAATATTTACCAAATTCTTATTGCAGTTTAAAATGGACAGTGCCGTTTACGATACAGACAAAATTCTGACTTCTTTTGAAGATGGAACGTTTCGTAGAGTTTACGGATCTACCAGGACGATTTCGCTGACGGAAATAATAACGCAGTTGCACGAATTCGTATCGTGGCTTAATACGACCGTAATTCCATATTGTAATTTGGAAATTGAAAGCTTCGATGCCGAACAACGAGCACAATTCTTTCAAATCGCAGACTTTGCCAGGGATAGACTGGCTAGAGTTAAGGACGTGAGGGATCCTGCGAAAAGATGTAATCCTTACATGATTAGGTGCAGTATATTTATCATAGTACTCGAACGCTTTTTATCATAAGTGTAAGGTATAGATTGAGGGGTCAATCACCTAGGGAAAAAAGTTGAGGGATTGCCATATTTGGGAATACTTTCCATGTATTCGCAGTCCCACATTATTCCCCGATTATTAGGTATAAGTTTTCCTAGGTAGATACTATGCGATCAAAAATGAGTTGCTGTCGAGTCACCTTTGGAATTTTTGTTTTCATGGTAAATCGAACTTAACTTGAATTTCCAAAGGCGACTTGACAGCAACTCATTTTTGATCGCCCGTTATTTACATTGTGTTCTCCCAAGTATTTGTGTTGTATTCCCATGTTATTTCTTTTATTAAACGAACCGAAAAACTTTCTAGCAAGATAAAGGCGTTTAAGAAATAGTTAATTTGGAAAATCAATTTTTGCAATCTAGGTACACTGTCGCAATTTGTGTAATATTTTCATTTAGTCAGCATTTATTATCAGCAAAACGTATTGTCTTAATGGCCCTGAGGAAGATCTGAAATACTTTCTATATTTCTCTGATTGTGCACAATATATGCTGCACAATGTACTCTACTACTGTGTGAACCACATGGTCGCCCAGGCCCAGTGTGTGACCCACACAAAAATACAAGATACAGAAAAGTCAAGCAGGACTAACACTCAAAAAATAAATGAGATTCGTCCCACTATTTGTCACCCAAAATAACTTGTGTTTTCACAGATAATTTACACATTCGGCTTATCCAGATTACAGGAGACTCTAAATTTACTGAGTTCGTAAACACATGTGACAACATTTAGAAACTTACGTTTTATACACTTGTATGATCTTCATGTTGTGCAGTTTTGGGGATTTCTTTTTTTTTAAATTTTAATTGTAAATAGGTCGACCTTCAATTTTATAAGGACGAATTCGACTGATCATACCCCTACAACGCAAACACTTCTTCAATTCACAAAACTACGACAACGTACAAAAACTACATAATGAAAAATGCTTCATCGTTAGTAGCAGATGTGTATATAGACTTTGTTTTTTTATTTATAGAATAGTGAATATCGCTCGGAATATCGACAGAAAAAAAGACCAACATCGCAAACGCGCATGTAACTACAATTTCTATCTATATTTGCGACGCCGAAAACCCTGTGCTTGGAAAACCATGAAATTCTGGCACTTGTTTCATTTTTTTCAAACAAACTGCCTTAATGGTATTGGTATACATTTATATTTGACATTTATACTTATGTTGTGTATTTTATGTTTATGTTCCTTATTTATTATTCAAACTTGGCGGGATGGAGAAAAAAGTGCTTGACTTTGGGCAATGCAAATTTTCATATCGTCAATTATGACAAGCGTTGGTGCATATCTCTACCGAAAATTTGGTTTAAAACACCTGGCAGTTGTGCAGCTCTGGGTTTTTCGTGCAGCTATAGCAAGGCATTGAGGGAGGTTCAACATTTTTTGAGAGATTTTGTTATTAAAAAACGATAAAAAAATTTGAGGGCAAATTCGAGAGCAAAATATTGATATTTGCGTCAGCTGTGAGCAGCGTGAAGAAAAAAACGTATCTGTGAGCGAGACTAGGCCTCGTGACGTAAGTAGCAAACACATTTGCCGCCGCGCTAGCAGAGTATACGAATTCACGTAAACTGGGATCGATTTGTTTATTTTATTTATTGTCTGCACAATGGTGCAAGGTTATCAAAAAGCTGATTCGCGAAATTTTTTTTACTTGCATTGGTATACTCTACCAGCGCGACCGCAAATGTCTTGGCTACTGACGTCATGTGGTGTAGGCTCGCGCACGGGTGCATTTTCTTGCTTCGCGCCGACCCTTGATTTTAAAATGCTTACAGTGGACGTATAGGTAAAATAATAAGTTTTCCGTTGCACGTCATTAATTTTCTGACGTCGTTCTTATGCAGCGTTGACAAACATTTAGTATACTATAGAATTATTTTCAAATCATTGTATCTACTGCTAGCACATTTGACCTACTAAGCATGTAGTATCAACAATTTTAGAATCGCTTTTACGTGCCTTAAATTACCTTTAAATTGGCGCCATAAAACCACACTTTTTTTATAGTACCCCACCCAGTACCTACTCATAATTAATATATCCCTACAAACTTCAAAACTTGAATCAAATAAACATTAACACAAGAAAATTATACAAAAATAAACCCACCAGACAACCTATATAGGTTACAAATCTTAACTCTATATTCAGTTGTCATGAAGTACAAGATATCTACGTGTACAGGAATGTAACGATTATCAATTGCTTACAGGCGATCGACTTTTTAATGGTGGAGCTTTATGTAAGGATTAACACTTTGCAGTACATACTGGGAAGTTAAGTACCGACAGCAATTTCGATAAATTCATTAATTAACTTTTCTACATGGTTTAAAGGCTTCACAATTTACATGTCATACTTTACCATCAAAGCCAGGGGATAGTATTTTGCAGTAATAAGTCACTTTTATGTAATTATTTTATAATCTTACAATGTAAATAAGTACAAATTACTTAATTTGCAAATTAACAAGAATCTTCTGTGTCACTCTCACTATCTTCCCCTAAATTTATTATAATTGGCAGTATATCTTGCATATCTAACATTTTTTCTCTTTCATACCATTTCATTATTTCACCTTCAGTGTGTTTGATTGAATTTTTCCACATATCTGGTGTGACGACATTAATTGCTTCTTGCCACATATTTAAACAATCAGCCTCTGTTCTCCCATCTCTGCCAATATGTTTATTATAATAAGTTTTTGTTATACCCCATATTAACTCTATAGGGTTAAAAATACAATGGTAGGGTGGGAGGCGCAACACTTTATGACCATATTGTTCCGCTAATTGGTCCACAAAATATGTTTTTTCTGGTTTAATTCTGGAAATTAATGACAGAGAGTTCACTTAAATTTGGAAACAATTGATTTTGAAACCAATGTAAGAAATTCGTCTGGTTCATTTCCGTGATAATCACCACTTGAAGCTATGAATCCATTCTCATTTCCAGCATGCAGAATTATTTGTAACATATTTTTTGCTATAATTATTGTTACCACTATTAATAATAAACCAACCACTTTCCATCAGTTTTGATAGTTTTCACACTTCTTCCATTACTATCTTACCATGAGCGTTGTATAGTGCCATTTTGGAATATCCACGTTTCATCAAGAAAAACAAATTGGTACAAATCTTTTTAATTGAAATCTTTGTATTGGCGCAGAAAACGAATTCTTTTACTTGCCACATGGGGTAGTTCCATTAGACCTCGCCTGGGCTCGTTTTTTTCCATTTAAATTCAATTTCTTTTAGCACTGTTCGCAATGATGCCAATGAACCATGAAAAATAATAATAATAATAATAATGATTTATTGTCCAACAGATGTTTGTACATCCAATTACAGAACAATTACAGAAATTAAATATGGCATGATTGAAAAATAAACATAATATACTATAAATTGATTATCAAAAAAAATAAAAAAATAAAGATATTTAAATGTAAGGAGACATATATATCTACGAAATGACAAACCAATTAAAGAATAATGAAATAGATTAATTACATCTAATAATGAGCAGATATTTAAATCACATTGTGTGCAGTATTGATTACAATTTTGTGACATCAAACACATTGGCGATTTTAACAGCAAGTTCGTTTTGGGTGTCGGATTAAGAAAAACTAACGGATAGCGACTAGTACGAGGCGGAACATGAAAGTTAAATAGGGACAGGACGCTAGGACAATCAATACGGTTATGTAATAGACCATGGGTAAATTTAAGACTATTGCAAATACGTCTTTTCTCCAATGATTGCAGATTAAACCGGCTAAGCAGTTCATCATAGGGACAACCTCTAGCCGGATAGACACCATCTTGCTTAAACGAAACGTACTTCATAAATCTTCTTTGAATTTTCTCAATTGAGATAATGTGGGTCCAATAGATCGGATACCAGATAAGATCACAGTACTCCAATTTGGGCCTTATTAAAACACAATACAAGGACAACAACGTATCAGTATTTTTAAACGGTTTACTATTACGAATTATGAAACCCAATGTTTGTATAGCTGACGCAGAAAAAGAAAAAAAGAAAAGAAAAGAAAAATGACTTTTTCACGAAGCTGTTCATGCACAGATGCCAGTGTAACATGCACTTCTGCAACTCTGATTATACAAATTGTGAAACAAAGTGTGATCAACTTACTGTTTTCGTACATTTTATAAATTATGTTTCTAATACCATCGACGTTCAAATTAGATACATTTATCACAGGCGATGACGATTCTTTGAAGGCGATTTCAACACTTCATTCTTCTTCACTGCAGCTGATATGGTATTGACCGTGGAGATACTGATACTTAAAGCTTGTGCCACTCTCTACGATAATTACTTAGTAGAATAGGTACCTAATGTAAAAATTATGCTCTTGTTACCTCTCTTACTGACTGCAAAGGTAACCAGGGGCTACCATTTTTTTAGCAGTGCTATCCAAATTCTTCGTCATCGTAATAAATAACGCTTCACAGTACGACAAAAAGTTGCTCTGAAAAGAACAGTTTGGTTTGTGGAATTGAGAAGCTTGATAAAAAGGCACGAAACTACGATAAACTAGACGATTCGAAGCACACGCAAGGTGACAGAATGGGTGACAGATAGCAACATAACCTTAAATGCATAGTACAGAGTCGCGCCAACGTCGCATTTCTGTACCAACCGTATAATTTCAAATAAACTGTTTTTAACTTATAACAATACATCCCATTTAAATATTTAGGTTGGTATGTGAAATTATTCCAGTAATGACGTGCAACGGAAAACTTGTTATTTTACCTATAAGTATCAATATTTTGTGCCCAAATTTTTTTTGGTCGTTTTAAAAGAACAAAATCTCTCGATTACAGTTACAATAAAAAAATGTCAAACTTGCCTATTGCGCGAACAGACTAGGAATTGAAAAAGGCGCACTTATTCAGATTGTCTTTGACAACGCAGATGTTAATGTGAGCACTTTGGACTGAGAAAATACGTTCCATGAGATAGGAGGTATCATTCCATACTCTGCCATACTTCCTGGATAAAGAAATCCCTCGTCTGAAAACTTACATGCCTGCTGACACTGTCAGTTCTTCTGAAACCATGTATAGTGCACAAAAATCCTGGATTATATACAATACCAATAACTGAACTACTATAGGTGCTGCTCAGCTAGTCGGTGATGTACTGCCCTCAGCACCAGATCTCACGCATAAAATTTCCTATACTGGCAAATTTGTAAAATCAATACCAACATTTTTTAAGCCTAAAGCGACCACCTGTTACAAACTGCGGGCATCTGTACGTCGTCTAGTCTAGTATAAAAACAGGCGCAGGTAGCCGCCCACTTCAAAACTTTTCAGGGGCTAGATAGAGATGAAAATATGATACCCTAATTTGTGCACTCATGGCAGACGACCAGTTTTGCAGTAACATCATATCATTTGATCAACCCCTCTTTTGGAAAGCTCGAGATATTGTTGCTGTGACCAGCTCCCTCATTTGCAGAATGTATAGTGGTGAGACTTCACCAATAAATATGTCTCGTCCAGACGATTCTTTTTTCCTTTGTCAGGACTTTCTTCCGACAAACAGTTTTCAAGATATTCGCTCTTAAAGTATTGGCATTATAAATGGATATAATTATTCCAGGATTCCTTTCCTTGAGACCTTTAATTTACATAACCTTGAAAGGTAAAATTAATTTTTACCCCCCTCCCCCCAAAACGCTGATCTCAAAAAGGAGTTGCGTTATAAATGATTAAGGAGGGGAGGGGGCTTCCCTTAAGACAGCGAAATTTGATCGCCGTCTTGCACACACCTTCAAGGTTTATGTTACCTATTGCAAAAAAAATCCAGGACTAAGAAAATTCCCCTAAAAGTAGGTCAAAACCAATCCCTGCGCCTTCTTTCCAAACCAACATTTTGCTCTACCAACTTAACCTTCACCTTAACCAAAGAAAGGTGGCGTAATATTGATATCCTCGCCATGAAATTAAAGTGTTGTGTTGTTTTGCCGACGAAATTGGTGCATAAATGAGGATCCAAAGACCAAAGATGATACCAACTTAATCTCGAGATTAACCAAAGAGATAGCACAAAATGTTATTTCTTAGTTTATTGTTATTTATTCCATGTCCAGTATGGCAAATGTTTTAATTTACGCAGCGATAAATTGTGATAATGGTACATTTCATTTTTGGTTATGAAAGGACACCGTTCCGAAGGAATTCATGATGGAAGGCGCTATTATGGTCACTTTCTCCGTCCGCCCGTCCGAGGCCTTTACTACTGCTACAGTTTTCAATATATTCGTTCTTTTTGAATTCGGTAGCTTATAGCACTGGCACATGAACCAAGAAAAATCTTTACGATTAAGGTGCGCATGCGCAAACTGCGCAATGCCAACTTTAATGTTTTTTTTGAAATTTTAACCAACGATTCTTCTAGTAAAGGCAAACATATCGCATATTTTAAACATCATGTGTGCGCATGCGCAGACTAGGCAATGCTAAGATTCATATTTATGCCATAACTTATTTTCCTTTGTACACAAAGCACTATTCAATGCATGGAAAATGCACTAAGTTACTCGCCTCAAAGCGCTGTCCATTTTTTAATTTTTTGCCTGAATTCCTCTCATGTTTGTGCCATTGTATAGTTTATGTGTATATTGATTTCTTGTTTTGTCAGATCATTAACTATAAACATGTTTGATTAGGTGCAGTAAATGTGGCGAATTGGTGAAGATAGACTGTTGGGAGAGCATTCAACAACATGAACATTTTGAGCAGGTGTTATCCAATCAGAACAGTGTATTGGATCTCCAACCGCCGGTGCAAGTTGAAGGTGTAGGAACTGCAAGTGGCTGTACTTGTGCTGTTACGCTGCCCACCAAGTTTAAGTTTCGTTTTTCGGTTGGATATTTCCCAGAAGTTGTAAGGTTTTTTTACATCACCAGAGAATTTAAAAACGATACGGTTTATATAAACGGCGTCAGTTATTACACGTTACGAATTATAGATGACGATATGTGCAGCTGCTTAATATGTGATACTATTGTCGGCCGCAAATCTGTCGTATCGCACATTGAAGGGAAAAGGCATACTGCCAATAAAGTTTCAGCGTCTTTACCCAATGTAGAAGTCTTTCACAAGCAATGGATGAGTCAAGAGCTGGCATTTCAAGTGCATCAATTGTACTTTGTACCGTTTAATAAGTATTATACGTTATGTGAACTTTGCACTTGCTCCTATGTTGCATACACATCGCTTAAGGATCACCTTTTGGATAAGAGACACAAAAAACTGATTTTGGAACAGTTTAAAACGTACAGAAATGTAGCGATTTTGAAAATGCAGGCGCAACTGTATGGGGAAGAAGTGGAAGCAATCAAACCCGATGATGGACAAACTGATCAAATTGCATCTATCAGTCCAATAAAGTCTAGTATTGTAAATGGTTACATTAACGAAAATACTTGCAATAATTGTTTGACTTTCACGCCTCAATCGCCTATGCGCTTTGATTTCGTTATTCATTATCATTCGAATCTGGAACGTCTGCTGTACGGCAATCATCAGTTTTCCGGAAAAACAAAAATGAAAAACGGCAGCGAGCTGCATCTAATACTGTCACACAATGCCACCGACTGCGCTTGTCTTTTGTGTTGTTGCAAATTTGCCTTGAAACTCACGAAAGAACACTTGGAAGGCGCTAAGCACTTCAAAAAAGCGAACGACAGCCAATGCGTGGATAACTTGGAAGCTTATCACCGCTACTGGATCGGTCAAGAAGTCGAATACCAAGCTCATCAGGTCTACTTCCTTCCATCGTCTGCCAATTCGGCCACGTGTCAACTGTGTAAAAACTTGAACGTGTTTTACGATTTAATACACCATCATTTAAAGGACAAGTGTCATAAACAACAGGTACTTCAAGAGAATTCCCAGCAGTCCGATTTGCTTGTACTTCAGCGGAAAGTTTACCAAACAAATAGCAACAACTTCGATTTGCTAATTAATGATGTGGAACAACCCGATGCTGTAGTTCATGATTTAGTCGAAATACCTTCGACAAGCGCGAACGGTACTCGCAAACTATCTGAAAATAGTAATGAAAAGTCAGATTCGGAATCAGAAGATGAGCCGTCCGACACGGAGAATGACCAGCCGCAAACCGACGCAAAACCCGTTACTAAAGAAGACGTGGAGCATAAGATTGTGAAATCTTTCGATGGGAATAGTCAGAATGAGTTGCATAATTTAATCGAGCATCGGCATTGGGCCGATTTTGATAGAGGGATGAGAATTACACAGACTCACGTCGAGTGTTTGGTGTGCAAAGTGAAACTGGCTAAAGAACGTGAACAGATTTTGCTGCACGTCATGTTAACATCTCACAAGGTTAATGTTGGCAATAAGAAGAAGACTAAATTTTATTGCGAGATATGCAACACACACATTCATCGAGAGCCGACCTGGTTGTACCATATAAGGGCCGATCGTCACAAAGACAGGTAACTATCTTCTATGCACGAATCATATAAGTAGTAGGGGAGCCTAATAGTGGATTTTGGGATTTACTTGAGCGCGTCAGACTATAAAGTAAGGTGGGCTGCCTAGGTGTTCAAAAGTGTGCATTTTAATAATCTGACCGTTTGAACCCGACGTAAGGGCGTGGAGAAGTCAGAAACGCAAAAAAATATGTTACCTTGACATTCTCGAGCGCGTTGGAGTTTTTTTAATTTTGAAGGAAATTATTCAAAATTAACAGAAGTTATTTCCACATGCCAATGTGGAACAAAACGTCAATAAAGTTGAGTGCGTTCAGCAGTTGAAGCATAGGCGGTCGTGTTATAAATTATACGTACAACGCTCCAAATATCTGACACGCTTGAATAAATCCCGTTTTTTACCTTTCCGTACAACCTCCCCCACCATGTAAACTGGCAGATTAACATACCTTCAATATCAGAGACACGTGGGGCATATACACTATCAATGTCTGACGCGCTTGAGTATTTTCATGTGACTATTTTTTTGTACATTATTAAAAACGTGTAGCAGCGCCCCCCAGCGATGGAGGGATGTACCTCATATACTGGTACAAAGTTGATTCAAAGTAAATTTACACACCTCTGGATGCTAAATAAAATTCAACCCACATAAAAGAATGGTATTACTGAACTTAAAATTCACTTTCACAATTAATGAGAAAAAACAGTAAGTACCGATATTTTTAGATTGGGTTCCCTTATTCATAAAAAATACACAAATATGTTCACGAGATAAATCCCCTTAAATAGACCTTTTCAGGAATGTTAGGATGAGGAAGTGCAAAATCCTCAAAACCGGTCGATTCATATTTTGATGCAATTCAAATATCTTACACTTATCGATGAGTTGAAATATCCTCCCATTCACATCTGAGTTTCTCCTTTGGAAGGCAGCGCAATTAATAAACACGAATTTAATTCCCGCATAGAAGAAAGAGTGGGGATAGGTGCATACCTGATTATACTCCCATACGCGGCTCTGTTCTTCTCTCCCCTACACTCACAGTGTTCTCATTTGCAACAACGTGAATATTCCGGTTTTCCAACATTTACCTACAGATTGCCATGTACAGGGTGGCCAACTAAGAATGCGAGGTACTGTATCTGAGAACCTATCCATCGTAGAGGCTTGTGGTAAAAAAAATTATTACTAAAACGGCCACGAGAAAAACCTGGAAAATATTTTTAAGTTTCTGAAATGGCCGCTAGGGGGCGTAACTGCAATCTGGAATCTAAAAAAGTGATGTTTCTGTGAATTCCGCTATATTAACCTAACAAAAAAATGTCCGGTCTTTGAAGTCGACGATAATCTGAACCTTTTTGTTTGACAATTTTTCCTGTATCTCTAAAAATGAAGTGGTGGGGGGTATTCAAAGGTTTCCGTAAAGAACACCCTGTATCTTCGAAACGGCTGAGCCGATTTAAACAAACTTGGGTTAGTTCAAAAGAGCTATTCTTCAGCTCCAAATATTATTGAAGTTTTAATAGTTTCACATATCACCGCTTGAGGGCTTTTTTCGACATTCCGACAGATGGTTAATTTTCTCAAAAAAATTAAATGCATTGGTTCGATTTTTTTTCATGAAAAAGTAGCAAATGATGCCTAAACAAGCTCGCGAAAACAGCATCTCGATATCTTGAGATATATATGTATATGACATTGATAGATAGATATACAGGGTGAGTTTTTTTCATTTTAAGCATTAGGATCTCGGAAACCGTAAGACATAGAGATTCGGTTAAATGAGGAAAGAGTTGTCGTTTTAAGAGCTTATTCAAGATATGCTTTTGTTTTTTGAAAAAATCCACAGTTTACTAGATGTGGGCGAAAAACAGATTTAATGATTTTTCATTTAACTGTTGTAGAATAGTTAGTATTAGAAATACAGAAATATTCAAAGAACAAAAATTGTAGATTTTTTTCCGCTTGATAAGATACATTTATTAATATTTATTCTTTTTTTATAATTTTCGAGTTATAACGCAACTTAAATTTTTTTAAATGGTAATCATAGTTGACTGAGACAATTTTTTGTTTTCCGTGTTTGTTGTTTGGTGATGAGCTCGGTGATGAGGCATCATAATGGACAAAGAATGGCGTTACACACTTATTGCATTTATCTGAAAAAATTAAAAAATATTAATCTTGAAAGACATATATCTGCTAAATTGGGATTTAATTTATCAGGTAAGCAAGATATACGGCAACAGTTAAATAATGCATATCGTTTGAGTATCGAAAAACGTAATGAGGAAATAAAAAAGAACAGGTATGTTTTATCCAACATTATACACCGTATAAAATTTTGTTGTGCTTTCTCTCGCTCTCAGCAGCCATGACAAACGAGAAAATTCAATAAACCCTGGAATATTTAGAGGGCTTTTTATGCCATTTAATAGGCCCTTTTTTTAATTGTGCACCCCCAAGACACATCACTACGCGCCGCCACTGGTTATAGCATCAATTTAAATTCATCATAGACTACTTGATTAAAATATAAAAACCGTTGATATAATTGGTATGAAGCGTATCAAAGAGAGTAACTTTTATATAACACCTTTTTTTATATCTCTTATACTTTCGATGATGTAAGACATTAAAGGAAATGACCAATTTTAGTTTTTTTGAATTTACGTCGAACCTATTGGACATTTTGAATTTCCACAAGGAAATTTTAAATAAGCATCTAAAACTGCAAAACATTGTTTATTTAACCCATTCTCTATCTTTAATAATAAGAAAGTTACCCATGCTATCCCACGCGATATGGGACACACTGTATAATAATAATAATAATAAAATACAGATTAAGAAAATAAAGGAATAGTATGTAATTCATACTTACCAAAATTGATGGCCACAACAGCCAACGCTAACACACAAAAAAATAAAAAAATTTAGCTATTATTATTATTATTATCATTGATTTTAGAGAGGCGTTCGAATGCCCCCTCAACATTTAAGGCTTCCAATATAAAGCCTTTGAGACTATGTTTGTGAACTGCAGCCACTTCATAAAACTTTCCTGTTTGGTAGGCATATTGCTTCATGTTTAGAGGCCTCCTGACTAGCACATTACCCTAAGATGCCTTTTTTTTAGCGGCCAAACGAACCCAATAACTAAGCGAAATCAAAAAAACAGAATAGGGTAAATCAGATTATCGAAGTAAAAACTCTACTGTTAGTTAGAGTTAGACGATAGCTTACTCTTGTTTTACTGCGAAAAAGGTTTACCTTTAACTGAAACTAACATTTTTTTCTAGATGCCAAAAGTTAGGATCAAGTCGACAACTGAAGCTCACGGAATATGAGTGCACAACCTGCCAGTTGGTTATATTCGGTGATGATATGTCTATCATGCGACACCGCATGACCAGGCAAGGAAAGGGAAAACGTTCAAGTACGTATCCGTTATCGAAAAACGCAGTTTTATATTTTATTTCAATTTAGAAAAGATCACTTTGAACCAAAAGGTGAAAAATCTTCTTGTTAGCGAAAAGTTCATAACGCAGGAGGCTAATAGACTTGTAAAGGAAGCAAAAGAAGTTCTACAGAATCAGGCAAAGGTTAATGAATGCTGTTGCGCGATTAAAGCAGCTTTGACGGAACTCTATCCGCATTGCGCCGTTTATCCCTTCGGGTCACAGGTCTCTGGACTAGGAAATAAGGTAAATGCAAATCTTTCCGCTTTACTCGGCTAAAAGTCGAATGTAGGGAGAAATTAATTAGAACATTCTTCGACTAATAATTTTGTTTATGCAGCATAGTGATTTAGATTTATTTGTCGACTTGGACGACATGTATTTCGGCGAAAAAAACCAAGATTCACGTAATCAAGTTAGATACGTAACTGACGTAATGAAAGTATTTGTGAAGAAGCCAAAGCTTTTCCGTGATCTCAATCCGATCGCTAGCGCTAGAACGCCGATTGTACAAGTCTACCACGTTCCTACTCAATTAGATTGTGATTTATCATTTCGACACGGTTTAAGTGTGGAAAACACCAAATATTTACGGTGGGTGGACTTTTTATTTAGTGGACAAGTAAAAATTTGGACGTTTGTTTTGTTTTTCCGGCACTGCCTGTTATTGATCTTGAAGTTCTCATATTTTCAGAGACATTTTCTGAGTCAGTCAGAAAATTTCAGATTTTTATAAATTCACCCACATCGATCAAAGGGCTACAACACAGAATCTAATGCTCTTTTTTAATGGATTTTGTAGTTGTTGTGATAGGTTAAAATATCTGAACTGGGACAGTTGATACCGTGCATATTAGGAATATAGAAAGAAAACTGAACTGAAGTAACAGTTCGTATAGTTGGCGCTGTGTTTCCTGAAACCAGCCGTATAAACGGCCAACTAGGTGGGGGTTAAACAAGAAAATACAAGCTTGAGATCTGTCACAGTGGTAGTTGGTTCTGGGCATTTGATCTTCATCCTTTGTTGCACTTACCAATGGTTGAGCGCCACTCAATTTCTAACTTAACTCGCCCCGTATGAAATTGAGAAGATGTGAGGGTAGTAAAAACAGTACAAATCAATTTAGCTACCAAAAGAAATACTGGTTTATTTAAACAAATAGCACAAATGAAAATTCTCTCCACAATGGGATAGCGTAACACACTATCTAATAATTGCACCAACGTATGCCGCTACTCTGAAGAGAAAAAAGTTTGTACCAGTTACCATTTGTGTGGGGTGTTGAAAAAGGCAATGAACTATGAACTTTCTGAGGGTTTTGGGTTTTAGATTAATTGAATAAAAATTACACAGGAAATGTCTGGACTCCGTTTTGATTGCACATTTTAAAAAAAATGATACTGAATATTGCACTGGCAGATTTAATACTTACTGCGCTTGCAACCTTTACAAATATCTATTCACACATGGCTACTTCTTAAACTGCGCCGAACAAACAAATGACGAGGAGAGTTGCTAAATACGTCTACTCGTTACCAATGTTAAAACCTTCGGTTAAGTATTTAAACAATTCCGTGTTGTAAGATAGAGCGCTGCTAAGGTCAGATGTAACTACGTGGATTGTAAATACAAGTATAAATTGTCGGAAATTCATTCGTTAAGCGGCGTTACAAAGTGCAAAATCGTAATCGCAAAGTGTGCCGCGCAATTTTCAACCAATTGTTCGATTGGGTGGATCCCGAAGAAAAGATTAAGCCAAGAGCGAGCCATCGTCTACATCAAGTTGCCTTCGCAGCTTTTCCAAGGAAGAAAGCAAGAAAGTAAAAATTTCCGCGGCGGAGCACCCCAGAGAATTCTGTGGGCGGTCCGTGCAGAGTACAGCTGGAGGGTTAATTTCAATTTGACAGAAACAATCAGTGAGAAGTCTATAGCCGATCCGTGCAGATCACAGTAACAGTTTAAAAACATTTTGCGATATCCAACTGCATATTTATGTAAAGACGATTTAATCACGTACTTACATTAAGTGGTGTTTTTTGTGGACGCCATTTACTTATAAAGTTTTGGACTCACAGCTGAAAATTCTTAACGTATTTCAGTTCGATATATTTTATTGTACAGGGTGTTCATAAAATACAATTAATTTGCTTTCAGCATCTGACCGTGAGTTGTTATACATTGATTTTATTTCATTTATAAATAAAGTTGAATATTTCCTATCAATGCGAAGTGCGTTTGTGCGAATAAATGTCGTTTAACCATTTAAAAATAATTGACCAGTACTTTATACAAATCAAATATTTAAAATAACTTAATTGTTGATGTGACTGGGGTTTTCTTCAGGTTACGATTGACATTATTAATCAGCTTCAACTTAGAAATATGGAAACAGATCGCTTCGTGGCGGCGCAGCTGAACTTTTGCCACCGCTCGTAATATCAGCTTCTTGTTGAAAGGAAATGTTAGTACAAAGTTGTCCGTATGAATTGCAAATCCAAGCACACCTGCTTCAGGTTCTCGAAAGTATGGATCGATATTTTGTTCTGCATAGGAATAAAAAGCCAATTCCCCACTGTACTGAGTATTAATTTTGCCCATTTATTAATTGAGTTTTGCTGGGAGTAAATGCACAAATTAATTGTCTTTAAATTTTTACCACAAGTCGCTGATAACAGATATACAGATTTATTTATAGCACATTGCGTCTTGGAATTGATGTCAGTAAACTTCGCTGGACTTACTTTTTTAACTAGCCATTACATTCAATTTATTTTATACAAATACCTGCTATTTTACCTTTGGCATTTTAGCGGGGCAACTAGCCATTACAATCGAGATTAGAAAAACGTTCTTTATTTATAACATCTTTAATATCGTCCTGATGTGTCTAAAGTGGTGTGGAAACGAATGGTTATTCGCGTAAATTTTAATCACCAAATGCGAACGCCTATACTATAAATCAGGGGTCCTATTCTTGACCCTACGTATTTATCAAGGTTATTCGTTTTTTGAACCAAAACGATGCACTTTGGTCGAATGGTATTCTTGACCGTTCGAAAATATTTCGAATTCGTAAATGTCATTCGTTTTTACAACGAGCGGTATAAACCAGTCGAATTTATGACATGTGCCATTTTTTTTACCTTGACGTAACTTGTCGACCGTATTCAGAATATGTTTAAAAATCCATTTGAGGAATTGAGTGATGAACATATTTCATTTAACGAAACAACACACCAAGAGACATTGCACGTGAGTTAACGAACGCCTACAACAACGTCCATCTGTGGCTGAAACTCTCACATGCACGTTAATGTTAATTAACGCACTTGCATGTCTTAAGACAAGTCTCTTGGTCTGGTCTGGCTGGCCTTACAGCTACATACTTACGCATAGTCATTCTTGTGAAGGTTTTGGCGAGGGTTTTGGTTGCTGTACGATTTTTTGGAAGCGACCAAATTTCGTAGATATTACAAATTCCACTGTTCGCAACTCACTGTTAAGGGCCTCACAGAAGACCGACTTGTTCGTCCGATTTGCACGACGTGTAACTCAGTTGACACGATCGGACAAAGAAATCGGAAGTGCATGGGTAAAATCGGACGTCGTGTAAAATATCAACATCCGACTTTTTGCCTTCCGATCGAACAAACACGAGGTGTATGGAGTCTGTCGTACTTGTTCGACATAGGTACCAACAACCGACAACAGTCGGAAGTCTGTGGGGCCCATAAGCACTTTTTGTAATTTCCTCAGTTATAAGAAAGCAGTTGTGTATACAAACTGTTGTCAAGGAAACCTTTCGTATGAAGGTATTTACTGCTACCAAATTCTACGTTGCCAAACATATCATTCGAATTGAAATTACAAGCGTTACGAAGGGTACACATGAATAGTAAATGATAGTCGTATGCGAATTTTCATACTTCGTTTTAAAACGAATACGAACCAATTCGAGTGAGGTCAAGAATAGCACCCCAGGCCTTCGAACAACTTTATGTTGCCCTGCGATTTACGGCATAGGTGTTTCTTTGTATCACTGGAACCACCCCCCCCCCCCCCCCGAGAAATCCGAAACCGGCGAATTCGCGTGTTTTTCTAGATAGACTTCCATACGTTCTAAAATTCCTCCCGTGGCAACGGTTATTAGAACTGGCAACACGGTCGAGCTCGCACTTATCTACTCAACACAGATTGCGTGTTATTCTAAATGCTCTTATCTCCAGACATACTTTCGTTTACGCTACCTTTGAAGCGGTATATGTGTAAATTTGCCTATGTTGAAATTCAAATTTTTTAATCTTTGGGATGTTTACGGATTTTTGTCGCTTTGCAGTTTTAAAAATTATTTTTTCGATGTTGAAATTCAATATTTATTAATTTTCTCCAAGATGATGACCATATGTTGGTGTAAAAATCAAACACTTTATTAACTGTAATAACTTCCCCTTAAGTTTCTCTAAAAATCAGTTTATTCACAAATAATGACCGGTGTTAAGATCTATTATGTTTGCTTGTTTACAAAATGAATGACACCTACCATTTCAGTTCAGTTTTCTCAAGCCTCAAAAATTCTTGATGAGAGAAAAGGGCAATATAGTCGACTGATAAGAGCACTATATTCTGCATTAATTTTGCACTCTTCAGTAATTAAAAGAAATAATTAGATTGATCACCCTATTAATGATGTTAAATCTACAACTCAAATTTTTACCTGTCCGTGACTTATCTTAAAATGACCATAATTGATTTTGAATTTAGGCTGTGTATAGAATTGCAACCGACGATTCAGCAGTTAATTCTTATACTAAAGCAATGGCTGGTTTGCACTAAATTGACGGGCCATATCACAACGTACTCGCTTTCGATGATGGTAATCTTTTTTTATCAAAGTTTGGGATATTTAACCGCAGTTCACAAGCTTAAATATTTAGCACCGGGAGCCTCGCTTATTATTGATGGTAAGCCTGTCTAACATAAGTATTGCTCAAATTCATGTAATTTTCAGGCTGGGGCGTTATCAATTTCGATTCATTTACCCCAGAAGCGATTAGGCCACATATTAATTTATGTGAAAAATCTCTCAAGGAATTACTCGTGGATTTTTTTTTGTATTATAGCAAGTTTAATTATGAAAAAGATGTACGTATTCACTTTGTATTTGCAGTATGTGGTTTGCATGTGAACATTTATAGGTGATTTGTCCTCTCTTAGGACATACCATAATAAAATCTCTATTTTCCGAAGACGCACAGGTTACCGGTTTACCTCTGGAAATGTCAATATATGTTCGAAAAGTTTCTGAAAACACCACTGAGCATTTTAGGTCTGAATCGGCCATGTGTATTCAAGATCCGTTCGATTTGAGTCACAATTTAACGAAAGGCTGTTCTGCTGGTATTGTAAATAAATTAAAGCAATTATGTGGTTTGACGCATACATTTTTAACAACGGGAAAATAATGTTTATGGGGTTGAGTTTTTTATATGCTTTGTTTTATTGTACAATCTTTTAAATAAAAGTGCTTGAAAACCCTTGTTTTGTTTTTGTTGATCGCACAACCAAATTTTGTTCTATAGACCCATCAGCTTGTGTAGAAAACTAGTCTCCCTGTTTTAGATTAGGATGCGTTGCAGGTGCAATGGTAGGGGATAGAATGCAGCAGGAATGAAAAGTTACATTATTGAGGCAACCCCAAATCTCAGGCCTAGTCTTTGTCATATCTTAAATCAATTGACGCTTTATTCTAAAAAGTATAAACGGGAATAGCCATTTTAGAACAAGCAAAAACTTTTGCATTTTTCTGAAAAAGTAAATAATAAAAAAGTAAACGGTAGCTCCAAGAATTCTAAAGGGCAAGCGGTAAAATTCAAGCCCACAGCAATGTCCCTAAGGGGAAACAGTTAATAATCGGATTCGCTGGCGGTATCTACAGAAACGCAAATGTAGGGAAGGTAAACAATATACCCCCCTCCCACCCTATAATGAATGGAGCAAACAGGAACAAAAAACTTACCTTGCAATTAGACGGAGCGATAAAATTTACTGTGCAAGAAAAGCTGTAGATACAGTGCGGTAAACTTAACGTTTGTAAAAGCAAAAATTAAATGGTGTGAATGAAACATATTTGCGGAAAAGCTCAAAATTACAGTACTTCTGAAACTTGTGAAGATGCAAAAAGCAACTTACTATTCTGTTAAATGCCAAAAGCAAAAAAATCCCCTCTAATCAACTGCTTTACCATTTATAAAATTCGGCTAATTCATGGGGGAATCAACGGAACGGCTTTTTCAGTGAAACAGCGTATTCGATTATCTACACTCAAAAATTAAAACTTCCTGTTACATTATGGGGCCTGCGGGCGTCCTTAAATCTGTAATGGGTGTTAAAATTTAAATTAATAAGAGTGCTTCTTTTGAAACCACTCACGGCTTAATTGGATGTTGTTTACTGCAACACATTAAACTATTTACTCCTAATTTGCGCCTGCTAAAGGTATGGTTAATCTACGAGGCTGGCCCTGGTTGCAGGGTGACTACACGAATGTTTCAAATACATTTTAAAAATCAAATGGAAAGTTGATGCAAATTAAGAATTTAAAACAGAAATGCCATCGTTACACTGCTACCAATGTATAGGTATTTATAACAATTTGAAATTCATGCGTTTTAAATTATTCATTATCTCCTTACTCGGCGAGGGCGAGTGGAATGCATGGCTACTCAATTCGTAGCGGCGGCAGCACGATACAATCCCAATTTCGAGGGCGGTGGGGCAAGGAAAACTATTGAGGGCTAGTGCTACGGAACGCAATTTGTCGTCTCTTCCCTAATTTGTCACTCAACGCTTTTAGGCTAAAATTTCGTGAACATATCTTAGTAAATAACAAAGTTGAGATGTGCTTACACGCAGAAATGGAAGCTTATTCGACATTTCTTTTCTTTTCGCCTGCGTCTTGAAAACCATTAAAAAATCGCATCTTCAACCTTATGCAAAGGTCCAAGTGTTGAGATCTCAAACCATGGGACGGATGGAAATCACAAAAGTATGAGGTGTATTTTCATGAAAAATGTCTGTTTACTGTGCCGTGCTTTTTTAATGCGATCAATAATGACAAAATCGCATGTGAGTGTTCAAATAAAGCGTAAAACAATAGGTACGAGTGATTTACAATACAAGTGCCTTGTAATTTTCTTATGTTTGACATTGGATATCATATACTTATATGTAGCTATATACTCAATATACCCCATAATAAATGCTTATTTCCTCCCGATCAATATTCGATTTTGTACAAGCACGCTAGTGCATAACAACTTTACCTACTCATCGGTAGTGCAATGAAGGTGAGAAATGTTTTGTATTTTGTGCTGCTTGCGCGTGTTTCGCGTTCTACAGGCAACGTGCAAATGGCTTCAAATGAAACATCTTTATTAACATGTACTGAGAAGGCAATTGAGAAACTTTTTGGAGAAGAAACCCTTTATTACATTTTCAATAACAATACGAGCTACTTGTTACCGTTCTATACCAAGAATCCGAAAGTTATTATTAACGCCAAGGGTCGCTTACGAATCCTAAATAAAAAGAGTTCCCACAATGTTGTAATCCTAGTTGACCATTTCGAAGCTTTTAAAGGAGACATATACGAATTGCATCAGAGCTCTCGTTTCCCTACTAACGGAAGATTTCTAGTTATAACAGACAATTTTCAACTGGTAGAAAAGATCTTCGGTCTATTATGGCGGCAAAAGATTGTTTATGTCGCGGTGTTGGTAATTAATAGACGCGATCATAACAAATCGCGATTATTTACTGCAGATCCACATGACGCCTCAAACGATTGCGGAACCACGCCTAACGTAATTCACCACCAAAGTTGTAATAATTCACTGGTTGACACTCTTCCTAAACCTCTAAGGAACTATCATATGTGTCTCGCAGCATTCGGTATCTTCGCCCAACCGCTAGATCAATTGAGCCGAAGGAATTATACTCTTAGAGTCTTGGCCGAAGTATTAAACGTTTCTTTAATAGCTCTTGAGTACAGAGAATATCAGCATAATGACATCGAAATAATTGATATTGGTGAACGTTTCTTAACATACGAAAATTACCATACAAGTCGATTGAGCCATGTGTTTCAAAGAGACATCATTGTATGGATTGTTCCACCCCCCAATGCCATTTCGCGTTTAGAAATTCTATTTATTAGCTTCGAAAAGGAAGTTTGGTTATTAGTTGTTGGGGTATTCGTATTATTTTCATTAGCTTGGTATGTTCTCAACAGATTCAAAATAGGTATAGGCAGAATCATTATAAATGCAGTAAGTATAACTCTGTGTGGTAGCACCCATTGCATTCCGAAATCATCAACTTTAAGATTCTTAATCATGTGCTATATCATATACAGTATACATATACAAATTGCCTACGTTGCCAACTTGACTCGCTTAATGATGTCAGTACCGACGGGAAAACCCATTGGGAGCTTTCAGCAACTGGTAGAAGCAAATATCACAATTTCTATTGATCGAATAACTTTGCATATCTTAGCTGCTACTTGGAATGAGGATATGGTCAGTGCAAAATGGAACAACATTAATAGCGAAAAAGTAAAACTTCCAAAGCAACATCCACCTGAGTTACTCCACGAGTGGTACGCAAATCGAAATTTTTGTATGCCCATTATGCTAAACACATTGCATGATATGGAATTGATTTTAAGGGTACGCACTCCAGATTATTTTACTGATCAGGATCTATCACTTCCCACAATGAAAGTATTTGCAACCACCAGTAGTGGTTACTTTATAGACAGTGTAGATGAAGTCATTGACAGGTTGACAGAGAACGGATTCTACGATAAGCTGGATAAGGATAAGAAATTTTATGCTGATACTAAAAAGAGTGAATTTATAACTGAGGAGCAAGTGACTGCGCTATCTTTCGAGCAAGTTAGTGGTGTTTTGTTAATATATTGTTTTGGCTTGTTATTATCTTTAATGGTATTCATTGGAGAATTAATCGTGTATCACTGTAAAAAGTGACTTATTGTTTTAATTAATTCATAAATTATACACTCTTTTCACTGATTATACTGTTATATTTATTGGCACATAGCATTGTATAGTGATAATTGTAAACTCACATGTTGATGGCTTGTAATTTTCTTGTAAAAATAAAATCTTTCACGGGACCTAATATATGTAAAAGCTTTTAGGAAATTATTCAAAATCTTACTGCAGGTGAAAATTAAAGGTAGGTATGCACAACCTGCTGATGTTACATCTAGGTGATTGACCAATCCGCCCCAAAAACAACAGTTTTCTTGGCAAGCCTGAACTGGAAGCGCGTGAAATATGTCCGATACAATTTTGCGATCACATTGCACGTGCGTTAAGGAACGCGCCTGCAACAACGTCCATCTGTGGCGGAAACTCTCACACAAGTCTCTCGATCTGTCTGGTCTTCCAACTACATACGCATAGCTATATGTGGCTAGTGCTTGTGAAGGTTTTGGCGAGGCCTTTGGCTGTTGTACGATTTTTTGGAAGCGGCAGTTACCAAATAAGATGTTACTATAAAGTCACTGTAGACATTAATACAGAGAGACTTTAACTGCTGCCGCTGCCCTCTAGGAGTGATTCATTGAACTTTATGTACCTACTATAATGGAAAAATATATCTTATCATAATGCATATAGCACGGTATACCGTGGCATATAGATAACTGTTACAAATTCAATATTGTTGTGGAAAAGTGAGATGCTCATATTGCCTACTATGCTCATGATACCAGACTATATCATACTGTGACTATACCTTACTCACTTTTTTCCCCGGGGAAAAAAGTAATTTCATAAAGTGACAGTTTGTTACCTGTCAACAGAGATAAAATGTCCAATGTTTTCCCGTCTTATACCACCAATAGTAATTATAATTACAATGTGCTGAGGTCTCACTCTTAATGTGAATCGGGAATGATACTTCCTCCAAGGAATATAGTTGAACTGCCTGCGAGACCCCCTCCCCCGCTCCTCGTTCTTATTTGTTAAGGCACAAGAGCTGCAGTCTGTACAAGATGAAGGAGCAACATATGCAGCGGAGAATCTAACTGCTTGCAATGCTCTCTCCAACGAACAGTTAAATGGGAAAACGTTCTTTGGCAGCTGTGTAGAACGATTGCTTTGTATACAAAGCGTTTTGTATTTTTCGCATACTACCATATTCTTCTTTCAAATGTGAGGTGCATTCCTTAACCATAGAGGTATGTTACGACAGAGTTGGAGAAATAAGATCAATCATGGACACCATTTGTTGCGTCACGTGTTCAGAAAAACTGTTTGCTAAAGGGGTATTTACATGAGTCAATTTTCGCTGTGCGATTAATCACTTCACAAATTTCCTCACAAAGCCGCATCGCCACCCCATTTACACAGTTGACTAAATCGCAAGCGACTAGGCCAAAAATACAACTAGGTACATGCGGCGGGCGATCGTCTGCGACTGGCCATTTTCACGGTCGATTTTAGTCACCAGCCGCATGCTGTCCGTCCTCGCACGGCCAAAAGTCGGATACTAATCTACTTTGGAACAAGCGATTTTAGTCACTTGCGGCCTAGCCGAATTGGTATTTAGATAGTCGATTTTTGCCGTGCGGCGTGGTCGTGCAGCGAAAATCGACCTGTGTAAACCCCTTTTAAGTGACATGATGGAGTGGGTGCCAGGTGGGTACAATCAACAGGAAGGTACAAGACCAAACGGGGGGAGTAAGAGCTCTATGACATATGTGATGCAGACCCATATGTGAGTAAATGATAATAGATCAAGCTACATCCTGAGTATAAAGACAAAACTCGTGGGTGTTTTTATTTCTACATTAGATAGTAGAAAAAGTCGAATCTTCAACAGGAGCTTCTGCGCATAGGTAAAAGTACATACTTTATATAGTTTTTACAAAGGTTATTTTGTGAAAAAATATTTATAAATAGTTACATAAGAAGTAAAACTAGTCTTACTGCTCTACAAAATATAAATAATCAATCCCAGATCCATAAACCGCTTCTAAAATTTTATCCATTATTAATTGCATTTCCATTTTTCTGTCAGTTTTCGTATTTGAAATTGCGTGCACCAATTCTTCCTTATTAATTTCCTCGATGTGGCATTTGGATATAATCGTCGAAATGATACTCTTTATCGTCGTGAGCTTCAATAGGTAATCCAACGGTAGACTACTAACTAACTCTGATAGCACTTCGCTCACAACTTCCGCGGGGTTATCAATTGTTTGAATAATTTTCTCTATAACTTCCGCCACTATGCTTGAAGCAGACAATTTATCGCTGATCATCTACAAAAAGACCAAACAATTTTTATTTTAACGCTTTGGTTTGGGTGTACCTCAGGTTGTTGCAACAAAAAGATCTGCTCTGCCACGGTTTCTATGAGTTCTTGCTGGGCCTCCGTAGGTTCAATTGGTAGAAGCGCTTGGAGGTTTTCGGCCACTTCTTCAACGCTAGGCCGTTGTAGTATGTCCATTATCAAGTGATTAACCAGACTCTCTCTGATAAACTTTGTAAGACTATATGGGGCTATTGTGTCTATTAATTCCATCACCAGTGATTTTGCCATATTTAGTGTTGACATTGATAACCTGAAACGAGTACGTATGCTTAAAGTAATTGTTACATAGTTAAAGAAGTACAATGAAGAACTGGAACCGGCAATTTTTTGTTCTAGCGGTTCTTGAGCAAGTTCGGTCAAGTCAACCGTGCATTCCAATTCATCTTCTTTATCTTCCTTTTTAATTTCTGGATCTTCAATGGGAAGCTTCGCTGGCGCCTTTGCTTTATCAACCACAAATCCCTTGGTCTTCAAGCGAGCTATTTCGTTTTGTAACATCTGTAGGCCAATACACTAGTGCAATGACAGAAAAATCAATTCAGCTCACTTTCAGCTCCTTGCGTTGGTTTTTGACAATGTTTGATAATTGCTCCAAATCACTGCCATACAACTTAAGTATGTCCGACTCAGTTACAGTATCCTTCTCCCGTTTTTTTGCTTGGTAGTCGATCGTTCTAGCCAGTTCCGCCTTTTCCTTGTTAAGCAACCCTAACAAATCCAAACGGGCCGTATTGCCTTTAATGGTCTCGGCTAGTTCGACCTGAGTTTTCGCGTAAATTTGCTAAGAAAACGAAGATTAACGATTTTTTTTATTATGTGAAGGATGTACCGCCCACAACAATATTTCGTCTTTATATAACTTATCCACTTGCTCTTGAGACACCCGAAGCTCGAATACCATCTTTCTCAAAGCAGACTCCTCTAAATCGTCAATATTCGCCAACGGGCTACCGAACATCATTGCTTTGATTGAGGTTTCTTCGACATCCTCCACATCTACGACTTGTCCAAACTTTATAATCATCAACTCCTTGATTTGGGCTTTTAATTCGGCAATGTGCTTGTTCATGTGTTTGCAATCGGTCCGCATGCGCGTCATGTGGGTGATGTTTCCTCTGTGAACACGATTAGTATGGGATATTTTTAGAAATGGCTTACTTGTGTTTTGACTTTTGCTTCATGGTCTCGTTATGTAATTGACCTACTCGATCGTACAGATTACTTAGGGTGTCCTTGGAGAAGAGCAATACATCACCCACTTTACTAGATTGATTTGAAGAGACCAAATGTTGCAGTTGATTGAGTTTCAGCACTACTGTCGTCGCAACTAAGTTGATTTTCTGTTGCTTCTCCCTCTAAGATACGTTCGTAGACTAGGGGCAAATATTTAACAACGTTACCTGGTAGGCTTCTAAATCCTTTTCACTTTCCTTTAAAGTTTTGTCAATCATTTTAAGTTTTTTAGTTTTTGTTGCTATTTCTTTTGCTATAGAGTCTATATCTGCTCTCAGGTCTTTTATTTGCAATTCCACACCATGTCTATAACAAACTTATAAGTTTGTATTGTTGTATTGTAAATTAAAATATTATCGTCAAATGGGGTAAATTGGGATTTTTTCAGTTATATTAATTTGTTGTTCAGTAGCTAATTGTATCAAATAAAACACTATGAGTAGGTATAAGGAAAATTTATTTGAGATACCCCCGACCGAGTGAAATTTAGCAAGCAATTTCAAATTAAACTAATGAATAAAGTTAGTGTTAAACTGTCGACCGTAACACAACATTCAATAAGATATTTATCGCAATGCTGGTTTTAATAAACAAAGTCTACTAAAGTGGTCTACCTTTCGGGATACCTGTTTTGGTTCTTGAAGCCGTGCTCCAGCTCCCTGTATTTCACTTTTCAAGTCTTCAGTCCTGAGCCTCAAATTGTAACGGTTTTAGACCTTTGGACAGTCTCTCCTTGAAAAATTCCACATTTTGCCCATTTTATTAATTAGGTTTTGTTGCGGGCAAATACATCAATTAATTAATAAAAATTTATTTAACGCACAAGGCGCTCTCCAATGACGTCACTCAACGTTGAGGCACTTGCTTTTAACCAGTCGTTATTTGGCGATCCGAAAGAAAAGTTATAGTTTGTACAAACCATTTCATTACGATGAGACCTTTCATCAGAATGCCATAAAGGGTAGAACGTGTATGCACCTCCCTCTCCTCTTCATTTTCAACATTTGCTGGCACCACTGAAGCCCCTCCCCCCTTAAGACATCAAAATCGAATTTTGACGGCCGTCTGGCACACCTTCAATGTATCTAGGCTACCTATTGCAAAAATTCCAAGACTCGAGAACTTCTTTAATTCTTAAACCAGGTGTCAAATTCTTGACAGAATAGCTTCCTAGCTGAAACCAAAAATTGCCAACATATGTACGCACTGCTTTTATTAGAGGGACCTACCATCCAAATTTCGTTAAAATTGCTCCTTAAATAAGAAAGTTGGATGTTGCACATGCGCAACACTATTTTTTGCGCATGCATTTTGTTAGCTTTTATTAAAAGGACCTACCATCTAAATTTCGTTAAAATTGTTCCATAAATAAGAAAGTTGCATTTCTGCGCATGCGCAACACGATTTTTGCGCATGAATTTTGTTTGCTTTTATTAAAGGGACTTACCATAGAAATTTCGTTTAAATTGCTTCAGAAACAAGATCGTTGCGTTTTGCACATATGCAACACAATTTTTTGACTTTGACAATTTTTTTCTCCGTTTTTTGATAATATAACCCGGCCCAATTTTTTGTAGGTTGTACACAGGAAAATAAGGTCTTCCAAATAATAGAATAAAAATTTTAGGTTGCTATTTGAAAAAAAAAGTTCGATGCCGTTACGGCGCTCCAAAATTTTTTTTCAAAAATCCGGCCCGTTATTTTTCTGTTCGGTATGCCTAAAACATATATACAAAATTTCAACAAAATCCGTCGAGCCGTTTTCTCAGAAAATTGCCAACAAACGTACGTACGTATATACAGACGGAAAAAAATTTATTCTTTAAAAGTTGCTTAAAATGGTCTAAAACGTCGACATTTGATGAAATTTTGAAATGTTCAAAAAACGGCTATCGCAATAGCTACCTAGCACATGCTAGGAAGCTAAAAATGTGCTCACAAAATAATTATAATTTTTCTCGGTCACGACGAAAATCTCGATATTGACGTAACTTTTATTAAATTAAAAAAAATCAGCAGCCTTCATAGCCCCCGAATTTCAAAGAAGTAATTAACAGATTTTTAATTAACACCTCATCATTTAGAAATGAAACCAATTATTTGACATAAAACAATCAAGCTCAAAGAAAAACAGTCACTCAGGGCCAACAAACATGTACCACGCAAACAAGCGATCGATAGACAAATCTTAATTACTTACCTTAAAGTGTCAATAATCCAAAATCTCTGGCCAATTGCGATTTTTTGTATCAGACGCACAATAACAATCAACTCAAACACCAAACTAACGCTGCTTCACAAACTCTACTTCTTTCCCTTCCCTTGCTTAAATGATGATTTTAACGAACTTTTCTTGTCATTTGAGTTGTAAATGTGGTTTTTAGCTATAGTAATCGTGAAAAAAAACTGCATTTTTGGATAGAAGCAAGCCAGACATCGCTACTGTCGTTCGGCAATATTACTATTGTCGCTATTAGCAGGACTATTAGTAAGTAAGATAAAACAGCTATGAATGTCACAAATTTGGTTCAAAAGTAAGAAGGGGGTATTGTAATGGGACTAATGGCCACTCAAAAATAAAACACAAAGGTATCATTAGGTACTCCTTTTTGAAAGTACAACATTTGGATAGCTTGTAGCCAGTAACCAAACTTTGAGAATTATAAATGGAAAGGCTTTTCGAACTGTGGGTAATGGATTGAATTAAGTTGTACACACCTTTTAGTTCGTAATTCGAACGTCTTTGCATAAAGCGCCGGATCGCACCCCTTCGGGCAAACATTCTCGTCGAGCCTGACGACGGTAAAATCACGAGAATCGATACTTCCGGCATCCAACTGCTCCGACTCCGAACTATCGGAACTTTCAGACGACGATGACGACTCTGAAATTAACAATTTTTACAAACGGCGCAAGCGACGTCCAGATGCTCACCATCTGGATTGTACACTCTAGGTGGCTTGTACTTTTTCTTGAAGATTCGACGAAGAAAGTCGTAGAACTTGCTATCGGCGGCGGCCCCGAGAAATTGTTGCTGTATCGTCTTTTCCTCCTCTTGCCGGTTTTCAATTTGTCGTTTATTTGATTCGATATTTCCATTTAAGGAGGAGATTAGGTCTTGCATGTCGAGCATTTCTTGCATGTTAGAGTAGACTGTAGCTTGCAATTTATTCTCAATCGCTTCGAAGTTGTTGAGGATTAATAATTCTTGATTCAAAGAGATGATGTGGAGATCGAGTAGGTCTCCGTCACGTCTCACTTCAATCTTCTTTTGCGATACGCTAATAACATCGTCATCAAATTTGTTTGTTGCTGTATTCATTTTGTCAAGAATTCGTTGTTGTTCAAAAAGATACCTAATTTGTACAGATTAACTAGTGTAACAGTATTAAATGAGACATACCGCGATAAACGGTAGTTGCGGATTTCCGCCTCCCATGGAGTGTCAGTGTCAACACACAATGCAGCTACAGCTGGGTTAATAAACGGCTCGACAGTTTTCTTCGTTCTTCCTTTTTCAACTCGAGGCTGAGGATACAGCGTTGAAAGTGGTTTTTTCATTAGCAACACCTCCCTTTCAAGCAAATCTCCTTTAGGAATCTAGAAATTGCAATACATTAACGCTGAGTGGTACAACTTTTTTTAAAAATACAGGAACGATTTTTGCTTGGACCGTCTGTGGTACTTCGGCTAACTTTACATTAATGTCCAAATTCGTTTCCGGAAAATCTTCAGGTAACATTTCTGGCATGGGTGGCGATAGTTCTATCAGATCTTCGCCGATTTCTTGTTGTATAACATTCAACCTTTCTTTCATTTCCTTCAGATAATCAATCAAATTTACTCTATCATCTCGTAGTTTAACAATGGACATGTTTAGATTGTGTCTTAAATTGTATTGCTGCAATATTGAGTTTGTGAAATGTATTTGTGCAAATTGCCGTTTACGTTTAAACGAGCGTGTAGCAGTTGTTTATATTTCTTCACGGTCGATTGGCGTAAGTGCTTCGGTACCGTATAATCAGGGGCAGTTTTTAATTTAAAATTCCCAATAGTCTCGATGGCTTCTGCCAAGGCGGCTTCGTCATCTGGATTGTTAACTCCCTTGACTGGTTTTCTTGCATTAAACATGATCCACTGAAATTTTGTCATCGAAGAAGTTTTGTTAAAAAACTGTACCCACCTCTCTGCGTCGCTCTTCCATGCGTTCCTTCCGTTGCCTATACTTACGCAGAAATCTTGCTAATTTCGGCCCCAAACCCTTTTCAATGGTAGACGGCGATAAGCCCATAAGAAAGTATTCGAGACGTTTTGCGGCTCTTTCTGGTATCTTGAATGTTTCTTGTGCCACTTGAATTCGTTCTGGGGGCCTATATATGTACATAAAAATTAATTTAATTATTAGCACAAATAGGCGCTTACTTTCTATTTCGCTCATCATCTAAAATTTTCTGCTCTATAACTTCCAGCATATCGGAGAAAGCGCTTGATAGTTTTTGCTGCCTTTCTGTTTTCACAGACACTTGCTTTGTAACGCATTTAACAGCGATTGGAAATACATCCAAGTCATCGGCGAAACGATTCTTCAACTTGACCATGCCGACTTTGGACTTTTCCACGTTATACTCCAACTTCCTTTTAACCAAAGCCAAGTCGGCCGCAAACCGTTCGGCCAAATGCTGACTGATTCTCTCATCAATTTCAAATCTATTTCTTGGTATAACCTGGGTCGACATCAACTTATCGTTACGCTTTAATACGTTCTGAAAGCGTTCGCGCAGCACGCGAATTTTTTGCAAATAATCCCGCCTGCGCTCGCTAGCGATCCGATCGATTCTGTCTTGTTCGGCTTTAATCAAAAATTCATCCAGACTTAGATTTGTATAACCATCTACATCTTCAACTTCAAACGCAGATCTTAACACTGGGGTGCATTTAAATGGAGTTTTTTCCGGTGGCTCTATGTCGGGCTTGTAACGATACGAGAATATATTTCCATCATATCCGCAAGTGAAGAAAAAGGTTTCGTCATAGCTGAAGCACATCCTGGAAATGAATCCGTTGAAGTTGTCATGCATTGATAGTTGCCAATAGTCGGATAAATCTCGCCAGTCTGTTGGATTAGTCTTCACTACTCGTAGAGCGCCGTCTTCCATTGCAAGAATTAGATAGTTTTTGTCACTGCTAAAATGTAAAATACTTTAAATTAATGTAGTTCAGCAAACCTCCGAACACTGAAATTAGGATATTCGTACCAAAGCAGCCCATGTGGCTCCCATGTTTCCTCTAAGAACCGCGGGACTAACTATGTAACATTATGTAAACTCCTTCAGACACCTGATGCTCAAATTTCTTAAATTCGATTGACCAAGAGCTCGGTACAATCCATATTGAATTGATCCAGCGTATATTAAAAATAAAGTTGCAAAACCGAATACAACTGTAACGAAGTATCTACTCATTTTCCGCCTTAAAGTTTCATACCCAAAGTTATAACCACACCGATAGTCCAGGAAATCATGGTTTTGTCCAGGAAATTTTTTCAAAATGAATCGATTAACTTGAAATTTTGGCGGTAGGTAGGGAATAGCCTAAGGATCAAAATGTAGGTATATGATGCCAAAGGGCGTTCACGCTGGGGTGTGGCCATTTTTTAGTGTAATCTTAACACAGGAACAGATACAAAAATTAATTCTAAGCAAAAAGTGTTCTATACATTTTTTGGGAAAGTTAATACTTACCCAGTTATTCGAGACGGGGATCTTTGCCAAAACGTAGAACTACTTAAAATAGTGATTCACTCCCATTATATTCCACATATTATGTATATATTTTATACATTATATAATATTTTTTTATATTTTTTTTATTATATATATGGTGAAAAAAAGTATAGTGGGTGTTTGGCCGTTGGTAAATGTGTTTTGCCACCATGGACGTAGAGAGTCGAGTCTAAAGGGGGGCCAGAGTTATGCCGAACTCGACCGTTGGTAAATGTGGTTTGCCACCGTGGACGTAGAGTCGAGTCTAAGGGAGTTTTAATATTAAAATTTAAATAATTTAAAATAAATAAATTTAAATAACATAATTTAAGGAGTGTGAATTTTTCATAGAAAAGATCACTGTTTTTAATTGGTTATCCGCGAAAAACTTGAAAAGTATGCATTTTATAAAAACAAGTTGTAAATCAGCATATATGCATGATTAAAGCGCATTTTTGGTAATGCAGGTCAGTATTTTATTAGCGAAGTTTAAAATTATCGATTTCACGAGTAATTTTGGCTGCGTTAAATAATTAATTTTATTTAATTTTAATTGAGGGTACGTCTTCATTTTGTAAAACAAATCACAAAGTAAATAATAAGTTTTTATACTGGTAGCGCTATCTAACGATAAAATTATAGCACCTCATCGAAATTATTTTCTTCAATTATCGATCTCACAAGTAATCTAACTCAAAATAGACTAGTGCCTGCACATCTACACTATAGCAGAAAGCTTTTAGTGAAAATTTGAATTCTCTAGCTATTGTAGTTGTGGAGATCTCACGCGGACAGCCGGCCTGCCAGCCATAACGAATATAATAGCATATTTTTTCAAAAATGCGCTAAAAACTGTGGAGAAGAAAATCGTAGCTGTTAAAAAAACAAAGAAAATGGTTTTTTAAAACTTGATGTATGACCAAAACGAACCGAGATGTGGCTTAATTGTTAATGGTTATTAGCTTTTGTTCGTCAAACGCTAAATTAGAGGGTTTCTCAGTCAAATAACGGCAAAAATTTTCATTTTTCGAGAAAAAATTGTACAATATTCTTTAAAGTATCTAAAAAAACCTTTCTTCCTTTTTTTAAAAACAAACTTCAGCATAAAAATTAAGTCAGTTATGATAAAAATAAAGTAAATCGTACTTTTTACTTTCCGACTACATATGAAGTATGTATAAAGGAAAGTATTGTAATCGTAATTAATTTTCGATATGCCAATATAGCGTTTTCTGGACGACACACAGATACCAAAAAAGATGGCGTCTTAGTGCTGGACAATATAGGAACCAAAACTTGGACCGCCTTTTGTTGCATGGAAATGAACCTTCTATTTATCTCGACTGCATTGAAACTAGCTTTCAGGTATCATAAGACCAGCACTTGAAAAATCAAACGCGTACAAGGCTCAGCTCCCAAAACTGGTTAATTTTCGCTTTCGAATTAAGGTCCACTCAAACCGACGCGGGAACGGGCGAGCGTGACGGATGCGGGACATATTGCTACAGCGCGGCATGCGTGCTAACCACGGCATCGATATGCATATCCTGCTACACGAATATATCCGTCCCGCTCCCGCATCATCGGGTCGGTTTGAGAGGAGTTTCAGTTTTTGAAACGCCACTTTAACCATAATTTATTAATTGTACCGGGTGACCTGATAAGACTGTTCCTCGGCCATATCTCGGGAACCGTTCGTCGTATGACTTAGGACTAAAAAAAATTATTGGGTAAATCGGTTATGATTTTCAATTTCGCACATTAAACTAAACATTCTTTTTTCACATTTTTAACGAGAACCATTTTATCTATCATTTTCGTAAAAACAAAAACTCAGTTATTTCAAAAACAAAGATGGTGTGGGGCGTGGAGCATTTAATATGCTGGCGATATATTTTAATTAAAATGCGACCATCGCATCTTCTATTTGCGTTATCCGAATCAACCACGAACCATCGCCGCCAGCATATTAAATGATTCTTGGTTAGAAATCTGCATTTTAGAAAAGATTACAAATTCAAAAAACTGAACTTTATGAATGCAAACACAGCAGAACAATTTACAAATTACGGCTGTTATTATTTTATAATGCATCGTGTTTCATTTGTTTAATTTTCCAAGGCCTACCTAAAAGTGTAGGGTGCTTTTCCAAACAATCTTTCGCGCCATCGACAAATACCGGAAATACGTCAAATAATATACAATTTAAGCATTTGTATTAATTAATTAATTAATCTCATTTTCCCAATATTTGAGGTTAGGAACGACATTTTGAAAAACGGTTTTCACTGGCCTCTTTGGATGTTATTTGGCTACTTTTTCATCATTCCATTTGATTTTAATAATTTTTTTAGGATTGTGGATCATAGTGTCAAAACTAGCCCCCTGGCAGAGAAGAATTCAACTAAATTAACTATATTCTATATCTATATTCTTATTGCCCAAGGAATGTTCTTTTCAACGATACCAAATTTGTTACAATCGGTCAAACGGTTAAGAAATTAAAGCAGGTTATTGCAAAAACAATTGAACGCCCCACACCATCTTTGTTTTTTAAATAACTGAGTTTATGTTTTTACGAAAATGATAGATAAACTGGTTCTCTTTAAAAATGTGAAAAAAGAATGTTTAGTTTATTATGCCAAATTGGAATAGAATGCAATTTTAAAATTTAAGATGGCAGTTTCGCCCTCTGGTGGTCATTTTTAGAACTTGAAAATATTTTCCGGCGTCTTATTGGGTGATCCGGTACATATATGCGATAGTTCTCAGTACGAATGAAACGTATGCGTATTTGAGGAACAATTTATAAGCTAAAACTTTCCACTATTTCCTCAGAATGAGGTGACCGAAACACCCGATTACTTTGCTGCTTTTCCCACATTGCGGCGTTCACTATAAATAATATCTTATTTAAAATTTAATTTAATATAATATCTTTATACGATAGTTCCCCATACGAATTTGCACATATGCGTGTTTTAAAAACAATTTGTTTTTCCAACTTTTTCGGAATTTAAATAACTGCCGCCTTCTTTCACTAACTTTTATTTTTTTGACCTGCGTTGCTTCTTTGCGCGTCTTTCTTTCGTCTATTCCCGGCTGTAGCACCGATCCCGAACAAACTAAACTGGACGATTCGTCTCAAACCGCATAGAGTTAGATAACTTCGCGCCTTTCCATCAACCTCGAGTTCCTATTCTTATATCTGTGGCTCGGCGCCAACGCAACTTTAACGACTCGCCTTCACCCACGCATTCTAAACTCGCCTGGTTATCGCTAATAAATCAACTCGCGATTACTATTCGTATAAAGCGGTACATATAACTGGTCGTGCCGCAATTTAATATACAGGGTGATTCCTATAGTACCTGCCACCGTTTGGGAGCGTATAGGGGGTGCCTAGGGGAGTATTTTGATATAGGACACTTGGGGTCGGAAATCTAAAATAAGGGCGCCAGAACCAAATTTATCTTCTGGAATTTCACGCCTGTATGTAGGCAACCCAACCGACCGACGTTTCGCGCGGAGCGATGCAGAACGAGTTAGCGCGAGGAAGCGACATGGGAGGGAAGGAGGGAAAACGACAGTCAAAAGCAATAACGTTTACAAGTGTTCAACGTGGCCACCGTTGTTCTCAATGCACTTCCTACATCTAGCCAACTATTATTATACTATTGCCATAGTGTTTATTCACTTGATACGCGTCGTTGCAGACGGGATTTCGTGGGTTTAAACAAAATTCTGATCAAGTGTCAGCCACACATCGCCGCCTGAGATCGCTCCGTGTGCACCGCCGGCCGGTTGGGTTGCCTACCTACAGGCGCGAAATTCCAGAAGGTAAATTTGGCTCTGGCACCCTTATTTTAGATTTCCGACCCCAAGTGTCCTATATCAAAATACTCCCCTACGCACCACCTACACGCTCCCAAACGGTGGCAGGTACTATAGGAATCACCCTGTATATGTCGTAGTCTTTTAGTGAAATCAGTCATTTCACGAAACGCCTAGTCCGAGGCCTAGTCATTTAGTGAAACGCTGAAAATTTGTACGTGTGGGGTATTTTCCCTTCCCCTTCTAGATCGATAAGTATACCATTTATCGATCTCTAATGGGAAGGGAATCCAATCGCTTGGTCTTGGAAAGTAAACTGTTCCACAGTTTCATATAAATGACTAGACTTTTCATGAAATGTCCAATTTCATTAAACGGCTGCGACATATACACAGGACTCAAAAAAAAATTAAAACACGCTAGAGAGCTCCCGTTACACAGTCCAGTCAAAAATATTTCTACTAAGCTACTGTAGGTAAGTACCTATATAAGCCACTGATTACCACATTTGAACTACTTTTTGTAATGATTATAGAAAGCTCCTTATGAAATGATCGCATTAGGCATAGGATAAAATAAGAAGAATATCTTTAAAATCAAAATGCCATATATAAGTATTACCTTATTTACCTGTATATAAAATTATTCATCGCGTAATCATCTCCGTTATAAATAATTAAAAACCGAGAAGGAATTTCAATAGTTTGATCCATGAAATATTCATAAATGTAGCCGGCATCATAACCTGACATCGACAACCAAACGCTATTATCGGGACTTATTTGCATCCACAAAACTCGGTTCGGTACTTCAGGAATGTGTAAAGGTTCTAACTCTTCTTCAGAATCGGAATCTTCTGTACTTACGATTACACTTATGACATATATACCTACAAGCCTAACGAAAGTATTTCTTACCCAAAAACAGCTCCTCGTCAATATCCATTCCGGGATTATCGGCCTTCAGTTTTTCCAATTCCACCATTTTCCGCTCGCGTTTCTCCGCCTTCATCGCCTCTATTTCCGCCAATTTGATATCGCGTCGAATTTGGGCTTTGTAAGTGGTGAATCGTTGGACAATCGGCTTTTCTTTTAATATGTAGGTAATCGTTGTATAGTCCTGGGGGCGCGTTGGTACTTCCACTTGAACGAAATGCCCATAAATGCAACCGGCCATAACAGTTGTGTTCTGGAAGTAACCGGCGGTTCTCATTGAATTTCTTGTTTAAGTTGAGATTAATACCAAGCTTGGATGCCACATTAGCCAGGTGACAATTCCGGGCATGGGGATGTATCCAATTGGGAGTAAAACTGCGTGACGCATCGACTGAAGTTGTATAAAAAAAATAAAAATCGTCGCATCTTCCCCTGCGGTCACCAGTAGAGATTCACTAACATTTAATTCAGTCTTAACAATTGGTTTGTTGTGAGGTTTGGTTATCTGAAACATTCCATGAATAAATGGAGTAATGCTGAGAGGATACATTTCTGGAACGTACGTCATGAGGGAATTTGAACATTTCTATTTGACCGGACCGGATTACTAGCAACGGAGATATGATATATTTTGGAGAACGAAGGGTCGTAACAGAGTAGGTACCTACTCACAAAGTGAAAATTTTTTGCTAGATGCATGTCACTTGGTAAAACAGAGGTTAATTAGCTTCCCAGAGCTTATATCGAAGCAAAATCCTATTTTTATTGCGCAATAACCGAGGCAATTACTTTACTCACCTGTATGGTTTTGATCTGAACATTTTCCTTAGACGGATCAATTGTTAATAAAACGACTCTCAAATTTCCGTCATCAAACCCCATTATTAATTGATCTCCCGAAGGTTGCATCTAAAAATCTCAATTACCTAAACGCCTCCCATGCGAATTTAATAGGTACCTCCAGGGGTAACCAAATCAAAGTCGCTCCCTTCGCAGGATATTCATGCCTAAATATCATTTTTTGTTTTTCATAGTTATACACTTGGATTCGTCCGTCTATCCCCAAGCTTGCCAAGTATGGTCCCCAGGGACACGCTGCCATATCCATTACTTTACCCGCGTGACACTTATACAATTGGACAGACGGTTTCGGATCAATGAAAGTATTCAGATCGATTAACCATAAGCCGCCATTTCCATCCTAAAATGATCATTTTAGTTAAACGTTGCAATTTCACACTTTCATAATACGTTGAGGACTAAGTTAATCATCCCACCAATAACGTGGTAGCCAATGTTTTGGGTAGTTACATAAAATCTACTGTACCTGAGCATAAAATTGAAAATCCCTCCACTCTTTATTAACTTTCCGTATACACATAAACATACACCCAGGGGTGTAAAAGTCAAACAGTGGCTCAGCTTCTACAAATCTGTCATAATCAGGCGGATCAGATTGGTCAATGGTATCGTAAAACCAAACGCGCACGTGCCCGTCCAACCCCACAGACCACAGATCGCCATCGTCATAGTGGAACTGCATTATTGGCGCATCGTGACACTTTTTCCTTCCAATCTGACAAACCTCGACCGATATTAATCCCTCGTCCCACACTAACATATTTCCCCAAGCGCATCCTGATACCACCTGTAACTAAGTTGTAATCAGGAAATTTGACCGAAACTCGGACCTTCTCGTTTGGCATGGGATATATTCCTAAAATATCGCAGTACTCGGTTTTCCCAAATCTGCCCAATTCCCCTTGCAATTTCAGTCCTGTAAATGTTTGGGCCATTTTCCAAAATTTAATGTGGCTTAATCCTGACGATAGCTCGGATGAAAATGCTTGCCGATTTAATATTATGAGTGCTTACCACATGTTGTTAACTGTCCTGGCACTTCCGGGGAAAACATTACCCGATATACCTCGTTTACGTTTGATTTAGTTCGTAACAACACAGTTCGCTTGGTCCAATTGAAGATGGTAATCAAAAAATCTGGTTCTCCACTCTGAGATGCTAATAGCAAGCCATCGGGACTGTAATAGGGAATTAAGACAATTGTTAACGTATCCGATTTCCTTGCCTGTAATTTATATGGGTGAAACATCTAGAGGCACCACCCTTTAATAAGCATACTATATCCAGTGAAGGCCATGCATAAACTATAATGGCTGGATTAGTTCCGTTTTCTGCGACCGCGAGGTGTTGATACTCTGGATTGGGATTTTTCTGAAAAGAACAACGTACACACATGTTTATTTACTGGCTATAGGTACTTTACCGCTAAGTGACCAATTCCTTTTCCGTTCGCACTCCTACGGAACCAAAACTGTCGGGTTTCCACATCAAAAAAATTTAAATAATTCCCAGACACAAACACCAAAGTTTTCTCATCGGCCGCCGCGAGATTGTAGTACCTCTTACAGTCGTAACCAAAAGAATAACTATACGTACTACGGTTAAGAACATTCGGCTGGTGAATTTGGAAATAATAGAAAAGGATACTCAAACTCAAATATGTCGCCTATAAATGTAGACTTCTCGCTGTGAATCGATTCGGATATGAAATCTTCAGAGAAATAAACTTCGGGCTCTTCTTCAATTTCTTCTTCGCATTCTTCACCCTCCTCGGTTTCTAACAGGGTAGAAGTAACGTCTGTATCACTCCTTGACATTTTTTGAATTGACAGAAGGCCATACGACGTTCAGTAAATTTGAAAGCATATGTACCCAACTATATAGTGCAGCTATGGAGAAGGAAGAGACTAAGAAGATGCGCGCAACGCCACAATTAATGAAAAACACCATGTGTAGAATAGTGTTAATTTCAGAACACACTTTTATGCATTGGGTCTAGAAATAACAGGCGGGAGATATTTGGGGTAATTTTTTTTAGCGGCGAGGACCAAGTTAACCTGTGGTTTGCGCGCTTTTCTTCCACCCCTTTCCGTTCCTGAATTCGTATACCTGAGCCCACTCCCCAAGAAACATTTTTCTTTTCTTGGCGCCCCCACCACCGCAACCATCTCTCTAATTATCCCATCAATAGTCTTATCTTTTCCATAGCCCACCTAACATTTTCATTTCCACCACTTTCTTCGAGGGTCAGATAGGTATATTGGTGGTACATATACAAACTCAGTTCCTCCCTTGGTGTATATCGTTTTCTATTCTTCTGTGACACACTGAATCTTTTTATGGAGGTGTCCTTGTAACCCTTTATTCATAGGAGACTCTATATCCCTCCATATGCGTTTCGGAATTATAGTTTTTGAGACGATATGTGACAAAAGGTTACCAATTGACAGAATGAGCACACAATTTAGCTATGCATGAATTAAGGCAATTCAGTTTTACCGTTTTCCCAAAGAAATTGGTAAAAGTGAACATTTTGCTTCACCAACTGACCCTAAAGAGTAAGAAAAATAAACTTTACCTTAGTTATACAGTGACGAAAATGACCCTTTGTGACGTCCAACATAGCAGTACTGGATACGTCTGATGGAATGGAAAAAAATTATTGATTCTAATTCGGGCTCTCAACAAGAAGCTATTGTTGGTTTTGAAATTCCACGCTTATTTTTAAAGGGAATAGCCATTTTTGTCATGTTTCTTTGTTATACTGTACAGGTGATTATCCTTTATACAGGTGTCCCAGATCGCGTGTGAGATTGCATGGGTAACTTTGTTATTATTAAAGATAGAGAATTGGTTAAATGGGCAATGTTTTGCAGTTTTGGAGGCTTATTTAAAATTTCCTTATGGAAATTCAAAATGTCATATAGGTTCGACGTAAATTCAAAAAAACTAAAATTGGTCATTTCCTTGAATGTCTTATATCATCGAAAGTATGAGAGATATAAAAAAAGTTTTATATAAAAGTGACTGTCTTTGATACGATTAATTTAGAATTGATGTAAAAAAAATTCAAGATGGCCACTTTAGAGGAACATTTACCAACTTCCTAAAGTTAAATGGGCGCCATATTGGATTTTTAGATTACTTGATAGATTTTTTAATTCTCTTTTCAACGAGCTATTATAATTATAATAAGATTGAAAATAAGATACCAGTTATATTAACGGTTTTTTATTTTAATCAAGTAGTCTGTGATGAATTAAAAAAAAAACAAAACAAAATCTATTTGAGGCACCAAAACAATGAAAATAATTACAGCAGATGTTTCAAATACTGGCCATTATTAGTGAAACATACTTCAAGACAGTTTAGTTTAGGCAACATGTAGCCATTGATTATTATTATTATTGTAGTGGTAGCTACTTCCACTTTACTTTTATTTTTTAATTAAGTAGGTACTTACTTTTATAATTTAATGTACTATACATAATTCGTGAATTGTGACCTGAGCAGACAGCTTGTTGATAGGTAGCATATAAACCCACCCTTTCTTCGAAACATACGTTGCCGAGAAAAATCCTTTAAGGAAGTTTATTGGAGAATTTGTAAATAATGGTGAGCAGTTAAAGATCATTATGCCATAAAATACATTAATTTAAAAAAATATTACTTGATTTCAGCGTGAAACTACATGTAGGTTTTCCTGTGACGAGTAGTGTTCATTATGTCGACTTGAACACTCCGCAGTTAGAAAAAGTCGATTCATTTGTCCATATACTCGGACTGGTAAAACTGTTAGTTTCGATATTCTTGCGGATAAACCACCTAAAAAATGTGACCTGAGATAATGCATCAATGGTAATACATTGTGTAAAATAAAGCGAAGTGTCTTGAAATGTGTTTAACTGGATAATAGCATGACACTTTTTCAAGGAGATAATTTGTAGTTATATACCACCATTTGTAGGTATGTAAGTACTAAGCATGGATAATAAGATAGTCAATAAGTGATGTTATAAAAATCAACATTTTTTTAGGCCTACTTATATAAAATTTTGGAGGGAGTCTTAATGCCCAAACCCCCCCTCTCATGAGAGCGCCCCTGATTTTTTAAACATCTGATGTAATTATTTTCATTGTTTTGTTGCCTCGAATAGGTTTTGTTTTTTTTAATTCATCACAGACTACTTGATTAAATTATAAAAACCATTGATATAACTGGTATCTTATTTTCAATCTTATGTTATGATGGCTCGTTGAAAAGAGAATTAAAAAATCTATCAAGTAATCTAAAAATCTCATTTGACGCCTATTTAACTTTAGAAAGTTGGTAAATGTTCCTCAAAAGTAGCCATCTTGAATTTTTTTTGACATCAATTCTAAATTAAAGGTAACTTTTATATAAAACTCTTTTTTATATCTCTTATATTTTCGATGATATAAGACAATCAAGGAAATGACCAATTTTAGTTTTTTTGAATGTACGTCGAACCTATGCGACATTGAGAAATTCCATAAGGAAATCTTAAATAAGCATCCAAAACTGCAAAACATTGCCCATTTAACCAATTCTCTATCTTTAATAATAACAAAGTTACCCATGCAATCCCACGCGATCTGGGACACACTGTATAATTCTATTAAGTATTTATTTATGTATTAACGAGGAAGTTTATTACTTGCTCTGTACGATTCGGTTTAACTATTCCTTGGAAAAAGTGCTTTAGTTTGATTATTCCGTCGTATTGTCGTTTCCTCATCTCATGCCCGTTGCAGGACGGTGCGTAAGCAATACGAGAAGGAGGTTCTCTAACTTCTATATAACTTCTACATAACTAACTTCTCTATTTATGTGGTTTTTCTTGTGCGATAATAAATTTTAACGTGAATATTTACTACTGGCGTACTTTACGAAAGGAAATAATATTTCATGTTATATTTGGAACACAAAACAAGACGTAAATATAATCAAAGTACAAAATAATCAGCAAACTTTCTTTTTCTTACGTAACATTAATATCACATCAAAGCACAGAACCAAGTTCAAAATTAACAATATTTACATTGGAGGATTTAACAGGGACATGTACTGCTGCAAAAACAACGCTTCTTGTTGCAAAGTCAGATCCAAATGGTCATCATCAACCATTGAGATATCTTCAGATAGTCGCAAGTAAGCTTCTTCCATTTTTTCTTTCTTGTCATCATCTAAAAAACCACAGTAAAGTAACATCGAACGCAAACAAGCTTCCACCCTCACCATGAATAACACCACTATTGGTTAACAATGTATTGGCAGCTTTCATCACATCGCCATCACACTCCTCTAACGCTCTCCTAGCCATATTCGCATCAAACCCAGCGGCCTCCAGCTAAAAATTAAAATCCCTGCAAAATTATCAATGCTGAAAGCCTTACCAACCTCCGGAATTAAGCCGTGCACCAATGATAACATTTCAGCGCTCACTGAGCTACTGGGACCTGGATTTTCTTGAATGTACTGAACGCTATCAGAAATAATATTATTACAGTTTTTGAGAGCGGAACGAGCCGCCTCCTTCTTGTAACCCATATCCGTAAGTATCTTGACAAAGCTAGGATTGACGAATTGCTTACCATCGGCGCACCTTCCGAGTCTCTCTTGTTCCCTAAACAGCAATAAAAATAAAATGAGATGAGCACCAAACAGGTACCTTCGTAACAGCTTCTCCTCCTTGGCTTTAAGGCGACTCTCCGCTCGTTTTTCTCGATTTTCATTAATGTAGTTAGCTGCACTGTTTACGTCGCCATGTACCGCACGTAGGCCTAACCTTGCCTCGGCAGCTGAGTAACCTGCACCGCGTCGATTATGAAATGTTGGCGAAATGTGGGTTTACCTAATTCCATGAGGGCGATTAAGCTGTTTTCGTCGACTTTCAGTTTTTGTAGTTCTCTTTCGACTTGTTTAAATAACTGTAAGGCTTCTTCGCGTTTATTCTGATGGAAAAGTACAATTCCTTGTAGTAGATGCAGTCGCAAAAACAATACTGCTTCGTTCCCTGTAGTAATTGTTTAAGGACGAGTAAAATCCTAAGAAGTTCATACCAGGGGTCCCCTTGACGGCGATTAATCGTTCCAAATTGGGCCCGTAGCTTTTCTCGAACACAGTTTGGCACCTTTTCAAACGATTGTAAGCTTCCGGTAGTTGACTGACACTTTGAAGGCACAAGTAGCACCAAGCGATATCGAGGTCTAACAAGGCGTAATTATCGACAGAATTTAATAATTGTGAATTGCACTGGCTAAAATTATAAGTAATTGCATTAAGGTCCCTCCTCGTTAGTAATTAATGACTTGAAATATGAGCACTCTTTAGTAACAAACACTTAGCGTATATGGTGGTTCCCCCACCTAAGGTAACAAGAAAAGGATTAGGTACAATGGTTCCCTCTGTTTATTTTTGCCAGTTATGGAAGTGCCTAGTGAATTCATCCAAAACCATTCTAGGTTTTTGTTGCAAATTAATTATGAAAACTTAAGCAAAATGAAACAAAAATGGGAAAGAATCATCATTTAAAAAAAGGTACAAGACTTTACAGTTGCGCGTAGAAAAATAATTTCTTTTCAGCGTGTGACGTCACTTGACCTATTCGCATACGATGCATATTGGTGCGCTAAGTACGTGTGCGCTTGTATATTGATGCGCCGTAACATTACCATTAGGTCAAATGACGTCACAGGCAGTACAGACCGCTACTGTTTGCACACTGAATACATAAATTATTATTATATTGTATTATCAACACCATGAAACTTGTTCATTGCGAACGATACATACCTAATCCATATTTCTTGGGTTTTCCATGTTGTATTCAACTTTCTCGCTTCATAAAAAGAAAATCAACAAAAGACATCATATCAAATTGAGCATGTTATCAACTTAACCATTTTAACACGCCCTCCTAATTTTATTTCCAATATTTAACTTAAGTCTACATGTTTTTAAGCCGACAGTAGATATTTTGAAACCAGAATAACTATATTGCCGATGTAGAATATGAAATTATAGGTATTTATTATACAAGACGTAAAGGGATGTCTTAACCATCGAAGGAATTAACTTTCGAGATGGTTAGCTTTCCTTTATCCTCATGTATAATACAAAACTTTATTTTATAGCAGAAATCAGAGAAACCATTGTCAAACTTCTGAATATTTTGTAGGTAAACGTCCAAAATAGCAAACTTAGGTTCTCCCGTCGTTTCCATGGAAACAATATTGTATTCTGTTCTGAACTTCATTTTATATCATGCTCTGTGTCCCATTTTTAATAACGACAGATGTCACTAGAATGCACAATGATTTGTTTCACTTTATCTACCCTTGCCGTTAAAGTGATCACTTTATCTACCCTTACCGTTAAGAAGACTCTTATTACAAACCTACTAAAATTCAATTTAACATCTGCTATAACATTACTTTTACAATGCCGCTCGAATATAAATTATAAATAATACAGGACTCTGAAATGGATCCTTTCAGTACACCCAGTTAAATTGTTGGTACATGAGAAGAGTCAATCCTAGGGGTAGTGCTTAACAAACTAAAGCTCTCATCGGACATAACGATGCCTAAAGTCTTTGAAACATTTTTAAAAAACATCTGCTACATTCCCTAAATTCGAAAAAGTCCCCGAAAGTATACCTCATAATTCTAGGATTGTAGGCCCAAACTACAATTTCTACCTCCAACTTACCTAAACTCCTTGTCAGCATCTAAAAAAAATACCAGCGCGCGAGAATAATCTTCGCGTTTCAAGGCACTTTTTCCTTTTTCGTGTAAGGCAAGCGCGACCATAAGCGCTTTTCGTTCATGAGCGGGTATTCTTACAGGGTTACCGGCTTGATCTTCCAGCTAGAATTCTAAGTATTACATAATCAAGTTGATATTTATTTGCTGTGGAAATACCTCCATATAATCATTGTCATCGGATGCTAAAAGTTGTGTATCTGCCTTAACATTCTCAATCTCTTGACAGCGACTTTCGGTTTCGCGCAGGTCAGTTAGCGACTGGTTAAGAGTTAGGGCTAAAATTTGCTGGCCGTTTTGTACACCCTGCTCGAAAAGTGACTTGCTGTCCTCTATAACTTTCCCGTTTGCGATCAATTTTAAACTATAAACATGATTGTGTAATGTTATTACATACTTTAATTACTCACCTTTCTTCAGGTACATTTGTTGTTTCCGACACCATACGCTTCAAGTGTTGTCCCATCTCTTTTAAACAAATTTGCCGAGATATTAACTTTGGGGGAACATTTTGCACAAGTATTTTCATTTTTAAGGTAGCAATTCCTGAAGCGCGGTACAAATCTCTTTGCTTCAACTTTTCCAAAGCGATAGATTGTAATTCGCTAACGGCAGCATAGCAGCAATCGTACTGAATATTTAAATCAGAACTATACTCCCTTGCCAGTCTCTAAAACCGAATGTAACCCACAATAATTTTTGCTTTCATATTTACTTCTAATTCACAAGTTGATGGTCCTGTAGGTAAATAATATGGACTTAACCATAGCTTAATCCCGTCTTTTTGTAACTTATCTCGAACTTGGATAATTATGTTATCAACTTTTAATTCATTCATTTTTAAAAATTAGTTTGGATTTTCAATACAAAATTTTCATGATTAGCAAAAACTATAAATGTCATGACAAAGCGACGTTGCCACTTCTGTGTGATTATTTTATATAGGGTGATTATTTTAATCACCCTATATGCTACATCGTTTTGATAATCGGTTGAAAAGTGTCTCGAAGGTTCCATTCCGCCCATTCTTCTGGGACGTTTCTTCTTGTGCTTCTGGAACCCGCCAATTCGATCTTCTGTCTCTTTACGGTTAAGTTCTGGATTCGCTTCTTTGTGATACTTTTGCGTCTTGTCCGGATTGAACTTGAGTCGTCGGCTGCTTGCAGTCACAACGACGATACGATTTTTTTATGGTCCATACCGCCGACTAAGGACATTACGCCGACAGTGCCCACATCGTCGACAATATGTACAAGGGACACTAAGCGACTAACGTAGGCGTACCGCCAGGTGGACAACCTCCTCAGCACAACCCACCATAGTCAAAAAGTTGCCATCAAATTAAGTTCTCACTTACAATTCGCCCCAAGAGGAGAAAGTTTCTGCTTGTTGGCAAAATTTATGGTATTTAAACGTATACAAACCGTCTGAACAGAACAGGTACCCTTAAAGTTAAGTACTTATTCAAAAAATATTAAAAAATTGATCGATACAACAAAGTGTGAAAGGATCCAATAGTTATTGGGAGCTTTGCCTTCATGCGTTTAGAGGACTTTCTGTTCAACAGTTATCGCACGGAAGGCACAAACACGCACAAAAGGTGTTCCAAGAAGGACCTCTCGTTTTGGTAGGAATACTTGCAATTTCTATATGAAGTTTTTTAACACGATTGTCAAACGGTTTTCAAAACGTTGCGAATCCTCTCATCAAATACTGATTGTATCATTCTAACCAATATTTTGCTGTATCAAAGTATCATGAATGTATTTGTCACTAGAGACGAATTCCAGGATTAAGAACATTCGTTTTTTTATGTTAATGATAAGAACAAAATATGTGCTTCCAAGTACCGTACGTACGACGACACGCATTTGAGATGCATTAAGAATTATTTATTACAATAAAATATAGAAGGTACCATTCAAATCGGTATAAAGCTATCTACACAATTTGTTGTGAGATGTGCTAATTACACATCATTAATCAACGAAGCTCGTGAGTCACCCTGTATAATGAATGCATAAACCTTTGACATGGCAACGCTGTTTGTTTGTATATGTCAGATTTGTCAACAATCCTAACCTAAAAAACTCGTAATTTCAGATTGATTGCTTACATCAACATGTAATATGGAATTGTGAAGTGTACACTTTTAAAGCACCACAAAACTCGTCATTCGCAACGAATGCTGTTTACAGAGAGCTGTTAAATTAAATAAATCCTTTCCTATGAATTTGGGTTTATTTAATCGCGTTAACTTTAAGGTGAGTACGGAAATTAAGTGAAATAAAGTTAAAACGTTCGCAATAGGAAAACACTGAAAGCAAGGGAATGTATTCGGAATGGACTTCTTTAAGTCCTGTGGTTCAGAGATGCGGCTCGGAGGGTTACAGCGTTTTAGACAAGTTCGGTGTGTCAATCGGACGTGAGGTGACCATAAATGTCGTAAAGCAGTTGGCAAATAATTTAGGCATTACCCAGGCAGCTGAGCCTAGCCCGCTTAATACTGACAAAGAGGTTAGTTTTTTTATTTATCCTATCGACGTACTACTTTGTTGTTTAGGTTCAGTGGTGTATGGAAGTAATTTGCTTTGGTTTATCTTTGCCTTTAACAGAGCACGACATTATAAAAGATTGTGTGAATATTTATTGCGAATGGTTGTCATCCTTGCTGCCAACGAACAAAGTTTGCGTACCCGGACCTGTTTGCAATGAGCCTAATATGTACGCACGGAAAATCATCGGGCATTGCTATCATTTATTTTTACCACGCGAAGGAGAAGGTAAATGATTTAGACTTAGTTCAAATACAATCTAACTGTCTGATTATTTTTTTATTACGCATACAAGATTGGACTTTTCTATATCAGGATATAGGTAGGATTTATACCATGTTTCTGTACAAAATTGATGTTCGTTGCATTCCATATTGTAGAGTAATAGTTAGCATAAGCCTTAATTTTTTGTACAAGTACAAACCCCCGCTTTCATTTTCTTTAGCTTTAAAGGTAAGTACGAACAACAGTTTCAAATTTATTACAGGCGCTTGCATACAAAATATGTGCTTTTGAACCCAAAAATGGAATGAGCAGTATCTTTTTCAAGTTCCTGTGTTACTACTGTATTACAGATATGTGTAATCCCTATTGAATTTCGGAAAATATTTGCAGCTATTGTGTTCCAGTAAATTTATATCTGTAAACATACTCTCAAGGACCAAGGCGTACTTCCTTATTTGGTTTTAGTGAATGATACATACAAAGTAAAAGGAATTTATTTAATATATAAGAAATAATTACAACTTTTTCCATGGCATGTCCAGCAATCGCCACAACTAAAAATCTCTGTACGACTTTACGTTTCTTAAATTTGATAAAACTCAACAGCCTTTTTCAACTCCACAATTTCAAACAAATATAGTACAAATTTACATACAAACATTTAGCAAAACCCTGGGTACGAACAGAGAAATTCAGCACGCAATAGATCATTTACAGATGAAACAAAATTTATTCGACAAAATCAATCAATCAAACTGAAAGAAAAATAAGCACTCATGGCCAAAGTACAAATAAACCCGCAACAAGCGGTAGATTGAAACAATTAATTAAAAAATCTTAATTACCTTAAAGTGTTAATAATCCATAGAATCCGGTTAATTGCAATTGTCTTTAACAGAAGCACAGCACAAAAAAACAACTGATGTTACTTCTGGAACTTCACTTCTTTACTTACTTAAACTTACTTAAAAACTTCCGCTATGACACGGTCTTATTTTGAAATTTAATTAGCTTACGCAGCAATAACACGTCTTATCGCGACGACCGGAGATAACAGATTTTAATAAAACATTTCGCGCAATTAATTCCAGATGATTGAACCTAATAATTTAAATTTACAAATACAAATCAAAATAGGTAAACAAAACGATTACTCATTTAAACAAAATCAGACATCATTAACCGATTTTAAATTCGAATAACATTTGCGTGGAAACTTTAGGGGCATTAAGGCGTACTCCGAAAGAACTTCCCGAAGTTTCCACGAGAACGGGCAAGAACGAGACCGAATTTCTCAAAGGCGGTACGAAGTTTGCATTGGCTGCTAATATTTAATAAAACTCATCATGTTCAAGATAAAAATGGATTTCGGATACCGAAGTTAGAAATTTGTATTGAACACTAATAGAGATCCGCTTGTTGTTCATTTTGGACAAATGGTATATAATCATTAATCAATATACAAAGTAATAGAAGAAGAAATATTTATTCAATGTTGAGTCTAGATCTTGTCCTCTGCTTCCAAGTTCCAAGTATAATGTCTCTATACGATTAGATCCAAACATGCTGAAGAGGATGCTGAAAATGAAATACAATCATTGCTATTTCCTCAAAAATTTTCCGTTTTGTTTTGGCAACACCGAGGGCAACACCAACAGACGAGTAGGAACTAGGTGTATACCCTTTCTTTGCAACTTTTGATTTTAAATTATCTCTACTAATTTCGATATCTGAGTCTCTTTGAACCTCTAAATATCAAATTCAAACTTAATTTTAGAAATTTGTTTGGATATTTAGTCGATGATAAAGATTCGTTTTATCTTTTTAACTTTTAGGGCAAGACGTTATCAATAGACAAGCAGTATTATGTCACAGAGTATTACGAACCTTACAGCAAGTGGCCCAGGAGTCAAAAATATTAGAAATGGAAACGTGGGAGTCCCTTTTGTTATTCCTGCTATCAATTAACGACACGCTGCTCGCCCCGCCCTCTGTGAAGGACGATGTTGCCGATCAGTTATGCGAAAGGGTTTTAAGTGTATTGTTTGAAGTAAAGCTCTGTTTGATATTATTGCTCACTATTGATTTTCGAATTGTCTTTTAGGTCTGGTTGATCGCATGCGCAAAATGTTTCCCAACGCCACCGCTTTGGAAAACATTGCGCGAACGTTGCATGAATTGGCGTCATCGTATCGCACTTATCGAACAGTGGAACAGAGTGAATTTGGCGTTAACGGCACGTGTGCTTGCTTTCATGTATGGTCCGGGATTTCCAGAATTAAAAATAGGTATTTACGACTCTCCTCATTGCAGTTGATCATTTGTGTTTACAGGTGAAGACGATCTGATTCCTGCAGGTATGTCTAACAACACAGTCGTACAGGCATGGTATCGTTTCCTTAATACAATTGGCAACCCTGCCAACTTAACCAAACCTGAGGTAAGAATTAAAAATGATTTATTTTATTTAACATTGTGTTACAGATTATTAGTCAGACACCGAAATTTTTACATTACGCTATAAGCAATGAGACAGTTGTTGATCCGTGCTATCACAGCTGTTTGCAAGCGCTTCCCTTAATATTTTTAAAAGCGATCAAGGGAATAGCAGGGCAGGTTGATGCATTTTTAGGTTCGTATACGGTTTGTTTTTTTCACACGGTGTGTCCAGTCACATTTGGGAATTGCACTGACTTTACAATTGGTGTAGGTATAGCACAACCGAGTTGGTGGGACGAGGTAGTGGTTGGATGTAGCACTGATAAGAACAAGGAGATAGGTTCCTCTACCTCAATACATTCTCCTACTCCGCCACCTCAGCGCAGACTTGCTAAAAGCTTTAGTGTTGCCCCTTCTGCAGTGTCTAAGGGTTAGATATTTTTCTTTTCTTTCTTGATGTCTGTCTGTTAAGGGGTGTGCAAATTAATAACTCGGATGAACACACAAAACACTTGAACACAATTTCAAGGTTTTCAGAAAATATTGTCTCGTGACATTTGACAAAGGTGAGAGGTTTAGTAATTAAAAAATGTACATCTAAGAGTCTAATTTGTTGAAAAGTTACTTCCCTGATGCAGAATCTTCACATGTAACTATCTGAACACTTTTCCTAAGCAATTAGACATAGTGTTAAAGGTCTCCAAGTATAGAGCACGTCACTGCAATTCTCAAAACCTTAACAAATACGAGTGCTTAAATAACCGCAATGTGATGCTTTGTCTACGTTATGATGATAGTTTAAATTGTTATTGTTTGCTGTGTTTATGACGTGACATGCTTTTACGACATAGTCGATCAAAATATGATGCAACATTTTTAACATTTTAGTTGCTAAGCGCAATTTTTGCATGACGTGATAACTAAAATTAACATAAAAATACTAGCATAAGTTTTTGATTATTTTTGTTGAACGTTTTTTATTTAAAAAAATACTTCAGTAGCACTCAAACAAAATTACGGCAAGTTCCTTAGCGGGAATGAAAGCAGCAAAATTCTCAGGTCGGCAAAAGGTCTCTTTTCAAACTGATACAGGCGTAAACCTGCATGGCCTTGTAACTTTAATGCTCGTTTTATATTAACATAGGGATAATTACTTAACGGGAGTGAAATTCTAAAATATTAATTTGTCCTCTTCTAAATGACAAGAACTTTCGGATGCAACAAAGATAATTGAAATGTGTTGACGGAAACGGTTGCAAACGGCGAATTAATTACAGCTTTTATGTACAATAACGGCGGCTGAAACACACCTCTAGAAATTACCAATTACCTTTACCTTCTATCTTCAACTTCTAGAACCAGCACAAATACTTTCGGCATAACACTTTTCGTAACGAAGCGCCTCCAGATACAGGGTGATCATTAAAGTACGCACACTTCAAGGTGGAAAATAGGTGCTTCGTTACACGGTATGGAAGTTGGATAGGGTTAAAAGCTTAATTTTGGTAAATTTGTGACAATAAAATTTCGGGACGTTGTGCTCAAATAAATCGCCAATGTTAAATATTCCATCAAAATCGATATGTTACCTGAATTATACCTTTAAATCAATAAATACTATCAAAGGCATGTAATACATCGTTTGCTTTATTTGTGATGCAAACGTTATAGTTATTAGTAGTTATTAGTAGCATGCGCAAAACCAAAAAATAAGGGTATCCTTGGACCAAGCCCTTTCAAATGAGTCCTAAAGTTCTAAATTGGTCGATTGGCCTTGAAAATTGTTTCTATTCGTTGATGTATATGGAAAAGCAGTCTTTGCACAATATTTACCACTTTTTCCACAAAATATAATTAATTTAAACACTCGTGTAAATATACTTCAACTTTCAAAATGAAAAATATACTTAATCACTGTAACGCTCGGTATTACAAATTTTATATACATGGTAATTCAAAAATATACAGGTACCATCACATTATAGTAGGTTCATAATTCTCTGTAATTGTGAATTCACAAAAGCATGCACATGTTGCGATACTTTAACGTGATTGTCCCCAATCATTTGGCATTAATAGGGGGCCTGTGCATATGATTTTTACCATACTTAAGCCATAAAAATCACTCAGCTGAA